GACTGGCGCAGCTGGGACACAGAGGATTCCAGTGTCGAACTTCGGTCGCGAAGTTGTGCGACCTCGGCTTGCAGGGCGACACCATGTTCGCGCATTGCTACGGCTTGGCCCTCGCTCTGGTGGAGCGATTTCTTCGAGTGCTCGACCTTCCTCGGTCAGCTGGCTGATCCGAGCTTCGAGGGGTTGTGTTGTTGCGTTGAGGGTGATGCCGATGCCCTCAAGCAGTCGCAGTCGGGCATCGACATAGAGGGGGGACAAGAGCGACTGGGCGTCGCCTTCGCCGAGGATGTCGACCATGCGGTCGTAAATCGCCTGATGGGAAGCAGTCATGGTACTTGGACGAACTTGCAGTGCAACCAAGTGTAACCGGGCACACGCAGAGGAAGGAGTAGGTAAAATGAAGAATGAATTGGCAGGGTTATGCTATCTACCTCTGCTACATGAATATGGAAAGTAAAGGCGACTCGTGTGGAGAGTCGCTAGCAACCCAGGCGACTTGTTGTGAGGTCGCCTGCAACCTTTGGATGGAGATCTTCAATGTCAATGACGATCTTTGACATGTGTACGGATAACAGTACCGTAGAACTGTTACATTGGAAGGCACCACAGAATGCGGGAAACCGTAGTGTGTGCTAACACTGCCGCGCCATTTCTTTGGTGTCGTGGGATGGATTGTTCGAAGGACTTGCCGAGTTTGTGGTCGCTCATTGTTTAAATTGATGAGATAATCTATGTTTATTGCGTGAAGAAGGAGCAGACTTGGTCCATGACGAGCCACTGAATCCCGTACGACGGGCACAGACGGGTCAAACGAGGGACCAGACCCTTGTAGAGCGCCTTGATACCTTCTTCTCGGGCAATCAGGGTCGTCGCTTGCACCAGGCCGGTGTACTTGCCAGCCACGCCCTTGCCGTTCTCCTGGGCCATCATGCGCGTCTTGACGACATCCATGGGGCAATTGATACACGGCCCAGGAATCGCTCCGAGCATCCCCGTCAACATACTCTTCCACGGTGACAACGTTTCCCCGTCCTTCAATTGCCACAAATTCTTCTTCAAGAATGTGTTGGACCAAAAACTGCATGCTTGGTTCAGCCCCTGTCGGCCGATCGTGGGTGCGACCCCCTTCCACAGCGCGAACGGTCCTTCGTTCTTGATGATGACCAACGTCGACTGGAGCGTGCCTCGGTACTTGGGCACTTCGCCCGGAATAATCGTTTGGCCCTGGAGACGAGTCTTAACCACTTCGAACGGCGTCACGATCAGAACGGCTTCTGTCGCTCCGGCTAGTGCCCCGGCCACAAATTCCTTGGTCCCGGTCACTTGGCCATTCTTATCAGCCAAGAGCTTGCGGTACACGGCGTTAAAGTAAAAACGCGTGCCGTTTTTGAGAACGACGTGCGATGTCCATGGCACAAACCCCTTGTATAGACCCTTGGCGCCTTCGCCCTTGACCAGTTGCTTGCCGCAGTCAATCATGCCCTTGTACTTGCCCGTCTTGTCAAGTTGCAAGCGGGTTTTGCACACGTCCAACGGCGTTAGAACGATCGCTTCGATCACGCCACTCAACGCACCGGCAAAAAACTTGACCGTGGGACTGACAGTCTTCTTGTGCGGTGTCGAGTCACTCGGAAGCGGCGCGCGCAGCCCGCCTTCGCCGATCTCGACACTGGCCTTCCACCATTGCTTGGAGAACTCACGAACGTCAGGGTCCCACATGAGCGCTTCCAAGTTGGGGTTGGCCACCATCTTGGACCGCATGAGCAGGTACAAGTATTTAAAGTCTTGCTCGGTGATCTTGGACGGGTCTTTGGGGTGGAGTTCCTTGATCATGGACGTGGCCTCCGCAACGGTCACGGCGATCCCGAGCTTTTGCATGGCTTCTTGCAACATGATGTCGTCAAGGTACCCCTTTTTGTGCGTGTCGAACGATTCAAAGATGTGATGGATGAAGCGTTCATGGATCCCATGGAAGTCGTCAAACGTGACCTTGCCCACGTGCTTGCGGTCAAGCTTGTCCATAAGAGCTAGCGTGTCCTCCGTCGAGAGGCGGACACCTGCCTTGGCCAACCCCACTTGGATATCACTGGCATTCACGACCCCATTGCCATCCACGTCAACCTTGGCAAAGGCCTCGCGGAGGAGGTTGTCGACGGTGAGGCGGGAGTCGCGGCGGATGAGACCGACGGGGGAGCTGGGCGATTCCGGCATGTGAACGACAAGTAGGAAAGTGAAACCCACCCAATCCAAGGATCTCCCTAGATTTTACTGCGAATGGGCTACAATACAAACTTCAAGTGAAAACGCCACCCAATTCCACGACGGCCCCACGAGGAAGTGACACACGCATGCGCAAACATCGGAATCAAATGCATCGTCTACCTCGCAATATAATCGTTATCCGAATCTATCCGGAGAGTACAAAAGTTCACTCAAGGAAATCGACGTGTTGCTCTCACAGCTCACAGCGACAAAGCTGTCTGCAATAACAGCATCATGATGGCGTCTTCAGTATGATGTATCTAACGGACTGGCGCGAAGATGTCCGAGGCGTAGTAACTCCTGCACTCCAGCATATCATGGCTTGACCTGTCGTCGTCGTGGATCGTCGTCCTTGTGAATTGGTTGCAAAGATGTGAATCCTGCCTGAACTTGAATATTAACACGATGCTGTACATTGGAAGTACGTACGTGCATCCACAGAAATGCAAAATTAGTCTCAATGTACGTTGTGGCATGTACTGTACGAAATGTACAGATTGAACCTGACGCGGCTGCGTTGTGAAAGGGGAAGCGTTTTAATTGGATGGTTCCACATTGATCCACCAGTAGACAGGTCACAAGACGATCTTGGGGAGGCACTTGGATCGCCGTCGAGGGAGGAGGATTCCCCCTGCCACGCAACGAAACAGGAAAGCGATTTGGGTGTGTGTGCAATCAAAACAGTCGTCTTGAAAGGTTCGAAGGGATGTAGGTGGGTTGGGTCACTCGCCCTGATTCGATGATGTTGGACCCGTAGCCGCCTCGAAATCACCCTTTGCAGGTACTTCCCTTTCTTTGCACCATTGTTTGCACGTAGCATGCCAGTACATTCGTACGACAACAAGCCACTCTTGGGATACATTCGAACGCGACAAGTGTCACGACGACGGTGAAGTACTTGGGATGGATAGACCGCTTTAAATGCATATCGAACGGTTTTTGGCGAAACTCGACATGGGTCTCTGCGTAGTCGCCACACATGCCCGAACTTGAGATCGCTCATGGAGTTGAGATAGATTTGGCTTGGATCTCAGCAATGTTGCTTGAGCCACAGCACAACGTCATCAACCACTTGATTGGCCATGGGTTCGTGCAAGAGGTCGTGACCTGCGTCTTCGTACGTGCGAAACACCTTCTCGGGGCAGTCTTCGATTCGATCAAACCAAGCGCGGGATCCTTGTATCGAGCAAATGACATCGGCGGTACCGTGCTGAAGCAATAGGGGCACTGGCAACGACCGTTGCAATGCAAGTTTCTTTTGCAGTGCTTCTACACACTGCTTGACTTGGAATGCGGTACCAAGACGCATTTTGCCCGTATAGTACAGTGCATCTTGCATCTTCATTTTCTGAATCTGCTCGCGAACGCAAGCACTCGATCCTTTGCCACCATTCGACGGCATCAAGGCCAAAAATGGGGCCACGTGCGCCACGGCTTGCCCGATCGCTTGTACAATGGCGGGAGGTTGTCGGTTTGCATGGATTTCAAGGGCAGGACACTGCACGATGACGCCGTCAACGTCGCCACTGTCACGCAGCAAGCGATGCAAAATGAGGGCGCCTCCAAGCGAGCTATGTCAAGGACCTATCAATCCATCCAAGTTGACAAAAAGGAGATTACCCTCCAAGGACGAATCTCTTCTTCGTTGGCCATTTCTCATGGACGGTCTTGATGTGCTGATGGAGATCTTCAACCAACGATTCATGGTCGTAGACAAGGGCATGAAGACCCGAGCTTCGGCCAAAGCCTTCGTGGTCATATGCGTACACAACGAAGTTTTCGTCAAGCAATGCTTGCACCAGCTGCAGCATGTTGCTTGAATGCTCATTCAGTCCGTGTACGAGAATGACGACACCTTTGGCGACTTCGACACCACTTGGAGGGGTCCACGTTTGCCAGAACAGCTACGACAAAATCCATGAGATATTGTGTAGGTAGCGCTATGTACTTGAACACTTCGACGGGGCCGCTGTTTGATTACAATGGTGTGTTCTTGGGAGTGCAAGGATAAACTTGCGACGGACTGCTCATCCATCGTCATTGGAATTGCAATTCGTGACGTATCCAGTGAAGGATCGTACAAACTGAGATAAACGAGTCCTACGCCAATTCCTAGCAAGCCCAGCCCCACGGATGCAGTCACAAGTGGCCGCGGTGACCATGCGTCCAACACCAACATGCCGTCAAGCAGTTCAGGCTATCTGTTCGGATAAAGTAATGGTTATTTCCGGAAGCTTGAAGTCCACTCTTCATGTCAATGATGTAAAGGGGCAACCCTCCGTTTATCCGGATCTCTCCTAGTCAATTAGCAGCGTCAGTTCGTCCGTACTGTACATGGCTATTTTCACAACCAACGAATTTCTAGCGTTGAGGGTTGAGGCGGAATAGCCTGAGCCTCCATATGAGCGGTCATGTAAGTGAACATCATGCCGTGGCTGGTTTTTACGCTGCGTGTGAGGGAGGGCGCCTCGAGCATCTGCGGGACCAAAACGACGTGGACAGCCTGTGAAAGCATAGGCATTCACTGTTGAAAGGTATGAAGTATTGGAGGTATTGCGTCGAATAGTCCTATCTAACATGATCATCTATCGAATCGATTTAATAGGCATTATTGATTTGAACAGGCTTTTTTATCTCCCAAGCGTTGGAATGTTGACCTGCACTCTGAATAAACTTCTTCCCCACACAAATTAATTGGCACGTCACCCCTTACGACCGGTATGAGCTCTCCCAGTGCGCCGAACGGAAACCCTGCCCTCCACAACCAAGGCTCCACGCCGAGCTTAGATGCTCTGATCTTCGATGAACAAAAGGCGGCTGACGCCTCCCACCGCGACGAGGTAAAGGAGGATGAACCCGAGTCAGAGGAAAAGAAGCCTCGTTCGCTGTCGAACGTGTTCCCAGTGGATAAACTCAAGAACGGCGCCACGAATGCGACGAAGTTCTTCGGTTCGACCTTTAATTCCCTCAAAGAAAACTCGGTCAAGGGTTGGGAAAACGCCAAGCAGACCAAGGCTGGCGGTGCCCTCGCCTCGGGGTTGACGACTGCGTCTGTTGCAGCTTCGACCACTGCCAGCCGCATCAAGGACACGGATGCGTACAAAATCACGACATCTGCTGCTGCCCAAACATTTGAGAAGGCCAAGCATGGTGCTGAAATCGGCGTCGAAAAAGTGAAGCAAGGGGCGACTTTAGCCAAGGAAGGAGCAGTGCAAAGCATCGAAAAGGTTCGTGCTCGCGTCGGCAAACCTGGCGAGGAGGACAAGTAAACGCAGTCACCATTCTACGGTGCTCCTACGTCCATCAAAACTCGCCACATCCATCTCATATTTAGACTCGGAAGCCATCACTGTAATTCATTCTCTGCCACCCTTCGCCTTGCACACTCTGTCACATCTAGCACTAGGCCGATGCAGGAACACCCTCTCGATTCTCGTCGCGTCAGCTTGATATCCCACTCAGCTCTGCATCACGTCCTACAACTTCCTGACGACCTTGTCATGCTATCTCCATTCAGGGTCTGTAAGGTTGTTGCCGTCGTTTGGGAGGTATACAGTGGTGGAGACGTTCCATCCCCGCGGCCGAAGTCGTCGACAAGGTAGAAACCAAGTCGAGCAATTAGCAAGCAATCGCCTTCACGCATCGTGATGCCGAGCCCGCCATGTTGGCTACATCCTTGACGAAAGACCACCACAAGTGGATCTCTTTCACAGTGTTGCCTGTGAGCCGACCAGTACTCGAATCGCGACTTCCGTGACGTCTGCGCACTGTTTAGCGTCAGATTGACTTGTTCGCCGAGACGACAATCGTCAGATCCATCGGCCCCGCTTCCCTTTAGTTTTGACGCGACCACGGGACCCACCATCGTACACTTCCTTCTTTTCTTCCACAAATTTCTTGCCAGTCGTCGTCACGACCTTACTGTCCAAGTACCGAACCTACTCCAACCGCATTCAAAACAACCCACGTTGTGGTTAGGATGTACCAGTACTTGTTGGCTCGATGCGGCGCGAACTTTGACCTTTACCGGCTTTTGCGATGGACTTCGTGGGACCTTTACTTCTTGGTCGGCAAATTTGACGCTGATGGCTTGACGAATATGGGCGTTCAGCTACCCGTGATCCCATATATATATCACGTGAGCACGTCCCTGTGCATCCAGACTGATGGATGCTGGTGGATCACCTGCTGTCGAGGGTCCAAGTCATTCAGGCAATGGTGTGTGACGATGTATCCCGCCGCACGCACAATGTCCCCTGCAAACATGTCCTTCAGGATGCATTCGATACATTCCAGCGATAGATGCGGCGCCAGCTCCATCAAGTCGTTCAGGTGGGTCATTTCCTCTGCGGACGATGAAGATGGTTTGGGTCGAGGGTTGGCGTCTTTCTGCGATGGATGGGATGCTGAAGAGTCTTCGGGAGTCCTTTGAGTCGACTCTCGGATCAAATATACAGCTTCCCTTGCGACAGTGTCGTCAATGTCGGGAAAGAACGAAACAATGCACTCGACAACTTGCTGCGGGTCGACCTCTTGGGTGTCCATGAGCTGCAAGACGTACTCCACGATGGCTTCGTCCACGTCGTGCACGACATGGTTCAAATGGGAAGTACGACTGCTTGATGCATCGCAGCATGCGTTCACGCCGCTCTCCAGGAAGCGAGCCACCATCGTCCGCATGTCGACCATGTTTCGTCGTGGCTGTTCGTTGAGTCTCTCGATCCTTGAACCGAATCCAGTTTTATTATCCGGAACAACTTGAAATAATCAACAATGATTGGTCAAAATTCGACAAACCACGCATCAATGACCACATGAACCCAAACCCGCCCAGTATCGGTAGTTGGTGTGTGGCCGATCGCCATGGCGACTGGCATCGCGGGACTGCCTGCGCTTGAAATGCGAACGAGCGTCGAGAAAGGGCGATCGATCCATGCAGCAACCCCACATGGCCTTCCTGCAGGCACAACCCTGTTTACCGAAATTCCATTTGCAAGCGTTGTCGTTAGCTCTACAGCAAAGCTTTGCGCCGTGTGCTATGCCGACGCCGACCCCGACATGTGCTGTGACGATTGCTCCAGTGTCGTGTACTGCAGCGAAATTTGTCAATCCGTCCTCCGCGATGTTCACGAACTGGAATGCTCGACCTTGGAAGAGATCGACGTCATTGCGAAGAAATCTCGGGCCGATCGCAACCTGCTGTGTCTACTCACACGAATCTTGTGCGTCCGCGCGATGAAGCAGTCGCGGAATGCAACGGACGTATCATCATGCCCCCCCTCAACAATCTCGTCGACCTACGCCGACGTGGTTGACATGATCCATGCAACTGGACAGCTCAACGAAACTTGGATCACGGCCGTGCAAGCAGGGGCGGAGTTGCTAATCAAATCTCTGCCGCGAGAATGCACGCTTCCTGTGGCAGACGTCGTGGGCTTGGCTGCACGAGTCAACGAAAACTCGTACTCGCTTGAAGCCAACACCGTCGAACCTCATGGAGAAGTTGCAGCCGTCGGTTTGTTTCCCGTCGCGGGGCTCATTAACCACAGCTGTCAGCCCAATTGCATCTGGTCCACCGATGCTGTACGTGGCGCAATGGTCGTGCGCACGACGACATATATCGCCCCTGGCGATGAGATCACGATCCCGTACATTGACGTGAACCAGCCTCGGGAAGCGCGCCGACGTCAATTGAAACAGTCCAAGCATTTCGACTGCCGGTGCGAGCGGTGCGAAATGCCGCTCGTCGAGCCGGCGCTCGATGCGTTGGTCGACGGCGTTTGCTGCCGAACCTGTCAGGATACCCTGCTGGTTGGTACTTCATCCAGTGGCTACACCTGCCCAAGTTGCGGCCAGGCAACAACGCAACAAGATATTGATGCGGCCAAGCTGTACGCGACATCAACCATCACGTCGGCCACGGCCATGATGAACAAGAAGAACTTTAAAGACGCTCTTACAGTGCTGGGCAAGTTCTGCGACGCGCAGAGCGTTGCCTCGTCAAGTCAAGTGGTCCTTCATTCGAGCCACTGGACAGTCACAACCGCTCTACGCCTCTTATCGGATTGTAGCTACAAGGTCGGGGCGTTCATAGCTTGCTACGAGCATCGGCTTGCGCATGTGACGAGGTTGTGCGCGATCCTTCAACCGAATGCACTCGCGCTGGGGACAGCTTACTTTGAGTTGGCGGACGCCGTTGCTATTGGGCTGACACATCGCGTGTGGCCACTGGAAGAAGAGCTAAAGAAGCGAGAAGAGCTAAGAGCGCACTTGACAAAGTGCCGCGACATTCGGAAGATTATCTACGCCATCAACCATCCGAGGCTCGTCCAAGTCGAAGCACGATTGTCACGGTTATAGAGGGAGTGTAGTAGATGAGCATTCCTGCGGTCGGAAGTGTGGCCAGTGCATGTGTGACATGGCAAGGTTGCGTTTCCCGAATGCCCGTCGTCGCGAGGCATCTGCAGCAGTGCTAAGAATAGATATTCACGTGAGCTTCAGGGCATTTCCAGTCGAGCAATGGCACGGCGCCGACCGTCCGTTGAGTGGTCGCAGGAATGCCCGATCTTTATGGGGGTGGGCACACCCGAGTCGTGCGACGAAGTCCCCTGCACCCCTACCAACATGGACACGCTGTCCCAACTCCCGTCGCCTACGCTCAAATCCATCCAGCGCCAGAGATACCTCGAAAGCGTCGCCCTGGTCGACATGGACAGCATCATTCTGAGCGGCATCGACGTCCCCAACGACTCCACGATGCCAGGAATGCGCCACATGCATCGGTGAACACGGTTGACGTTTTGTGTGTGGCTAGATGGTGCGTACCGCGCCCAGGTTGCCAAGTGCAAAGACGACAACCTTCGCCAGCTCATCCGACGTGTTGAAATGGACTACTTCACACTCAAGTTTGCCCCGCCGTTCGAAGACGCATTTGTGTACGTGCTCCACCGCCGTGCGATTCGGCGCATTCGATACACTCTCTTGCTTGGATTCGTTTGCGTTTTGGCCAAGTCGCTCTATGGAGCTCACGTTGGTGAAGGCCATCCGGTTACCCATGCCGACTCGGTGGGTATCGATTCGATCGTCGTAGCTTGACCACGAGATTGTAGGTGGCATTGGGCCTCGGGATCGGCGTCGCGCTGCCGACAATCGTCGTCGCATTTGGCTGCACGTTTGTGGAGGCATGGACGCCGTGGTGCGAGTACTATTCTTCGGTCGCGTTCTTCATCGTGTGCCTCGAAATGACGGCGGAAAAGTTGATTCTGCATAAACCCGGTCCGATCCTCCCGCTCTTCCTTTGCTTTGTTCCGGTCTTTGGGATCACGCGGCTTCGCTTCCATGTGTGCTGGCGGATGGTGGCGTTCACAATTGGCCTCCACCTGGCGGCACTCGTGGCAGCTGGCCAAGAGGACATCCCCGACATCTTTTTCCAAGGGTTTTCGTACTTGGGGGGGATTGTAGGGGGTGCTGTCGCCCACTACCGCGTGGTACGACGTTCGCGAGTCCGTCGTGCACACGATGTCATCCTACAGATGTAGGAAGTGCTTCGCCGTCGCAATTTTGTGCTGCATTTGCCCTTTTGTGCCGAATCGTTTGACAAGTTTCAAGTCCAATGCGATATGAAGGAGCCGAGCACGAGCAAGCATCGCCTCCTCGAACGGTAGTTGGGGCATCGACGGGGGAAGGCGCATTGCCTCAAAACGTCGTGGTAGGGTCACGCTCCGGTTCAAGAACCGCCAAATCGAAGCGTCGTTCAATCGGTATTGGTACCTGATCGATGGAAGTCCGTTTCAAAATGTCCACAAGTGCACTTTGCACCAAAATGCCGCGAGGACGATCCGGTATGCCGTCCAAAGCGCTTTTCTCCACCAACTCTTGTTGGCCCTTCAAGACTGGCGGTACACACTGTTCCTCCTGCTGTTGCACGTAGTCATCGAGGGACTTGTTTCTAGGTACATTTACCTGGCAGAGGCAAACTCGCACAAAACGTACTGGGTTGCCATCGGCCTACGTCTCAGCGTTGTGTTGGCGTATTTTGGCGCGCAGGGATTGATGTGGCGATATGGTCATCGGTACTCCAACTATTGGGAGCGCCACGGGTCGAAGCAGCAGCCACGGGAGCACCACGAGTCGATGTCCAAGCCTGTGCCCCTCTTGGAGGCGGCGTCAACATTACCCAGCAATTACGTGTGGAAGATGCAGCTGTGGTCGGCGTCGATTGTGTGTTTGCATGCGCTTTCCATGGGCCTGATTTTGATTCACTTTGACACTTCTGGCATCAACAGCGGCGTCGCCGCCCCGTGCTACTACCTCGCCCTCCTCAACGCGATACTATTTCCTCACCGATCTGGGTTTCGCGTTCGGTAAAATCCTCATCACGACGCCGCCCCATGCACAGACTGGAGTGACATAACCCACGCTTGTCGTAGGTTTGTATTTGCCACGGTGTCGACGGCCGTGGTGTGTGTTGTGTTTGGAGTCATCTGCAGCGTTCTCGTGCCGTATCACTTCCTCGAGTACTGCACCTACGTGGGGATCACGCTCTCCCTCGGCATGTTCATCAGCTACGAAGAAGAATCGGTTCGCCGATCGTTCTTTGTGCGACGGGCCATTCGATCGCACGAATTTGCTACGTGGCACGCTGCGATTTCCGTCATCCGACCATATATTCGACGAAAGATGGCAGCAAAGCGGGCAGCAGGCCGTCGCCGGGTGTTGGCTCTTCCTTCAGCCGCCGACGAATTGGCCAACAGCGGAGTGAAAATCCCGACCTCGAACCTCTTGGCCACTGCGAGCAAGTATGGCATGTACTTTGACGCGGTGCAAGCGGTCGTGGCGGCGTGTGTACTAGCAGCATACTTGAATTGAATCATCCCAACCTGACTTGCATTACAACTTGACTTTGATCTGGAAATGGTCGAGGACCGCGGCGACGACGCTGACGGCAAACAGGTACACGACCATGATGCCAAAGCCGACCGCCGGCGTCGCGTACAGCGTTTGCATCGACAAGTTGACCGCACCCGTCATCAAGTTGGCCACCAAAAACACAAACAGTTGGTTGCGCGAGATGCCTGCAAAGATCAACGGGACCCGCGGGGCCATGCTATTCCATCGCAATCAGCACGACAACGTCACACATTTCTTCTACCAGAGGTGAAAGTACGCAGCATGCGTGGTGAGTACGACGACGCCTTGCCATACAATCCAGCCCACGTACGGGATGTTGATCTATCCAGGGCGTCACGAACGATGAAAAATCCAGGCGCGTACCAAGCGTCGCGACGGGCGAGTCAGGTGCGTGGACACCAAGTCCGACACTCCCCACGCTGTAAAGCCGATCATAAACAGTTTGGCGATCATCCAGCGATCGCCTCGAACAACGTGGCGCGAGTTGGCGTTTGTCTTGGAGAAAATCACTTGGCCGATCGCGACCGATAGCAAGTACAGTGGCAAGTACCCTATCGAGAAAGCGACGTGAGCGGGCTGGCAAAATGATTTCTGGAAAGTGCACCGCAGAGGCTGAAGATGCCTTCGCGGTTCTGGCTGAACAAATCGACGCGAGGGGCGTTGAATATATAGTCTTGAATGCCAAATTTTGTTAGCCCGACTTGGTACCCTGTGTGCACATTCGCGTCAAGTGTGAAGGCCAAAGGGGCCGCACCTGCCAGAAGGACCAACGCGACCGGAACTGAAGTCGCGTACGACCCAAACAGTGCCAAGATTGAAAAGGTAAAGTACAAGCTCGCCAACGTAAAGTAGAAGTTCCAGTGGACGCCGTATTCAGTCACGTGTTCCTGTACAACCAAACGCAGCGATCGTTGCGAGATGTTTCTTGAGGCTGCAATGTAAGCGATCACCGTGGCATACCTGGTAGTTAACTTTCTTCACCGACACGTAGCGGACGACCCCGAGGACCAGGACGGGCAGCATCGGGCGGAAGAAGAGCCAAAGTGCACGCAAAGATAGCCTAAAATACTCACCTCAACGAACCTCAAAATGAAATGATTTACGAGGAGGATGCTCGCTTGGCGACGGTGCCGCGCGCGTACGCCGACGTCAGGGCCGACGACATGATGAAAAGCCCCACGCCGCTGTCCATCTGCACCAAGTCTTGAGTGACAAGGGATTGCGACAAAGGGATTCAGGCGTACCAAGCTGACGCCGAACGTTTCCGTCTTCGCAAAACGACGCGGGAAGATGGTGAAGTCCACCGCCAAGATCGCCACACACCTCCAGGTATCGTTAGCACGATGGACATGAGCGCGGGAGGACTATCGTACGTGCAGGTCATCATTTGCGCACGAAAGCACGTCACGGCAGGCTTCTCACTGGACATGAGAAACGTCAACTTGTCCTTGCGCGCGAGTTTCTTGTCCGCCTCGGTTGCATGGCGATGTGACAGTGTGCCAAGGGCCACCGCACCGACAGCAAATACAACTACCAATCGCCATGAGCGCAAGGAAATATGAAGAAAGAGCGTACGGGTGATGGGAAGCGTCCATTCGGTGAAGGTGAACGAGATCAAAATCGGCAGCACGAGCAGGGCAAACTCGAGCACAAGCACGGACATCGTGCGCTGGGATGAACCACAACCAGATTACCCAACGATCTCCATTGCATGTACGCTTACCAGTAGCTTGCTCTTTCCAAGTAGACCCAAGTTCTCGATGACAAACATGAGTTCGCAGTAAAACCACAGACTTGTCTACCCCATCATCGTTGGTGTCATTTTGATCCATCGCTCAAACCGTACCGATAGCACCGATAGCACGAGCGCTACCTCACCCACGCTGGTTCCATTGTGCCCACTGACAAAGAGCTCCTTGGCCTTCTTGTAGGCCGCTTCGTCCACCGCCATCCTTGTCGGCACAGTCCCGTGCGATCTCCGAGTGTTGATGGTGTCACAATAACATCCGTATAACCGCTTCGTTATCCGGACGATGGGATCGAACACGCAACGCTTCGCGGAGGATGATGCGTCAAGAAGATTTGAACCATGTTCGAACCTTCGGCGCTGCATTGTTTACCCTGTCGCCACGATGCTGCGCCCGTGGTGTTTCCTCGTGTGGACGATGGAAGCGCTCGCCGCCGTGGACGACGCCATGTACACGCCATGGCGAGCCACGAACCTTCCAGCTACAGCCACACTCTCTCATGGATTCGACTATTCTCCACAGCAGCCTGCTTTTCCAGAGTGCAATCACGCCCGACCAGAGAGCGTATCATGCGAGTTTCGCATTCGTATCGCTCTTGCTAGCCCAATGAATCCAGACGAGGTGACCATGGCCGACGCGTGGTACAATCGTATGGTGGAGTGGAGTCGGAACAAAGTGTATCGATATCGTGGTGAACACTGCTCGATAGCATGGCAAATGGACGAGGTTTACATCCCGCCCATACCGAAGGACCATCCTTGTCGACAGCGCATCCCAGGTTGCACGGTGATCGAGGCCGCCGAGATCACCACCAAAACGACCAACATGACCGAGATCCACGACGCGGTCCTTCTCGACGACACCAACGCACGAATCGCCGACGCGATGGTGGGTTTTTTCGGCCGAGTGGTAGATTACTACCATCTTGCGACGTATGGCACGGCGCGCCGCATTCCTCAAGCCCTCTACTTCTTTCACAACGCCCAGGTCCACCAATTGTCCGAGTCGATCAACGCGTGGACGACGAAACAGTCTCTCTTCGACGTGGACGTCTTCCAGAAACTCGGGCTCCATTCCGTCGACTCTTCATACGATTGCTCGCGTGTAATGGTCAGTACTGTGCCGGTGCTGTACGTGGACGCGAAGGGAGAGCGCCGCTGTATCTGCCAGTGCCTCGATGGCTTTGAGCTTACCCAAACATCTCAAGGAGCCGTGTGCGAACATGTTCCAGCGGTGCCCTCAAACGAGTGCGTCTACAGCAAGCGAGCGTATACATACAACATCGACACACCTCATGACCACGATGACTGGAACCAGTGCCGAATCAACTACCTCCCATCCTTTCGGCACATGCCATATCCCACACATAATAGCACGGACGGATCGTTGCTGCGGGTGCAAGTGGTCGGCCCAAACTCCAAAGCCGTGAAATTTTCTCAACGGAATATCAAGTGGCTCCCGCCACCCTTTGGCCACCAACGCAAGAACATTCTGAGCGACGCATCCATTCGTCGCCCTGGTGTGTACACGATTCAAGTAGATTGGAGCACCCTTGACAGCTCGGTTCAAACCACTAGCGCAGTGGTGTGCAAGGCGTGCCTGGCCATCACCGATCGCTTTCGCCCTGTGAGCAACGTGGCCTGCCCCGGCGACGCCGCCGCTATCCACGACCTCCCGCCGACCATGGTGGGGTCTTTCGCCATCCCAACGGCTGAATACACCGTTCGGAATCTCCTGAAGGCGAACGAATTTGTACTACGACATTACGTGTACGGCACGGACGTGCGTAACGATGTGTGTGGCAGCGAAGGCCGCTGCGACAAGCTCAAGTTTGCTCGCCGCGACTTCTATGGCAAGGTCATGTCCTCCGTCGACGCATTTGAGTCGGGTCGGTCGTGCTTCTCCGACGCAGTGTCGACGACGACACTGACCCGCCTGGTAGAATCGCCATTTGGTCGTGATCTAGACAGGATTGACCTTGCCGATCCCGTGCCTCGTGGCCTGTGCACTCGATGCTGCCAGCTCGAGACGACGCTGAAAGAATGGTGGAGGAACTACCAGTGCCCAAGCGTTGTGAGTTCTCAAGCATTCGAACGACAATGCAGCGGCAATGGCGAGAGCTGCACATCCGCACAATGCCTAGTCGCGCACGGCCCGACATTTTTCGTCGCTCAAGCTGCGATCCATCCAACCGTACAAGTCGACACTGTTGCAATGATGTCTAGCGTGTTCCCTACCGTTGTATACCCTTCGTCTGTGGAAGTGCACGTGTTGCTCGAATGCTCTGCGTTTGGCGATCGAAGCAAGCAGCAGAAATGCTCGCATGCGGTGCCTCTGCGCCATCTCTTGACGTGGTCGAGTGGTCTCAACGACGTGTCGGTGCTTCGAAGCGCAACCAACAAGTCCTTTGTGTTCTGGCGATATCGCGTCCTTGATCGAGGCAACTCGACTGCGGACGACTACAACACAGCTAGTCCAACCCGATGGGCTAGTGCTGACGCGGACGATGCGTTTCTGCGCTTTGATGCTGCCGTCTCGGTATTGGAAATGGAAGCGTGGTCGCAGTGCGGCCGAGTCGCATCGTTTCAATTTCACGTGCTGTTACATTTAACGCAGGAAGTGAACCCGGCAGCTTCGTTCGACCAAATGTGGTACCAAACGACGGCAGCGGCGCAAGGACGTCTCGTCGACGTCTTGGTGCCATTCAAGAAAAGCGCGTTTGCCGAGCTTACGTTTGACTTCTCCCCGACGATGGGCCTGGGCTGGCCGCCTCTGACGGAGAACCCAAGGCGATTGCCGCATGTACCCATGTGGGTATCGACAGGGGTGCAGTGTTCTGTGCAGCTGGGCCACGTGTCGCCCTCCGAGCTCGTTCACTCCTCCAGCGTCAATGTATCCATTGTCCAACGCATGGCCATTGCTGTACCCGTCTATGGCGAATCTTTCGGCTACGTGGCATGCAACTTTTCGTATCGGCATGTATACTACGCCAACCAAACTCACGACGCCATCCATCTCGTAAAACGGTTCACGATTTTGCCGCAACTTGACACGGTGACGTTCGATCAGCAAGATGTCGACATGTACACCGTGTGCCGCGGGCTGTTTGTGCATTTGAGCGACGATGGAAGCACGACAGTCGTCGACACCATGTTGAAGGAATGTCGTGCGCCAAGCGTGTGCGCTCCGGTCTTCGCGCTCCCTGGCACCCAAGACATTTCCCGATGTGTGCTGGAGTGGGATGGCGAAACCAGCACCGCGAGTGGGGACGCGTCCTTCGGTATGCAGTTGCTGATTCATACAGCTGCGCCAGCATCGGTGGCGCTTTCGACGATGGTTGGCATGGTGGTGGTCCTTGGCGGGCTGGTGGCGCTTGTGGCGTCCCGGAAGTCGCGACTGCGAACCGAGGACAATCCATGTTTGGCCGAGAATATTGGCACCGATCACTATTACGAGCTATGACACAGCGTCTTCATCGAACAGGAATTTAACACGGTTGTGCCAGCAAGTTTTTTTCGAGTGATGGCAGGTCTAGCGCGGTCGAAATGATGCTTCAAATGCCAGATGCATGTCAGCAGTCGGGGAATAAGCGTGCCTTCTACGAAAGACAATTCGCCGTGAGGTTTACCCCACATAGCGTGTGGCTGCTGTAGAACGCACATGGCGATGGCTACGAGCATGCGGCCATGCTCAACTCGGGTGACACTGCCAAACGATCCGCGACCTTTTGGACTTGGAAACACAAATTTTCGCGAATTTTTGGAAACTTTTCGGAACAATTCACGAATTGATGACGAAAACGCTTGGTTTCAACACAAAAATGGAGTTTGTCGAAGTGTTGCCGACGGCGGCGACCTCCATCCTCGAGCATCTCGTCGCAGTTGAAAGAAGGTAAGGGGAGGCATAACGCGCGTACGACAACGAGGATGCTCTATGCTCCCTCATGTGCATACTAAACGCGACAGATCGTTTGCAAAGCACGAAAGCCAAGGAGATCATTTGATCCATGAGGCTGCCAAACCGTACGTCCAGCCAAGCAGTCACTGCTGCCTGTGTATGATGACTTAAGCCATCCTGTAGGGGCCACACACTTCTCGTCGCGCTCGACAACGCGTCATTAGTGTGCGGCTACGTTCTGTTCTCAGCGAACTCTGTGAGTTGCGTCACTCTCCCGCCAACCTCGTGATTCGCGACACGTTCATCAGGTCGCTGGCCGTATCGTCAAAATTGCAGTCGATCCATCCAAAAGACGACAAGGCATTGGTCGGAGTCTCATGCAGGAAGCTCTTCGTCGACTGCATCGGTGGGCTCTCACACTCGCGAATTTCATACTGATATCTCGTCAAAGGTCGTCGTCGATCTCACTGCACGTAGCAGTCGAGCGGACCGCGGCGGTTGCTCTGTATCAACACTTGGGATTCCACATTCAAGATACACGACGAGACTTCTACCGCGTCGGCGAGGACGCATACTTCATGGAGATCGATCGAGATGCGGCACATAACCTCTAACCTCTTGCGGTGGCTCCGTCAAAACGCGAAGCGTTGAGCACCAGCCCAGGATCTGCAGCATCACGTCAACCCCCAAGCAAGTGATGACAAGCGGAATTTTGTTGTACCTTTGACGGATTGTTCGGCGTAGCATTCAAGGCACAGATGGACGGGATCAACATACCTTCCTTTCATGTGGTTCGGGCAGTACACCGCGGCAAACTTGGTGCTGCAGCCGTCGCAAAAGGTGCACTCATCCGGTTTAGTCCACGACATTCGCATCGTTTTCGGGTTGTAATAGTAGACATCGCCTACAAAGGCGGGAGTGCCCCCTTGAGGAAGGGCCGCGTTCATCGCCACCATCGAAGCAAGGAGGTGGCGGCGCCGACCCACCTGTAATGTCGGGGCAAATGTACCATTTGTTTGCCATCGGTAGATCGTGGGTCCCAAGGCACGTTGGCTTCGAGCACACGCCTTTGGTTCTTGTGTTGAGGTACACAACTTGGCCGGTCGCAACGTCGTACACCTTTTCAAAGGCATGCTCGACCTTGCGCTGTAGTACCTTTCTTGCCAGATAGACCTTTGCACCACGTTGGATGCATGTGGCAGCGCGGAAGCGCTCCATGCTATCCCGCTCGATCTCGAGGCGCTACGAGTGCGCAGGAAAATTTGACAAAGGCGTGTGTCGAAAATAACGCGACATACCCGTTCGGTGTCGGCGTCATCCTGCTCTTGCTTGGCGACTTGGAGCTCGAGCAGTCGCCACTCGTTCCTTGCCCGTTCTCGTTCCTCTTCCATTTCCTCCAGCAACACATCGTGCTGCGCCCGATCTTTCATTTCCTTGGCCGCCATCGCAATCCCCGTTGCTTTGTAGTTGGCCTTGACTTGTCTATACTTGACGTCGAGTCGGACGAGAAATGCTGCCTTGAGCACGTCGTCGTCTTTGGAATTGGGTCGCAGGAGAACTTGTAGGAGCTTGTCGCGGCGGGCCTGCGCGCGGGATTCTATTTTCGCGCGCCATTCCGCTTCGCGCGTTGCCTTCCGCTCCAACTTGGACGCGGCGACGCTCTCCAGCTTTGCTTTGCGCTGCCCCATGATGGTCGCCCACTCTCGTTCGCGACGCCGTACGATGACCTTTTGCCGCTCCCTGGTTCATCATGGGGTGTGATCAGGCCAGGTTTGAAAAGGAAAGCCAGTGTAGCGCACCGTGCATCGACGATTTCTCGAGCTGCTATCGCTTCGGTGTCCTCGCGTAATTTGTCGTAGTATGCCATGACAGCGGCGCGATGGTCGTCCCGCGCCCGCTCTGCCGCTTGAAGCATGATCTTCATTTCCATTTCGATGCGGTGGTAGTCTTGATTGTCGGACTCCGTTTGCTTGGCCACGAGTTTGGTTTTGTGTTTGCGGTAGGTTCGCTAAGCACGGCCATGATGACCAGCTCCGCATGGGCATCGACTGATACTGACTTGAATTTGACGGGCAGCACGGACGCGATCGGCTTTCGCACACGCCTCGCGTTGAGCTTCAATCTTGGCCATTTCACTGTCGAAGTAGGCCAGGAGCCTTGCCCGCGCCCGGATGCGGCCAAGGCGGCCTCGGTAGACTCGCTACAGCAAGGAAGGGCGGTCACTCACGTTATCGAACCTGTCCAACCTGAATTTTGATGGCGTGCTTGCTCTTAAGCTTGGCTAGCTTGACGAACTTGTGAAACTGGTCGCGGTCGCGGTAGAGCCGTTGAATGGTGAGCACAGCTTGCAGCGTTGTCAGGGCACCGAGAAACCGCCTGCGTCCTTGCATGCCACGAAACACTCGCTAGAAGAAACGCTGTGACAACAGGGGACTAGGTTGTTTGGAGTCCTTCGTCGTTACTTGAATTTCTGTCGCGGCCACGACCTTCAACGCGTGCGATCGTAGCCTGTCGAAAGCGTCGAAGCGAGACCTGAGGGCGGCTTGGTCCATCGCACGGAGTACAGTGCGCCGAGCGTTGCGCCGATACTTTACTTGGTCCAGCCACAGCGACCAGCACTGCAGCAGATCCGTCAGCGCATCCGTCGGTTCTGCATTTATACGTACAAAGCGCATAGTCTTGGCGTGGTAATACGACAGGAACTTGCGGCATTTCGCTCGGTCTTTGTCGAACTTGCGCATTTGAAACAAAAAGTGTCGGATGTGCGGCGACATGAGCTCGATGAAGTACGTCGTGTATGGTGTGGCTGGCTCAAGCACTTGGTGGAGAATCGGGTGATCTTGGAGTTCGCAAAAGTGACGGTAGTGGATGCGCGAACGATTCAAGACGGATTCGGGCAGGGCGTGGTCGGCTTGGGCAATCTATTCACATCGTTTACGTTCACTCGGTCGGATGCGGGCATATACTCGCTGATTAATCACACGAGAGCACACATGACTGCTCGCTGCAAAGTTGAAAATGTTGTACAAGTCGTGGCGAGTTATCCAGAGCTCGGGCGAGTCGTCCAATAGCCCAGGCGAGCTAAAGAGTTGAAATCCAAACCAAAAGTAGGCTGATTCGGGCAGCATCGGCTCTCGCAGCATCCTACAGCGACATGTACGTCATATACCCTCTAGACACGACCTGAACGGCAGTACTTGAGAGATAAGAGCAGCAGTCTCCAGTTCGCATGCAGCGTAGCAACGTCCTTGGTTCGTTTCGTCATGGCGTGTACGTTGGTAGATTCAAAACAGTAGTGCAGTCCTTCGAGATGTTTGACCAGCGCCTTGGATTCATCGTCCATGGAAGTGAGTTTCGTCGCTTCGATGCCGCAAACAGTCCGCAGGACACCGATGAGTCGGGGCTTCGTCACCATTTGTTGGGGAAATGCTCGGTAAAGGTGCTCGTACAAGCCATGGCCGTCGCCACCGAGGGATATGTGTCCAAACCGTTTGGAATTTGTCAGGAGAATGTGCTGGACAAGCGCACGTTGTAAATATGAATTGCATGTCGATGCAAACACAATACCAATCGAAAGAGTTCGCTCCACTTTTTGGCCGCAAAGGATTCGACCGTGCTGTTCTTCTCGGTTTGGATCAACTCGAGCTCTTCATGGAGGCTGCGGTGGTGTCTTCGTGTCCGCACGACGGTCGCACTCGTCGTGCCGGAGAGCGGGTCGGCCTGCGCCATGTTGACCTCCACATTCGGATAACTTGTTCACGCCGTGCCTATTCAAGATCCACATTATCCGGAATCAAGGCAAATGCCAACCCTTCGTCCAGTAACTGTGTGCCGATGAAGTATGCGCTTGCCGCTTGTTATCGAGATGCTGCTGTCTGTGGTGATGCGTGCGCTTTCGCCGCACCTGTGATGGGTATTGAGTCCGCGCAGTACAGGACGGCGGCTCGCTGCACTAGATGGCTGCTTTGCTCGTCAAGAGTAACGGACCGAGCCACGTGCAGCGGTTATACTTGACATTTTGCGCTTGGCGAAATGGTTGCCCAAAGAGTCCACGACACACGGGTAGTGTTGCCAACTTACCAATGGCGGGATAACTCTCTTGAGTAGGCTGGGACAACCTTCGGGAAGGCACCGCGCTTTCAACCCCACGGCCCCACCAACCAGATCAGAGTAGCGTCAGCGATCAAGGCACATTCGGTTCTGAATGAAATCGACAATCTTTTGCACTCGTTGGGCCCACTTCGACCAAAATCAACGCCGGCTCCGTCCAAAGACCATCCCAATCTGAACGTAAAGCATCAAATACGAAGCCCTGCTGTGCCTTTTTCGACGAGTTCTCGCATCAAGCCCCAACGCAAGAGTTCTCGTAAGTTGCCATCAGAAAGCAGAGTTACTTAGGAAGTGATTTGCCTGTCCAGTTGGTCCCGGCATGTACGATACGACCCGAGCTGATAAAGTGGTCCGTCGACGCCTTGCAGGCTCTGCATGGCCTTCACCCCCTCCACAGAAGCACTTGCTTTCACAACCGACTGACAACAATGCTACCACTGACGATAGCAGCACTGAGTCCGATTCATCTGCATGTTCCGTCGAGAAGTTCGTTCAGGAAGCGCTACGCCTCCAACCACTGCCGCGCCCATCTACGACATGTCGCCGAGCCCGTCGAAGTCCCGGTTTCCATTCCATCTCGTATACGCTGGTAGATCGCCGCGTCACTGGAGCTCCTTTAATGGCCCAAGCAGCTCGAAGTTGCTCCAGTACTCGCAAACTTCGCCGAAGAGGACTCGTATGCGTCCTGACAAAGCAAGCATGGTCCACTCGGCACCCAACCTGGCTTCCCGTACAGCTGCATTCGTCATGGTTGAGAAGGACCCGCTGTCGCTTGGTATCAGGTTTTGGCCTCAAAGTATCTCGTCGGTCGGGGGCGTCGTCGTTGAAACCATCGGAATGGACAGCGCCGCAGTGTCATCAACCTTGGATTGCACAGGCTGTGGCGAGGGCGTGGTCGAAGCAGCTCGGGCGTGATCGCGTGCAGTGCAAAGTCAAAGGCGCCAAGAAGATCTTTGCCTTTTGCATGCCATTGTCCCGTCGAGGCAGCTGCGGTGCAAAGGTTGCAGCGTTGGAGGCACCAAAGAGGAAGTGCCGCGGGGCTTTGGTCCAGTACGACAAAGCTGTTGGGCGTAACGATGCCGTGGGGCCATTCGGTGCCAAGCCAGACTCAAGCGAGTGGGGCCATCTGCTGGCAAGGGAGTGCGTGGATTTGAACGTGGATCGGGCGTGTGTCCAGCCACGAGTTCCGTCGGTCGTGCTTCCGCGGCGTGCATGGCGACCGAGACTCCCTGACAATTGCTCAAACCACTTGGATTTGTGTCCTCAATACAGCTTTGGAAAGAAGAGGGTGAAGGGCGTGGTTCGTTTTGAGAGGGGGCCGAACACAACATCGAGAGTGCCGAACGAGAAAGTTGGCGAAAGGGTCCCTGTCGAAATGAAGTACCACGCGGTGGAGCCAAGAGTGAAAGGCATTGTCGCATATCAACCCACCAACTCCATCATGCATCATCCACCCGATGCAAACCTCTGTATCCTGCAGCCAAGTTTAGTTTGGACCATGCCGCGCCACGGCGGTGTCCAAGACATGAGCAAAACACCTGACCGATGGCAAGTATCGCCGACTTTGCGCCGTCGAAATCAAGATCACATCTTGTTTCGATCAAATGCCAAGGACGCTGTTGCAACTTCTGCGCGCGTCCAGAGCAAATACACCAGAATGCCCTCCATGGTTGATATGGCAAAGCAGCTGAAACGTGTTGATTCTGGGAGAGCGAAGGGCTACAGCGACGCAAACTACGACATTTCGAACCAAGCGCGAATTCTGGGCACGTCTACAAACGCGAGCAAGACAGTTGTGAACTTGGCGAAGGCATCCGCCTCCCGACCGCAGCGGCTACCATGCGATGAACGAACGCTCGATCTTGATGTGGCCAAGGCAATTCATGCCAGCAGTACATCCAAACGGGCACTTGCGACAGTGCATATGGCCATGCAAGGCACCGCCGCCGTCGAAACCAGCTGGGCATGGGCTGACTCTGGACCCAACACCATGGAAAAAGGTTGCGCAGAAGGGAATCGTGGCCAAGCAACAGGCGAGGGTGGAACTATTTGAGGGATGCACGAAGGAAATGCCCTCGCTCACTCTGTCGCCTTGCGATCCTACTGTTGTTCTCTCCGACTACAGACGCCCTCAAACCTATGTGAGCATGTCCCAAGGCCAAGTGGGCGGGTCTCTATTCGTAAAGTCAAAGCACACGACACGTTGCCGACCCCGAACTGTATTGCAGCTGTGACCAAGAAAACAACGATGCCAGTGCAGAAGGATAAAACTCAAGGACGTGAAAGATTTGGCTTCACGCAGAAGCAAAGGGTGGAGCTCCATCTGTCGCCAAAGGCCACTTCGTCGACACTGTCCACTTAAACACGCATTGAGGCCCACGTGAACATGGAGAAGTCTTCTGGTCGACGCTAACTAAAGCCCATACTGATCATCCCTTCTCATCATCCCTTCTCTTGCTGCAAAGTTCCTCTGGCGTTCGAGTTCCTCGATGAGTCCTGCGATCTTTAGCACAATCTTCGCTGGGGATGAACATTTCTCTCTGCAATTCTCCACGTACATGATGTGCAGGTCGTTCGTTCCATGGATTTCGCTCCAGAGTTGAATCTGCTAACCGCGACCTGACATCACTGTGCCACGACCGCAAGGCCAACTTTAGCGAAAAAGCATGCGTGTGAGGCCCATCTGATCAACGACCGATGGCTAGATCCAGACACCGACTCGTTACTCAAATGACGCCGACACGATATTGCAATTGGAAGAGCGTGATACCCCTGGTGCACGACTGCGCCAGGGACGTCTGTGGTCCTCACGCGGTTCTTCTGCATGGATGCTTCTGATTTTTGGTATTTCAGAGTAAAGTTGTAGTCGCACAGCTAGCACTATGCTTTCAACCTTCGAGCATGCGTCCATACATGAAGAAATGGATTACTACATGAAGGGTAGCCACTGAGGAAAAGCCCTCCGTCATTCTGTCGTCTCGCGCAACTCCCTACTGCTAACGTGGGAATGTCGTGTCGGTGCGAACCGATCCTGTGAATGGAACGTCCTTCGTATCTGTTCAGGAACGCACTCGGGGAGCTATGGGAACGTGCGGCGTGTGTGGCCTCTTATACTTTTGATTTCACAATACTAGTGATAAAAAACCTGAGAGGGCCAGCCCTCGAGATGCACTCGAGGGTGTTGTTCATTTAGGACGTCAGTATCAAGCGCTCTGCCCATGCTCCAGCAGAACGACCTCGAAAACGTCCGCGGGGTCGTCGCCGCCGCACATCGCCTTTCAAAATTCGCTGTGTGGTGGAAATTAGGTGCATGCCTCTGATTGGGTGGAGCACATATGTTCTTGTATCAGCCCGTACCGCATGTGTGTTCCTATATCAAGGTTCTTCAATATAACTGTTATATTGCTCACCAATCTTCCATGTTATATTATAACATGGAATGTTGGATTTCGGCAACCATGCCGTGGATTTCCCATTCTACCAGATACGTTATTCCTCGACGGCTAGCCTGTCCTCCCGTGGGAGACTTTGCCCCGGCTTGTGTCTTGTATCGAGGAGCGTGGGGGAGATGGCCTGGGTGAGGATGTGGGGTTGGTAACGATTGACGGTTTAGCCACGAAGCCGGTTGTATGTGTCACAACTCCATTCAAGATCTCGAGGATCTTGACGAGGTGTCGAAGCCGGGGCTTGACGCGACTGCGACCGAGCAACTTCAGAATCCACCCAGCAACGGTGGCTTCACCGAAAGCAATGCGACGAGGACGACAACCTCAGCCAACATATTCGATTGAGATTTGATCGAAATCGAATGACAATGGTTGCTCGAAGACGTCTGCTCGATTGGAATAGCAGGCGCAACACGAGCAAGGATGGGATGACAGCGCTCGGATAGCACACAGTTCCATTCGCGACGTGCTTGGCACACATGATTGGAGCCAGTCGACTGCTTCTCCTCGTCAACGCTGCCGTCATTTCGATCGCCTATGTGCAATTCAACAACGAAATCGCGCTCCACATGGAAGACCAACAGGCCGACACACCATGGCGAGCAATGTACTCGCAAGCGCCGTCCGAGGTGATCACGATGGACGTGGATGGCCGAGGCGGCTCAGGCTTCCTCGACACCTCGTCTACACCTGCGCTCACAGCCCTCGTTGCCCCACGATGCAACCAGTTTCCCGTCGTCGACGGACCATGTACCATCCACGTCCTCTTTGCCCTGTCCAAGTGCCTCGATACGTCCACGATTCTCCTGTTTGCCGACTGGGTTCAAAAGCTCGCGACGGCGGAGCGAAAATTCCTCACAGGCGGCAGGGCGTGCGACGTTACGTTCTCCACTGTTCTCCTTACGGCGTGCACGGAAGGCCCGCGAAGTGCCGCCACACGTTCGTCGTCGCTTTCGACCGCGGAGATGGCAAGGTACTTTACGCCGTTTGGCAACGTGTACTGCTCCATGGCCGAGCTCGGGTTGAAAGCGACAGTGCGCCCCGCGGCTGTCGTGAGCTTGTTCAGCGACAAGATCTCGCACGATGTCGTTTTGGCCTATGAGGAAGAGCGTCGCGTCCGCACCGTCTTCAACTTCTTCGTGTGCCCGCCTGGAGTTGTGGGGCTGAAGTGCAAAACGAGCTACGCTGCGTTCGCAGACGACTCGACGTTCCTCGCACAGGACACCGACCTGCTAGCACACAATCCGTTCAAAGCAGTGCAGAGTTTCCACTGCGCCAACGCACTCCCGAACGGCGTCCCCGTCGTGTACGTTGACCAAGTGGGTGCTCGGCAGTGCTTTTGCCAGTGTCCCAGTGGGTACGAAGAATCGACCGTCAATTCACAGCGCGTGTGCGTACCAACCCCCAAGGAGAACTGCGCGTGCTACTGGAGCGGTCGCAAGTATTCGTTCGACATCACGCGGGCCAGCGATGGCCGCAGCAATGCCAACTCGTGCCGCATCTCGCGCTTGTATCCCCAAACGATCCCTCGCATCCCATACCCTCGGAGCAACTACGTGTCGGAGGCGCGTACGAACGACGGCGACGTCAACATGGCCAATATCACGGACGGTTCGCCATGGATTCAAGTGTCGGTGGCTCAAGTGGCCGGCAGCTCCAGCGGCGTGAAATCCCCCATGGAATCGTCGCAGCACTTTGCTTGGAGGTACTTTGTCACGCATCGCGACACAATTACAAACGACATTGCCCTGTCAAGTCCTGGCGTGTACGCCATCAAGATGACGGCCAAGGGGTACCGCACCGCCGCTGACTGCGAAGTGTGTGTTGCAGTTGTGGACAAATTTCGTCCTGTCAGCAATGCCCAGTGCCCCAAGCCCATGTGCGACCAAACCTCGTGCTTGGACTCCACGGCGGTCATCAAGCCCACTGCGGTTGCAGAGTATTCACCAAAAAACATCGCTGCCGCGCAAGCGATCCTCGAATCGCACGTGGCGTACTCGACTGAGAAGAACGTTGTCAACGACGTGTGCGGGGGCAGCAGCGGCGGTCGGTGCGACGACAAGCGCTTCTCTCGTCGCGCCATGTTCGAGGACGCATATGTAGACGACGCAAACTTTGATCGCGGGCAGACGTGCTTCACCGACAAAGTCAAACCAAACGTCGTGGCGCGGCTGCAGCAATCTCCGTTTGGGGGCGACTTGGCCTTGCTCAACGTTGCAATGCCCGTGCCGCCTGGGCTGTGCACGAGGTGTTGCAAGTTGCAGACAAAGCTCAAAGAGTTTTGGCACAACTATCAGTGCGGCAACTCGACGCCGCCTGCAAAGGTGTGCAGTGGCACCGACCCCGGCTGCGTGACGGAACAATGTCTAGTTGGGCTCGGGTCGACATTCTTTGTCGCGTCCGCCGCGATCAAACCCGAATACGAAGTGGCAACGAAAGAGCTTATTGCACACGAGTTTCCAACCAAGGGGTACCAGAGCGAGACCGAGATTCATTTGCAGCTCGAATGTTCGGCCTTTGGCCGCACGGACCAAGGCAAATGCGGCCACGTCGCGCCGCTCCACGACCTCTTTACTGTGTCCAGCGCGTTGAACGATCGGACGGTTCTCGTCGAGGACAAGCGGTACGTGTTCTGGCGCTTCCGCGTCGATGGCAGCGACTGGCGCAGCTTTGACGACAAGGCGGCGGTTGGATTCCACGCCGAGCACTCGGTCGTGGCCCTCGAAGCTTGGTCGCAGTGCGGTCTCGTCAAAAAATTTGGATTCCATGTGTACCAGCATCTGCATCAACCGATCGCCGTGAACGAAGACTTTGATGGGATGTGGTATCAATCGTCGAGCCGCCTTGACTCCACGGCCACGGGCGGGCTGTGCAACTACATGCAGAGCGACTTTGCCGAACTCACCTTTGACTTCAATCCCCTCGCTGGCCTCGTCGTGAACCAGACGCGATTGCTGCCGTGGATGTCCACAGGGGTCGCCTGTGACGTGCAATATGCAACCACGTTGGCGCCCGTGCTCCTCTTCGCGTCCATCTCGCGGAATACATCCATCCTTCGCCGGTTTAGTTTTCAAATGCAAACGATGCCGACGACGCGCGCCGACACAACTTTCGCCGTCACATGCACGTTCTCGTACGCCAGCACGTACACGAACCGGACGCTCGCGCTCCCGGCCACCAAGACATTTACAATCAAAAACTGCGACAAGCCCGACTGGGACTGTCCGTTTGGGGCGTGTTCAGACAAGTGTGCGGCGGTGGGCACTCCCGCGCCGTTCGACGTGTGTGGGGGGCGCACCGTGTTTGTGTCTGCGTCATCGGAGACGGTGGTTGCCGTTCCGAAGAAAACGTGCTGCACTACCTGTGGCCCAGCGCAGTGCCAGTCTGTGTTTGGCAATGCAGTTGCCCTTCGTGAAGAAGAAGACGTGCTGCGATGTGTCGTGCCAGAGGACGCCCTTGCGAATTACACGGGCAATGCGGACCTCCTAGCCATGCACGGCCAGCCCGACGTCGTCATGTCCGTATCAACGTCGATTGCTGCGTGCGTGCTACTCGTCCTAGGGGTTGTGCTGGTGGTTTGGGGACGTCATGCGTCCGACCGCACCGTTGACGTCGATATGCTGACAGATTACAGCGGAGCGTACTACCCGCTGCTGGACCGCTAAAGAGTCGTTGGCGGCGCAGCTAGAGTAATTTTGGTATATTTTAAAGTCCAATGCGCAAGTGTCTGGGGCGACGTCCGCTGATCGCACAACGTGCGCAGTCCCGCCCTGCCTTTGGGCGCAGCAGCGGGATGGCAAGCGCAGAGATGCTTGCATCGACCTACTCGAGCGTGCGATCGCGTGCACCTTCTACGGGGTTGCCTAACTCTGCCCGGCCAGTACGGCTCGGATATACTGGTATATCATTTGATATTGGTCCTACCGCAAACCACAAGTCACGGCAATGTATCGCTCCCAGCACTTACGGTCGTCTGCACCATGCCCGGTCGCTGGCACCGAATGCGATGGACAATCGCGCGAACGTTCAGCGCGGCTTGCACCTGCTCCTCGGTGGCCGTTGCCAGCGGCAGCGCGCGCAGCTGCTGCAGGATGATGTCGATAGCGATGAACGTGCCGGAACGACCAATGCCAGCGCTAACGACATCACGTCCAGAACGACCGATAGCAGGCAAGTGACGGGGGTACCTGCAGTGGACGACGATGGGTCGCGAGGGGGGTGCGATGGCCTCGCTCCTGGTGCGTTCGTTTCGGGCGTTCAAACCATGGACCAAGCAGAGCAGTGGCTTGATCACGGCAAAGTCCTGGAGAACGCCGTGGTCGGGCCACGACGTCAATTGGACGTGGTATACTAGCCTCGATTCGTTGGCTTGCCAAGTACATGTCAGATGCAATCGTGATCAGGCGAGGAACGCACTGGATGGTTGTCGAAGCTCGATCGTTCGAAGTGTATATCCACGCGACGACACCTCTTCGTCCTTCAGCTCGATCGTGAAGACGCCGACGTCAACGACGCGGCCCTTGGGCACCCAGTACATGTCTGCTTTGAGCTATGGCGCACACGTTGAGCATGCATCGGCCGCGCGACATTGCGAAGGGAGGCGTCAGGTACCATTTCTCGCTCGATAAAGTTGGTTAGCATGAGAATCACGTGGACGTTGTCGTGCCACACCATCGACCAAAAGTCCTCGATGGCGGAAGGCGGTGGCGCGCAGCATGCAATGTATTGGTCATTCAAGATGTAGTTGGCGTTGATGTAGTCGCCAGCTGGGTTGGACGACTGCGGCGTGCGGAGACGTACTCGAGTCTTTTCGAACGGTAGGACGTCGCGGTATCTGTTCTTCTTCTTGGTCGCGGCAGTCTGCTCCGTCAGAGCAGCCTCAAACCAAGGCGCCCCTTCCACGCTTTCCCGAATTCCAAAATACTCGCGGCCGTCCTTGTCCGCTTCCGTATGTGCGCACTATACCTCCATCGCTTCAGCAACTCCGAAAGTTTGGTTGTAGAAACCTACGTACCTGGCGCAGAAACGCTTGGACAGCAGGGTGGTGGCGAATCGTGGGGTGTTCCGCCAAAGCATCCAGGGGCTGCCACCACGTTTGCATATCGTTCTGCATCTCTTGCTCCAAGGAGGACGCCACCGGGCCTGACTTGCCGCTGCCAAGGATCGTCTTCCACATGGAGGTTGCGTCGATCGCGGCCGTTTGTTGTCGGAAGCGATTCTACTACGCATGTCGCTGCGGATGCATCCGGATAAGCGGAATGTTGGTCATGAAAGCCAGCCCAAACAAGAGTGAGTTTCTCGGAGAGTCGAGGCCTTCATCCGTCGACCAGCTCCACGACAGCACTTCCAAGCGACTTAATGTTAAGGAGCGCCGACTCCATCGTCAATGAGCATCGTCTTTCAGCTGCGAACGTCCTGGGCGCGTCTGAAGCCTAGGCTAAAATCTCCCTCTGTCTGATTCTGTCTGTTGTCAACCACATAACCATGGATTTTACAAAGGTTGTGCTCATTCACATGAAGACAAAGGACATCGACGCCGGCAGTCCAGAGGGCCTGCGTCGTGACTGGGTGATGGTAGCACGGCCGGGATGCTTTAACTAATGTTGCTATGGAGTGCAGTTGTCCAGGGGGTTTCACGTCTCGTTTGCATTTAGTGTAAGTTGTTTCGTTATCCGGATGAGAAATTTTCTTTCGGATTCATACTGTCGGTGATCATCTCTCGTCCCCAAGTTCTCGCAGCCATGGCGGACGACTGGGTGTCCCTCGTCCTAGTGGCGCTCGTGCTGGCGCTTTCGGCATGGATGTTGTCGCGGTCACAGCATGCCAATCAGCCGAATGGAATGCAGGGCGCGTTCAACAGACAAACGCCTGTGGATCCGTCGGCAACGGCGCGTGCAGGACATTGTAAGTTGATTCAATCCGACACGCTGACGCCCGCACAGAAGAAAATGCATGTTCATTTACCCCTCAGAGCGGGCGTACGACCGATTACCATGTCAGGAAATCTACTTCTTGACCACGCCTCTCCTCCTGCTTTCAATGAAGCCGCCGTTGCAACCGTGGTCGACTTGATTGCAGTCTCGGACGTGTTCTTGTTGTTCCGCGTCCAGAACGAAGAACACAAGCGCGACATTCTCCAAGCCATAGGTCAAATTCCACAGTTTGCATGGAACCCGACGACGCAGATGGGCTTACAGGTCCACAAGATCCTCTTCTGCTCATCGTCCGCCGGAAATATTGCACTCGTCCGACAAATTGAGCCCGTCGTGCATATTGAAGGTCGACTTTTTTTGTCTTAATGCTATTCCGTGCTGACGCTGTCATGTCTAGGCAAGCAAGATGTCACTGTCGGTCTTCGCCCTTTCCTTCCCTCCATTGTGTTTCTGTCTCCGATCTATGAGCTGCCTGCCCAGACCTCGTCGACTGGACGCGACTCCGTCGAATGGCATCAGTCGTTAGACGCATATTACCTGACTTTAACGGCATAACACTGCTGTACTACTCCTCACACGAGACCTCACGTGTCATCGGTTTTGGTCTGCTTTGGCGCTCGGAGAAAATGCCCATCGAGGCGGCACACCTCCTCCAGCGTTCCCAGGACATGCTCCAGCAATCGGCAGCAATGGTTCAACGGATGAACGATGCCAAAGTCGTCAGGTCGCGCTTCCTTCACCTGGCATCCGTCGACCCTATATCGACAAAACGTTAATGCTTGCCGCCATCTCGCGCAAGTTCACGTACTGTCCTGCAAGGGTGCGTATTTTGGCGGTCACATCAAGCACGACTCCTTTGAATTCGTTGTCGACCGACGTCGCTGGTTTTTGCTCAAATGAATGATTGCCTTCGCACGTGGAAACGTCGACTCGGTGCATGAGGAGGGGATGTATTGTGGACTGCGGCAGGGCTCCTGTCGCGGACAAGTTGTCTCGAAGCAGATTGTGTACGCCAACAAGTGCTTGCGCCAGCAGCACTCGGGCCTCCATCGGGATGGTCGACGTAGTCGAAGTCGCTTGCATTAATGTGTGGGCAAACGCGACCTCAGCGGCTTGGGCTCCTCCAAGGCTGGTCAAGCAATGGCAAGCTCCCTGCAAGTGTGCATTTTGTGTCGTCATGGAAGAGGAAGCGGCGGAGCTACTGCACCAAAACCGCAGGACGCGAAGCCCTTTCTTGATAGCGTAGTAGTACTGTTTGCACAGTCCCTTGGACTGGGCTCGGAGCAAGACCTGGGGCACTATCATACGCCTTGAATCCGTGAGGTCTGCGACGGACTCTGCGATGAGTGGAGTGCATGCAAGGGCATCCAAGACCAGGAAGGACGCGCCGCCCGCGCGAATGCAGCGCAGAGGAGCTGTGTTGATGGCGACGTGGAGAGACTCGTTGATCGGCTCAAACACACTCGTGAACCACGAAATCCCCGTGCGAGAGGCCAAAGCATGCATGTCAGCTTTGTCGACAAACGGAATGCAGACAATGCCAAGATGGCGGCAACTTGCAACGACCTATTGCAATTTCAAGTTTCATCATTTGTGGCATGGATTGCTCTGCGAAATTACGTGATCGGGTGTGCACTCGGTGCAGAGAAGTAGGTTCACGTGGTGGTGCACCTTCAACGCTGTCAAAAATTCCGCCACACGTTGGGCACAAAACTGAATCGACGACAGGTACGACTGCGCTGACAACACTTGCAACTCGACGCTGCTCGCGTCGGAGCCCAGCTGCTCCAAGCTGCCAACAAAGAGGACGATGCGCTGACCGGACGACAGCTTCTCGTCGCGAAGGGTGACATTGGTATGCGAAGCGAGCCGAAGGAGGTACTCGTGTCTACGTGTGATGCGGGACGCATCCAGCGCTGCAAACGGGAGCGACAGCAAAGAGTCATTCGCGTGTCGCAGAATATGTTCCAGGTAGACATACAAGGCAGCTGGAGTCGCTGGAAGCGCGTGGTTGATGGAAGCGATCACTGATTTGAACACCCAGTCCACCGTCAAGTCCGCAAGATAGGCAGTTGAGGTGGAGTTGAAGAGGCCTGCGAGAGAGGTTGTTACAATGGCCCTGGTGGCGGCGACGAGCTGCAAAAAGATCACGCTGGAGTGAGGACGTGCATCCAAGCATGCCTAAAACGTACCGAAGGCGAAGGTTGTCGCGTGTGGCTGTCAAACGTAACAGTAGTTCGGATCGACAAGCCATCGAACGTTGCGTAGAATGCTGGCGCGATCGCAGTCTTGGCAGCAGCAAATGTCGCCGACCACACGCGCGATGGTTCAATCCGTTGCAAGACGAGGTCAAGAAGGAGCAAGTACTGAACGACACCGTCGCCCATGTCGCTGTATACAGCACGAACTTTTTGCATGAGATACGTCTTCATCGGATGGGCAGTGTGTGACTTGGTCATGTCGGCGTAATGGAGTATCGTGTATCCTGAGGACGTCAGAATCGGCGGCTCTGGTGGACAGAAGAGCAGCTTTTCCGCCCCCATCGGCCCAAAGCTCGACCGGACAAGCGATGCCATCCCATGCACGTGATCATGGACGTGCAAGGATTCGTTCATGATCGTTATTGCAATCTTTCATACGTATCCGGATGATTCACACATTGGACGTCTGATGGTGAATAACGAATGTGATCGCTGCTATTTCTTCGGCTCCAGGCCAGAGTGAGGGTGATCCGCGACCTACTATCATGAGAATATTCCTCTTGTCGCCCTTGCACACAAGCCGTGCCGCTGCATGCTGAGGCAATCGCAGTACTGCGCATTGGCGAGGCGAGGCCCCTGTTGAAGTTTTGGGTATGCGACGGTATCCGGAAATTGAATCTTACGACCAGATGTATACAAATATGAGTATAGTCAAGTGACCCTTGGAGTCGTATCCGGATGATCTACACATGGCGACCGCGATCGCGCACAATATATTTTCGAATTGTCATCGCCATGACGAATCATCATGGCAGCGGCGCATGTGGCGGCAACTTGATCGCACTTTTCACGCTGATGGCTGGGTCGATGAACACTATTCTCATGAAAATGCAGTTTGACATGGTTGCTCAAGGCACCGAAGCGTGCGTGTCGGACGATGGATTGGCCTCGTTAACATGTCCATTCCACAAGCCGTGGTTCGGGGTCATGCAAGTGAAGCTCGGCATGACATTATGTTTGGTCTACCTTGTCGTGCGCAAGAAGCTGCTTCATCGAGCGTACTTGGAGACACCTTTGCCGTCGCACACGCACAAACTGTTTGTGACAGTCCCCGAATGGCCATCGACGCGAACACTCATGGCAACCGTCGTTCCGGCTGCTCTAGACCTCGTACAAAGCATCTTTTCGTTCGTGGGATTGCTGTGGATCCCCGCGTCGGTGTACCAAATGAGCGGTGGGTCCATGCTCGTCTTCAGTGCGTTCATTTCAGTGAAGTTTATGAAAGTCCGCTTGTTCATGTACAACTACGTGAGCCTGGCGCTGGTCGTGTTTGCCCTCGTGCTTGTGTCCATGGCCGGGCCGTCGCATCCGTCGTCGACCACCTCTATCGATGCCTGGCACACGCTGCTAGGGATGGTCTTGATTCTGCTGTCGAGGCTACTGTACGCGGTCAACATTGTGCTCGAAGAGTACTTCATGACGACATTACACGTGAGTCCAATCCTCCAGGCCGGCATGGAAGGCCTGTGGGGGCTGGTTCTTTTTGTGCCGTTGGCGCCGTTTCTCGCATGGACGGAGCCTGGGACATCCGCCATGGCCTCATTGTGGCATGAGGACTTCGTCGACACGTGGGCCAAGTTACAGCAATCGCCGACTCTGTTCTGGTTCGTTCTAGTGTACGTGCTTTCCATTGCAACTTATAACGTACGTGCTTCGCTCGCTGTCTTTCTCGCTATCTCGATCCTTCTAACGTGCGATCCGACGGCAGGTTGCGGCGAACTGGGTCACCAAGCACATGAACTCAATCGTTCGCAGCATGATCGAGGTACACACTGCCAGCTATGCCCACGTGTCGTCGTTGACTAGATAACGAGTAGAATGGCCGAGGACTGGGCGTGTGGGTCATCGGCCTGTTTCTGTACTACGGGTGCAGCTCCGTCAGTGGGACCACCACGATGGGCGAGCCGTGGACAGCATCCAGTTGGCTCGAAGTCGTCGGATTTGTTCTCATGGTTGTCGCGTCACTCTGTGTAAGTCCACACGAACAATGTCATCGTGGCTCATGGTGGCATGTGGGGCTAGTACCAGCGCGTGCTGCGATATCCGTGTGCATCGTTCTACCGCGACGATTTTGCGCCAATTCGTTAAGCTGGTCGTCCCCATGCCGTCCTTCAACGTAAAGCACCCGATTGTCATTTAGATAACTCAAACGTGATGCAAACAACGGTAAGTTTGTTTACTTGACGTTCTTGAAGTACTCTTGCGAGTCCTTGGGGTTGGTGACGATCGTGGCCTCACCGGGCTGCCAGTTGGCAGGGCACACTTCGCCGTGTTCTTCCACGAATTTGAACGCCTTGACCAAGCGCAACGCTTCGTCGACGCTGCGGCCAACGGGGTTGTTGTTGATCGTGTAGCTTTGCAAGATACCTTCACCGTCGATGACAAACAAGCCGCGGTAGGGGAAGCCGTTGGCTTCGCCCAACGTGCCATACTTGGCAGAGATCACCTTGGTCACGTCGGCCACGATGGGGATCTTCATCTTGCCCAAACCACCCACGTTGCGGGGAGTGCGGGTCCACGCCAAGTGGACTTCCGGGGTGTCCGTGGACGCCGCGATCAATTGAGCGCCCAATTCTTCGAATTCCTTGGCGCGGTCGTTGAACGCAATGATTTCCGTCGGGCACACGTAGGTGAAGTCCTTGGGGTAGAAGAACAACACGACGTACTTGCCGAGGTAGTCAGAGAGCGAGATTTCGCTAATGTCACCGCGGACAACGGCAGGGGCCGTGAAGGCAGGAGCGGGCTTGCCAATGAACGCCTTGGGGGCAGGGTACTTGACCTTGTCCTCGTCTTCGTCGTCGCCAAAGTAGTCGTTGTAGTCAAAGTCGTCGTCTTCCTCATCGTCACCGTTGCTCACCACAGGGGCACGGCGAGACGACGCGAAGCGCACGTTCATGGCAGGTTGCACCAAGGTTTGCGAGGCTTGGGGAAACGCGCGGACAGCCGTCGCTGCGACGGGGCGGCGGAGTTGAGTGCACGCGGCACGAACAACAGCAGAACGGAGATGTTGCATGACAATCGACGATTCAGAAGTGGTGCACTGGCCAACCACACGTCAAGTTGCAGCGGCGTGGCATTCCGGATACATATCCGGATATCTCGTCTCCTCGCGACCGACAAGTGGCGTATCATGCAAATGCTGGCGTCTCTGAGCTGGGTCTTGCACAAAGCAGCCACTAGACAGAGCGGCTGGAGGGAGAGCGCGTTAAATACACTGGAGGGAAGAGTTTGCCACCGTCGCAGCAGCGGCGTCTTGATCTGATCGATGCCACACTGCTTGAAGTTCAAACGTGTTCTCGTTAGGAAGTCAACACAGTGTTCACATGGAGACTTGCTGTGGTGAAGCGCAGGTTCAGCATTGGTTTCAAAATCGTGTGGTGTTGTGCCATGTCCAGGTGTTGTATACATAGAGAGAGAGGGCTTGTGACGTGGTGTTGGCAGGTCGGCACAGCGTCAAGACGATGCAATGCTAGCGTAAGGCTCTATCCACCCAGCAAACTCATCTTCGCATACGTTATGCTGCATCTTGGATCGTTCAGCTACGTCGTCGAGACGATGGCAGTGTGTGGGGACGTCCGTCTACTCTAATCTGTGAAACGAACTCGCTTGGTCGTCTTCGGGGTGTTGGTTCGCGTGATTTTCCGACACGTTGGCAGCAACGTTTCTTGCGGAATTCGACGCGCTGCTTCATGGAGTCGCTCACTCAAGTTCATGGACGGTTTTCGCGGCAGTCCCGCGAGAACAAAGTCGCTTCGCGTTCGAATGGCCTGAAACTGGCTCAGCATGTCATTACTCAGTACGTTCGACACTGTCGGCGGCGGTCGCGGTGCATATGTCTGACTCGTCATGGTACATTCGGGCTGATGCACAGTCATAAAGTCGCTTGACGCGTGCCGGGCCAAGTACTCTGACGACGACAACCGACGGGCGACAGGTCGGCGCGTCGTCGATGATTCTGGCCTTTTTGGACTCGTACGATTGCTTGTGGCCGCCAGAGGACTCAGGAGGGAGCTCGTGCTGAATCGTCCGCTATCGGCGCTGTTTCGGCCGCTCATTTCTTTGGCAATATTCAACGCATGATTCCGCATGCGCTGGGGCGATCGTCGCAATCGAAGCTCGAGCGAGGGCGGCCCGAATGATCCCTTTGCCTCCAAAGTCACACACATTTGTCATACCGTTTGGTCTCAAGGCCAGTACGTACCGACGGATGTGACAGAGACTGGGGTGGCGGTTGATCGTGCATTTGGGTGGATGAGGTGGCCGTCGATGGCACCATCGTATTCAATCGAGTGCGATTGCTCATGGGGGCGCGACAGCTCGCCTTGGGCGGTGCGCCAAAGCTGTCAACGTACGTGGATGGATTGTCTTGGTATTCAAATAACCAAGAGGAGTTGCGGCGATGGATGGACGCTGGAGGCGGCTTTTGGCTCTGTCGAAGTCTCGACGACGTTGATTTTGTCGTGGCTACGGGCGGAGGTTCCGTCAATCTTTCGCGCAAACGTGGGAGGCCACCTCCTCCATGTCGAGAAGATGGTGGCGGTGGTGGCACAGCCAAATGCGGTGCGAGGTGCGGTTTGATGCTGCGCTGCGACGACATGCGCTGTGGTGCCACGGACGACAACGTCTGCTCTTGGGTACCCGAGTGTTGGAACTGTTGTGAATTGGAGAGTTGGTATCTCGGAGTCAACGGATCGTTTGGATCATCGAAGCTGCGCGACGATCCACTGTTGCTGCCAATCGAGCTGGCTTTGACTGCGTCTATGTCGATAATTGCATTGACGAAGTCGTTGTACCCAATTGAGGATGGCTGTGATGGAGGAATTGCTGTTGCTGCAAATGTGTCATCGGTAGGACGCCTCTTGCGAGATATTGCAGCGGGCACGGGTTCGATGACGTGGAAGAGTTCACCGAGGAACCGCCAAAGAAACGCCATGCCTCACAGATCAGCCTCGCAATGCAATAAAGAATGGCAGCTTCGCTGGCTTCGGTAAAGCATGCATTAAAACTCATCCCAAACCATACGTTGGTCAACTCTGAGCACTTCATTCGCACACGTAGAGGTGCAGAGGCTAAGCGTAATCGTTACACGGCGCCTTCTCGACAGCGGAAAACTCTACTTTAGAGTAGAGCTGTCGAGAGGGCAGGTTCCTCCATCGCGTGGTGGCGTATTTGCAGATCGCAACGTTGCTCATCTCGATGTGCTGCCCAACAACGTGGTGAGCATGGGGCAATTCATGCGGGTGTGCGCATGTCCCATAGCGCGCGAATGCCACATGTCGTTGTGGCCAATAAACCGAGGTCAATCAATCGCCGATGCATGTTCACATGCCACCGCTAGTGCCTTCGTTTAAACGGCGATGCATTTATGCTAAGGCTGTTGTAGATTCCACAGCTCTACCGCCGTCTTCTCGATCTTGCCTTGGCACCGGCCAGACCTTCGTCTATGCCTCGAGGAAGAAAGTGAATGGGCAAGTGCACTTCAATATCCGGATGCATCCGCATACGAGGGTGGATTTTCAAGAGTGAAAAAGATTCGGCACGATGACCGACGCCACGTATGGATCCATTCATGGTAATGCGACCGCAACGAGCGCAGAAAACGTGGGAGACCGGCGCGTCATGATCTACCGGGCTCTGTCGGGCCTTTTATTCGCCTGGGCACTCCTTGTTCAACTTCGTATGACGTGGAACGGCCCCTCGTCCGAGTTCGACCCGTAAGGATGTTGAATCGGTGATCCATGATGTTGCAATACGATTCATGTGTGTAGATCATCACGCTATGACTTGTATACCCGGCATGAGAAATTGCTCAGTGCAGTTATCGACCAAGTAACATCCGACCAAGCCGTGTCTTTGACTGACGGTGCAATGCCGCCTGAACAACTCTTCCATCACTATGGACTTCCCTCGACAACTTCAGTCATCACACGTGTCGAGTTGACACCGCAAACGTTCGAATTCAGTCTCGTTGACGCACAGCAGCCGATCACTGTGCTATGTACCCCTGTCCTCGTTCCAAGTCGCCTCGACAGGTGTACGAGAGACCTCGACGCCTTCACACGAGTTGTGCACTTTATCCCTGAGGATTGGGCTGGTCAGACCAACTCGACACTGGAAAGCAAGATCGCATTGACCCCGTTGCGTTCAACTGCTCAAAATTGTCGTACTATTGCATTGGCACAAGAGTACGACATGGCCATGCTGTTATTCTACGCACAAGCAGACGACAGCACAAAAGAAGGTACGACTATGACGCCGCGACCACATCAATGCGAGAATGATCACCTGATGCCCACAAAGGCATCTCGATCTGCCCTACTTTCGAACGCCCACTCGACCTGACGCCAGGCTACACAGCGGCGGTCGGAGCACCGCGGCTTAGCCTTGCTGCCGCCGAAGCTCGGCAAGGTCTGACATTTCCAGTCGGTCGCATATCCAGCACTTCCGGAATCGAAATATTGCACCACCTTCGCACATCCGATGCGCTGTTGCGCGTCACACGGCGCTGCTACCATCGTGTGGTGGCTCATCGTCGCGTTGACGCTTTTGTCAGAGGCACGCAGCACGCTAAAGAGGACGTAGTCGTGCTCAGTACGTCGGCATGATCTGCCCCTGTTCAATCTAGCCCTTCCTAACGATCTGATGGGAGTAGGCACGTCTGAAGTGTCCCGAGATGGTAGCGCTTATCCTTTGACTGTCGTGGTGCAAGCGTTGCGCACATTACTCGACAAAGGATGGACACCGTATCGATCCATCCAAGTGGTGTCCTCTCGTCGTAGAGGATTGATGGGCGAGCCCAAAGGCGATGAGGCAAGGGGGTATGAAGTCCACCTTGGGCAGCAGTCACAAAATGCGCAGCTGGAAACACAGTCGTTGCCATTGCATGCAGCACATGCTCAACATTCGTGGCATGGCATCCTGCCGGCGAGTTCCTCTGTACTTCGATTCAACATGCCGACTGCCCTCGACACCGATTCAATTCGAGCCACGGCCACCAAGGTCGTGTTGGGCGATGATTCGACGTCAAGAATTGACCTGTACAGGCGAAATGAGCCAAGCAGTCTGGACCAAAAAACAGTCAAGGTGTGGGCGACTCTGGGACTCCTTGCAGCATCGCAGCCACTACATCGTGCGGCGTTGGCCACCCACCTCCGCTCAGCTCTGTCGCTCTGCCCATCGACCAAAGACTCCAATATGATCGCCACGATCGACTCGTTGGTCGCAGCAGCTTCGACAGGACGTGGACTGAAAAACATGAGCTCCCCGGCTGTGCGTCTGTGGAACTCCAAGTGGCTGGCGGTCGATTCTTTGTTGGCTGAGCACACCATTGTGCCTTCCTGCGTGGACGAAGCGGCGATGCGCAATGTATCTATTCTCGTTGACGAGTTGGAGGCATCGCTTGAGTAAGCTGTAATTCACAAGGCCATGCTGGAAGGAATCAAGGGGTATGTGCGTCTTCACACTTGTTCATGTTTCCGTCGGCATGATGCGATAAAGAGCCAGGGTGGCTGCTCGCGAATGCAAACGCGCTAAGAGTCACCCGCGACTTTTGTGCGGGAGAAATGGCGGTGCGTGGAACCTGCATGGGCGATGGCAATTCATCCCACTTGTGACTCGTGCTGCACACCCCAGGGATAGATCCTCCGCCTGCTTTTCCATTACCAAACTGCATAGTACGGGGCGTTGGTCATGTTCCGCCGACGCGGGTTGCACGAAGGCGCGGGTGTGCGCGACGTCCCATCTCAAGGATCTGTTTCAATCTTCTCTCGATGCGCTTGCTTTCGAGTCATCCGGATGAGATAATCGGATTCCGACGATCGAAGTTGAAGGCAATAAATCTTGTGAGGCAGATACAGCAGCCACATGCGCCAACGGGTCCCCGCGGCGAACGAGCCCTCGGCTCGTAACGATGAATGCAAGGACAATGGCAAGAAAGCCATCGTAGTTGCGCCCGATGTCGTGTCCCTCGTCGTGATCTTCGTCATGTCCCTCGTTTCTGTGGCTACGGCCATCTACTACCTCATCCTGCACGACCTCGACCCTGAAGACGCTGCCAAGATTCGCTTTCCCACATCCCTGCATGTGGCAAAGGAGCTAGGCCAGGAACTTCGCGATATCACGGCTCATTCCCCTGGCCGTGTTCTCGTGGCGCATGGACTGCTGTACCTGTTCCTTCAATCATGGGCGATCCCTGGCACCGTATTTGTGAACCTCCTTGGTGGGGCTCTTTTTGGTCTCCTCGCGGGGTTCCCCTTGTGCCTCTTTTACAACACATTGGGGTCGTGCTTCATGTATGGCTTGTCGTCTCGGTTTGGCGGGAAGCTCGTGCAAAAGTACTTGTCCACGCGGCTTCAGCAAATGCGCGGTATGATCGACGCGCACCGCGACGACTTGACTTTGTACATGATCTTTTTGCGCATCTTCCCCTTTTCCCCCAACTGGTTTATGAATATGTCGTCGCCCCACGTCAACATCCCATTGTTGCAGTTTGCCATGTCCGTCGCAATCGGCCTGACACCGTACAATTTTCTCAGCTGCAAGGCCGGGTTGATTCTCAGTGCGTTGCAATCCAAGGGCGACATTATCGACACGGCCACGACTGTCCAGCTCATTGTGGTTGCTGTCGGCGGCCTTGTAGGTCTCCCACGACTTAAGGCTCGATTTGCCAAGTAACTGGTTTGTCGTGGATGATGTGTTTTGAGTGCGTTAATTCGTTCTCAGTCATTGGGGTGTCTGGGAAGACTGGTACTCTTCTCGCCAAACATGCAATTGGCGAGTCGTCATGGGAATCTCCAATGCAGCCGCGAGCACTTCCGTCGTGTCCACCTGGGGCGAATTAATTAGTACAATGTGATTGCAAAGTCTACGTTGAGCACGTACCGATGTGGGTAAGTCTCGGAAAAACTCCATGATTTTCTCAAACTTGGCGCCCAGCAGCACTTCTAAACATGATTTCGAGTAAGATACCTGAGCAATGAACAATTCCACGTACTCTCGGACACTTTCAGCAGCGCGACGGCGACGCGATACACGATCTTCCAACCCTCGTGGAGGTAGATGTCCCACACCCGAGTGACGAATTCGAACGGGAACGAGTACGAGTACAAAGTGACAAACCACTGCGTCGCATACATGGTAGGGTGCAATCCCTCGGCGGCCAAGTGGTCCGTCAGCTTGGGCACATACAACTTCATGGACTGTTCAAAGATCCACATGATCTCCATGACGCGGGGCATGCCAGGACGATATATGTCTGCCATCCCGTATTTCTTCTGGTTCAGGCACGCCACGACGTGCCAGAACGTCTGTTCTTCGGGCATGTAGCTGAGGAAGAGCGCTGAAATAAAGCCCATGCCCTATTCAATTTATCAGAGCTCGCCTTTGAGCGAACCATGAGGTCATACTTGGCAATAGCCGACATTGGGGTCGTACACAGAGTATGCGCGGAGGACGTTCATAAGAGCGCCTTGACCTAGTGATGTCGAATCTTTGAATAAGTGGTGTTTGGGAAACGTGCGGCCGATGTCGCGTGAGATCGTGTCTTCGCACGGGGCGCGGGGGGTCGCCAGTAAGTCGCGGTACAGGCACGGATTATTTTTCATCATCAAGCTGGAGCCCGCCAAATGCGGCCACGCGATGCCTCGAATTGCATCTGGGATGCCCTTTCGAACCTACATCGCGATGAAACACTCAAAGGGACAAACTCTTCAGTACTCGTAACTTGAGCTTTGCTGCCTGCTTTTGCTTAGTACGTTCCCAGTCTTCAATTTCGACGCCACCCGTCATGGCAATCCACTTTTGAGTTCTTCGGTTTTCAAGCCAGACTGTGTCTGTGTCAGTGCTATGGCCATTCGGCTTGTCTCGATCGTTCGCTCGTGGAGAGAATCGCCTGGAATCGAAGGATGAGCACCCAATGCTTCGAGAGAAAGAACCTCACTTGTCTGTAAGGAGGAAGCCGTATCGATCGATGGAGGCGACTGGATACGCGACAGCCCGAGGGGACTTCATGGCATCGCTGCATGGGGATGGGTTTTGCAATATCACGATAGACGGGGGTGGAAGGGAAGCGGTGGGCTCCACCGGGCGGGCCTCGTCTGACCTATGCGCACAAGACGACTCAGCAGTCGGTACGCCGCACGTTTGATGGACCACACTCACATCGAATCCGTTCAGCAGAGCTGGTGCCGCGATGCCCCTGCCGAATTGTGGCTTGCGTTGGAGCGAGTTCACAGCAGGGCTAAAAATAGATGTTCCAACCACAAGCCGTTTATCGCAACAGATGATGTCGAAGGGCCAAGCAAGATAGATCTCCATCTAACCCACGAGTTCTGGAGCATGAACCGTTGTGAAACTTTCGTGCAGAAGCGACTCGGTCGGGGTTAAGACATGAAGACTTGAAACGATAAGTGCAAGAACAGTGTTAAAGATTCGCATGGCGATAACCTTCCAGCATCTTGCGAGCCTAACAGATATTATCACGGTTTGATTATCAAGCGATCAACGAGATTACCAACTCAATGACGCGACGGTCTCCGTTGCTTGTCAATCTACGCCAAATGTCATCACTACTATCGAGAAGTACCACATACATTTTGAACATGCGAAAAGTCGTGTCTTGGGACTGATGCTTCATGGAGGAAAAAGATGAAGCTTGTAGCAAGTGGCACAAAAGCGTCAAGAGCTTGAGGTACGTTGAGGCAGAAATAGCTGTTTTCAACGTGTCTTGGACAAATGATGTGAGTCCAAGCATCCGGGGCGCTCACGGTGCATACCGCACTGTATTATGGCAAGCAGCGGTGGCGATAGATTACTTTCCAATAGAATTGACGTTCCCCAGGAGCTACGCATAGTACGATGTTAGCCCCACCACCATGAGATCATGCATACCTCTTCCCAATCAAGCACAGCACTGGGATGACTTCGTCCAGGAATGCATGTGGAACAATCGCTAACGCTCGACATGCATGATGCACAAAGTGATAAGTCTGACGAACTGCAGTACCAACGACAAGGGCAAGCTTCATGCAGATTTTCTTGACTGCTGCAAAGATTGGGGGAAGAGAAAGAATGTTGGGGTCGTAGAGGGTATTCCCCAAAGTGGCAGTGATAGTGTGAAGGAGCTTTTGCTCAACTTCACCATCCAGCTACAGAAATCAATGACCAAGCGTCCCACATAGTGCTCATTTCACCATCTCTTGCACAATTTCGTCGACTGCATGCAACACAGGGACTTGCGTTGTTGGATTCGAGGGCTGACCGTTTGCCAGAGCAAATGATACGGCTTGGAGGCACGTCAATAGCATGTACTTTGTCTCTTGCGATTGCGTGGGTTGCGCGAGAGTTACCGAGAGGTATTCGTTTTGAAGACTTGACAACTTCAACTCAAGGGACTGGATTCTCTCGTCTCGTTGATGTAGGGCAAGGACCGCTTGTTCGTGTACCAGTTGTAGTTGCGCCACTTGCGCGAGGAAGCGGGGTAAGTCTCTGAATTTTGCATCATAAACCTCCTCAACGTCGCAATGGAACGAGGCGTAGGAGGAACTCACGTGCGGATGAGATCCTGCGTCATCTTGTCTGAGCTCATGTTCTCGCGCGCAAATTTGAAAATGAGCTTAACGTACGGATATTTAACCGGAACTGTCAACGCCCTCCATGTTACTACGAAGATCTCTACTGCTTGACTTTCTTTACTTCTTTGGACCGGTTGAGTTTGACCCCGCGCAAGATGTCGTTGATTTCTTGTCCAGAGAGGGTCTCGTATTCCAAGAGTGCCTTGGCTAAAGTCTCCAAATCCGCGCGGTTCTTCTGGAGGATGGCGGACGCCCGTTTGTATGACGCATCGCACAACTTGCGCACCTACACGCGGTCGTTTGTAAAACATCGAGAACCATGCGAGGGGTATAGTGATACCTCGTTGTCGATCAATGTGCGCGTGGCAGCGGACGTGTCATTGCCCTTCAAGTCGTGAAACACAACGCCGACTTCGTCACTCATGCCATACTTCGTCACCTGTACGAAAACATCAGACACTTTCACCGCGATGTATTGTGGAGGCACCGACCATTTGTCGCGCCAACTGTGTGGCTTGCATGATATCGGACGAAGCGCCACCAGTGATTTCGTCCTTGCCAAAGATCATCTCCTCGGCTACACGGCCGCCCATGCACACGTCCAGCCTCGCCAGCAATTGTTTGCGTGTGATGCTGGTCTGATCCCCTTCTGGGAGTTGGCTCACCATGCCCAATGCTTGACCACGAGGCATGATGGTGGCTTTGTACACGGGATGGGCACCGGGGGTATTGATAGCGACCAGAGCGTGTCCACCTTCATGGTACGCTGTCAAGCGGGCGGATTCAGGCGAAATGATCGCCGACTTTCGCTCGGCGCCCATAAGCAACTTGTCTTTGGCAAATTCAAAGGCAGCCATGTCCACGACCTTTCACATCGACATCATGACACGTATTTGGAAGCAATGAAACACACGTACAGTTTGGTTGAGAAGCGACGATCGCAACGTGGCTTCGTTGACCATATTGGAGAGCTCTGCACCGGACATTCCAGGCGTGGCACGGGCCAGAATGTCCAAGTCAACGTCGCTTCCCAAAGGGATTTTGCTCGTGTACAGCTCCAAGATGTCCTTTCGACCGGCAATGTCTGGCAGAGGAACGGTCACATGCCTAAGCAGTACGAATGATATTCTTGACGCCCAGCATTGAATATGCCACATATATACCTGTCAAACCGACCAGGACGGGTCAGCGCATTGTCGAGGCTTTCGGGGAAGTTCGTCGCCCCAATGACAATGATGCCTTTGTTTTGGTCAAACCCGTCCATTTCAACCAAAAGCTGGTTCAGAGTCATCTTGAGCGCGGACTGCTCCTTCAAGTGACGGGTCCCCCCAATGGCGTCAATTTCGTCGATAAACACAATGCATGGAGCCTACGCAACCCGCATGTCGTCCTGAAGGAGGACACGTGATAGCTGAAGTACCTTCTTCTTTGCCGCATCAAACAGATCGCGCACGCGGCGTGCCCCGACACCAACATACATTTCTTCAAACTCTGCGCCGGAAGAGTAGAAAAAGGGTACGCCTGCCTACTCAACGGTGCAGAATATGATGTTAAAGGACTTTAAATATTCGGTACCTCGCCAGCGATGGCTCGTGCTAGCAGAGTCTTTCCTGTACCAGGAGGTCCCATGAGGAGCACGCCTTTTGGTAAGTTTCCTCCGAGCCGCGTGAATTTATCTGGGTCCTTACAGGAACTTTGCATGAGAGGTTTGACACTTCGAGCAGGAGTAAGTACGTACCCGGAGATACTGCACGATTTCGTCCAATTCGTCCTTAGCCTCGTCCACACCCTTGACGTCCGCAAACTTCTTGTCGCTTCCAATTGCTGCAGTGACTTTCGACTTTGCACCAATGCCACCGAGACCCTTTTCTTCAATCAATGCAGTCAAGGCTGAGATGACCATGAAGCCAAGTGCAACCACTCGCGCCGTGCGCCACAGATTCTTCTTGAATCCTCCGTCCACCATAGAGACATACATCGGTTCATTGGGGGAGAGGCCCTGTGCCGCCGACCCAGCAATGGTTGACGCAATGGGAGCACCACTGGCCGCGAGAGCAGATGCATTTGAAGAGGCAATGGCCGATGCAGGAGCTGACGACTGCATTTTTGCGAGAAGAAGGTTCGTGTCCGTGGCGTCCATCCGGTTAGTGCGCACGAGGGCTTTGATGTATTCCCGGTACGCTTCCTGGGAGAGTGCAAAACGACCTTCTTCGACGCGCCGCACTACTAGTGCCGGGTAGTCCTTATTGAGGGCTTGCAAGAACTTGACTTGTCGACTTGCATCTTCAGGGTTTGCATTCGCTTCTTGTTCCATCTTCTTGAGTTGCTTCTTGTTGTTGCGTCCAGCGAGGTTGAAGAAGTTCCTGCGAGGACCGGCAGGATGTCGCATGATCGAGCCCGGCATTTGCAGGCCGGAATTGAGTCCAAATCCTGACGAATGGAAACTTCTCTGCGACGCGTGTGGAAGGCGGTGAAAAGCTTGCTTCCACAGCCCCACACGCAACATAGATCGGGCCGCTATGTCCGTGATCATTGCCTCGGTAGTGCTCAACCACACCAAAGAAATCAAATTGTGGAGGAATGTCCACGAATATTTTTTCTATTCCTTCCACAACACTTAGAAATACCAAGTGATAAATAGACGGTGCTCAGGGTGGATTTATCTTCGAGAAGGACAAGGAATTCGTTAAAATAGCCCCTTGCATGAGTAATATTTCGACATTTTCCGATTTTGTCGTCGATATCACGTGGACATTTTGAATAGAGAAACCATGAGCTAGCTATTCATCGGCATCGCATATGCCACCAGCAGCAAGCTGGACAGTGCATTCAGCCTCTGGCATGCATGGGCTGTCAATGACTTTGCTAAGCAGCCTGAATCAGCTCACATGGATCAATTGTCCTCTCACCAAATTCGGTTGTCGCCCCGACCTTTTTTCATCTAAGCGCAAAGTGATACCAACGTAGTTTGGGATTGGGTTCTCTTACCAAAACTCGGGTGTGGCATGCATGAGAGATGACATGACCACCGACAGGTTTCAATACAGGCCCAAACATAGCGTTTGCACCAGGATCAGCCATAACTTGGTTGACAACAAGGACTGCGATGTTGAATTCCTACGAACAAATTTTCAGCGCATTCAGAGATTGTCTAATGTGTACCTCGGCATGTTTGACAAGTCGTTGCAGGTGCACATTCAATCGTTGTTGCCGTTCGCTCAGCTCTCCACTGCATGACAGTGAGCACAAAACTGTGAGCACAGTCCTACCGCCCAGAAAAATCGGTTCGAAATAATGCGGTGATCGAGTCAATGACGAGAAGGCGAAATGGACCACGGTCAGGATCCTGTTCACATGTTGGCTTAAGCATTTGACTGAGTAACGTACTGCAAACAAAACCCCGAGCTTCAAAACCATGTCCATTTGTGCATCGTGACTGTGTGCCCTATTTCGAAGATCGAAAACAACAGATATGATCGAATTGCACCTAGCAACGATGATGTTGTCCAAGACATCTTTTGCTTCTAAATCGTATCGTGTCTTGGCAATTTCTGCTACACGTTGCTAGGTAGATTGGGTGATTAAGAGAGGGTCAGCATATCATAATTGTACTGGTCGAAAAGAGCCTTCAGTGTCAACAATGGCTACTTTTCCAGCCCCCCCGCCTTGGGAACGGGGCAATTGTGCCGTGACACAAAGCTGGTAAAGTAATTTATGATAGGCACTTGGTGCTTCGTGCTTACAGTGTGACATAATTGTGTCTTCCCTGTTCGAAACTCTCCGTGGACCTAAAATTACGGTTCAGCAGACACGATAATGCTGAAGTAATCTGACTTACCTCTGTCACTGACATAGTCTCAATTCCACCCCCAAGGAGCATGTCAAATTCTGCAATGTCAACGGAGTCAGATATTCTATGCGGAGTATACCACACCTACGCTTTGAACCAGTTGTAATGTAGTACTTTTGCTTGTTGTTGATAAGGAGTGTACTGGCAGCAATAAAACCGCTCTTTTCACCGATGATCTAAAAGACGTGATGCATTTGCTTTGACAATGTTATACCTTTCTTGCAGCTTGAATCAATTTTTCCGCTTTGGCTTCACTTACACCCTTGACTTGCAAAAGGCGCTTCGTTGACACCTGAAACAACTGGCCCACAGTTGCAAACCCATCATCTTTGAGCTTTGCAATGTCTGTTGCATTTATTCCAGCATCTTGAAGAACCTCAATACGTTCATATGATAGCGTAGAATCATCGTCATTTCCTTCGTCGTCGCTGACGACTGCAGGTTCTTGGACGGGGGACGCCTCCTTGGCGATTGATTTTGCCATCGACTTCTTGGTCGCTTTCTCTCTACACGAACACATTGGATCAGCCTCATCTCGCATACTATCAACTTCACGTACTTCTTTACTTGGACGCTCATTGTGTCGGCTTCAGTGCAGCGCTTGCTTTCCCGTATCGCAGCGTATTTTGAACTGTCCTCATAGTCGAGGTTTCATATTTTGGCGCGAAGATCGACCCATTTAAGTGCGATTGGAGTACTCAAGATGTGCAGGGTCATTGGTTAAAAATGGAAGAATTACTTTGGTCAGAGCACAGTTTGATTGGTGTGTCGAAACTTCGAGAGAACTTCTTCACCTCATCCCTCTCACCTGTACACTCAAAAACCCGGTGCACAGTAACACCGCAACAGAGTTACCACTGCAGCGTAACTCTGTGACGAGAGGTGGCGTAACAAGCGCGCGTCCAATCATATTGTCGTACGGAATGAGCTTCGGCACGTGTGATTGGCGACAAGCGTGAGACAACCCTATCTTGTCCAAATACCGCGCAAACACCGGGTTACTGCTAGTTTCGCTCAAATGCCCGACATCCCCGAATTGTGTCATCGGTTGTGCGTCTGCCAACTTCGGCCGTTTCAATTGTCTCAATATTAATCGATTGATGAATGTTGGAGTTTGTATGAAAATATATTACAGTAGGGAGATTCTCCAAGGATACTTCGATCGATTCTTTTGCCGTCGAAGTTTTGTCGTAACAATCTTTCACTTCGCCCCCACCAAACATATACTTTCGTGTGTGTATAGTATACAAAAACCAAGATCAATCGTGAATCTCACGCCCCCTTGAACTCGTGTACATGGATCGTCAGTCGACAATTTTCCACGTCACAACCACATAATTCAAGAATGACCAGCTTCGCTGCTTTCGAAGCCAAGATGCGAGAGGAAGGCCTGAGCCAAGCTGCCATCAAGGCGTTTGAGTACTCTTACAGCGCATTGCAAAGCGGCGCAACTGGCATGATTGGCGAAAACACAATTGAAGGTGTCAATGACATCGACTACTTGGAAGGACGACCGGGATCCATTCGCGACAGCGTCAAACCTGACGTGAGCTTGCTTAAGAAGACCGTAGTTCTCAAGCTGAACGGCGGCCTGGGAACGAGCATGGGCTTGGACAAAGTCAAGAGCTTGTTGACGATCAAGGGCTCCGACACGTTCTTGGACTTGACGGCCAAGCAAATCATTGAAATGCGCAAGAACTACAACTCGAACGTGCGCTTCATCTTGATGAACAGCTTTAGCACGAGCGAAGACACGTTGGAATATTTGCAAAAGTACCCCGAAATTGTCAGCGATGTTGACCTCGAACTGCTTCAAAACAAGATCCCAAAGATTGATGCGAAGACGCTTCAACCTGCGGAATGGCCCTTGAACCGTTCGAAGGAATGGTGCCCTCCCGGTCATGGTGACTTGTACCCCTCGTTGTTGGGCTCGGGTAAACTGGACAAGTTGCTTGCCCAAGGATACAAGTACATGTTCATTTCCAACTCAGACAACTTGGGTGCCACGTTGGACTTGGAACTTTTGACGTACTTTGCACAGGTACGTTTCAAGTTCATTCATCAGGACTTATCATATCTCATGTCGTGGTTGCAATTTTCTGCAGACTGACAAGCCGTTCTTGATGGAATGCTGTGAACGTACAGAAAACGACAAGAAGGGCGGTCACTTGGCTCGTCGTTTGGATGACCAACGCCTCATCTTGCGTGAATCGGCCCAATGCGAATCGACCGACGAAGCACATTTTCAAAACATCGACAAGCATCGCTACTTTAACACCAACAACTTGTGGATCCGCTTGGACAAGTTGTCGGAAGAATTGAAGAAGCAAGGTGGGTTGATCAAACTGCCTATGATCAAGAACGCCAAGACGGTCGATCCCAAGGACGCTTCGTCGACCCCAGTGTACCAGCTTGAAACTGCCATGGGTGCTGCCATCGAATGCTTCGCCGGTGCTGGTGCCGTCTGCGTACCCCGCACTCGCTTCGCCCCAGTGAAGAAGTGCGACGACTTGTTGCTCCTCCGCTCGGACGCGTATGTTGTCACGGACGATTTCCGCCTCGTTTTGGCGCCACAAACCGAAGGCCGTGCCACGACGGTGTCGTTGGACTCGAAACAATACAAATTGGTCCAGCAACTCGAAGCTGCGTTGCGAGGAAACGTGCCGTCCCTCATCAATTGTTCGAGATTGACGATCAAGGGCAACGTCGGATTCGCGCCGGACGTTGTTTTCGAAGGCGATGTGACGATCGTCAACAACTCGAAGGAACAAAAGACGATTCTGTCTGGACGCTACGCAAACCAAACTATCGACTTGACCAACCAAGCCGGTTTGGGCAAATTGACCGTGTCCGCCGTGACGACGTCGCCGATCGAAGGGCAAAAGCCAGGTACCTCTGGCCTTCGCAAGAAGACAAAAGTATTCATGCAACCAAACTACCTCAACAACTTCGTCCAGTCGACGTTTGATGCGTTGCCGGCCAAAGACTTGCTCCAAGGCACGCTCGTCATTTCCGGTGACGGCCGATACTACAACAAGCAAGCGATTCAAACCATCATCAAGATGGCGGTGGCTTCGGGTGTCGACCGCATTTGGATTGGACAGAACGGGCTTTTGTCCACTCCTGCCGTGTCGGCTGTGATTCGCGAACGTGAAGGAGGCGCTGTCGCATTTGGCGCGTTTATCTTGACTGCCAGCCACAACCCTGGTGGAATTGACGAAGACTTTGGCATCAAGTACAACTGCGAAAACGGCGGCCCTGCTCCGGAAAAGCTGACCAACGAAATTTTCAACAACACCAAGATCCTAACGTCGTACAAGATTGCTGCGTCGTTCCCCGACATCGACGTGTCAGTGGTTGGAAAGACTGCCGTCAAGTCGGACGATGGAAGCCGCACTGTCGTCGTGGAGGTGTTCGACGCCGCCGAAGACCATGTGCATTTGCTGAAGTCGATCTTTGATTTTGGCGCGATCAAGGCTCTCCTCGCTCGCGAGGACTTTAACTTTGTCTACGACTCGATGAGCGGCGTCCAGGGACCGTATGCCCACCGCGTGTTTGTTGACGAATTGGGCGCGTCCCCGTCGAGTTTGATCAACGCTGTTCCTCTTGAAGACTTTGGTGGCCATCACGCCGACCCCAACTTGACCTACGCTCACGAACTCACACACATCATGGGAGTGGACGCCAAGGGAGTTGCAGTCCACGGTCAATCGACTGAGCCACCCGCTTTTGGTGCTGCCTGCGACGGTGACGCTGATCGCAACATGATCCTCGGATCGCGCTTCTTCGTGACCCCGTCGGATTCGTTGGCAGTGATTGCCGCGAACGCAAACGTGATTCCGTTCTTCCGGAAGAAGGGAGGTCTCCGTGGCGTGGCGCGTTCGATGCCTACGTCCGGTGCTGTGGACTTGGTCGCGGCAAAGTTGGGCATTTCGTTGTTTGAAGTCCCGACCGGTTGGAAGTTTTTTGGCAACTTGATGGACTCGAAGGAAGTGTACAACAAGGAAGACTACACACCGTTCATCTGCGGTGAAGAATCGTTCGGCACAGGCTCCAACCACATTCGCGAAAAGGACGGCATGTGGGCCGTGCTCGCGTGGCTCTCGATCATCGCGTCGAAGAACACGTCTCCCGGTGCGCCCCTCGTCACCGTGCAACAGATCGTTGAAAACCATTGGGCCACGTACGGCCGCAACTACTACTGCCGCTACGACTACGAAGGTGTGGACAAGGCTGGTGCCGAGAAGATGATGGCCGCCATGGCGTCGTCGGCGTCGCTTGCTGGCAAGGTGTACCATGGATTCACCGTCAAGGTAAACGACGAGTTTACGTACAACGACCCCGTCGACGGCAGCGTGTCCAAGCATCAAGGGATTCGATTCATCTTTACTGACGGGTCGCGCGTGATCTTCCGTTTGAGCGGCACGGGTGTCGCCGGTGCCACGATCCGCATGTACGTTGAAAAGTATGAACCAGCGACTGGCAACTTGTCGCAGTCGGCGGCCGATGCCCTGAACACGTTGATCCAAGTCGGTCTCGAACTGTCCCAGTTGGAACACTTTACGGGTCGCAAGGCACCGACCGTGATCACTTAAATAATCATACGAACGGCGCTCTTATAGGTTGTTAAGGCTCGAACGCATCGACTTCGTGGTTGTACAGGTCGTCGTCGACTCGGGAGGATGTGAGCGGCACGTCGACGTCACCGACGCCGTCATCGCAAAGGTGGTCCGCGTCGGCTTCATCGAAATCGACCTCGTCGTCCGACCAGCAAGCCTGGTCGAGCACAGCACGAGAGTTGTCACCAAGGCAGCCATCCTCCATCTGGATCACGGCCGCCACGGGGGAAGGTATTGGAGAAATGATGGGACAAGGACTGTCGGGACTATTTGTGGGATCGATATCCAAGACAGCGTCCTCTGGCTTGCACACAGCAGCGTGAACGACATCGTCAGCCACACGCCCCGACATGTGCGACGGAACTGTCGATGCGTCGTCGGTGATGATGCCACAGGGATGTGGAAGGATCTGGTTTGGTGGTGCGAGGAAGGGAGGTTGGGACTCGGTACGGTGGAATGCTTGGTCGTTCACTTCGTCGGCGAACGAGACTTCGACATGTTGCGCCAGCGGTTGTTGGCGCATCGCCGTGGATTTCTGGGGTGCGAGTTCTGCTGTCGACGATTTCTACGGTGTGTCGTCATGCCGGTGGTTCAAATGGATGCATCCACCTTGTGCGGAACAAGGCTGGAGCTGCGTGAGGGTCGCTGTGAAGTCGCGGCTGCCCACGGCGTGGCTTGCTTTCGGATCGAGTCGTGGCGTTTCTGTTGAATGTAGTTGACGGGGTTAAGTGCATTCTCTTGCAGCTTGGGTGGCATGCAGAGCTTGTACACCACGGCAAAGTCTCCGTGAAGTCCTTTCTCTTTGGGCATCACACGCGGCGACGTGGCCGCATCGTCCGATTCCTGCTCATCACGACTGACGCGACAAGCTCGTCAGCATGGCGACATACGTGTCTCTCGCGCAACCGGGCGGCAAGGCGAGCGGCGAGCTTCGAACGCGACTTGGGAACAGCTTGTTGTTTGAAGTCTGGCAAGTCGAGCATCCCAATCAAGGCCGACGTGGGGGCGCTATCCACGCCCATGGACGCAAACATGTCCTTGCGAGACGGGCGCGGCGGCAACTCTGCGTAGAGTTCCCGCAAGAGCACGAGATCTTCTTGGCGCGCCTTGGCTTGCTTGGCAGTGTATTTCGTGCAATCTTTCAACTGGACGGACAATGGATGAGGAGGTGTGCAAAGGACACGAAATTGAAGGGACTGTACTTTCACATTCACGTGCGGGTACACGTGCAAGAGCAGGACGAGGGCGCCCATGTCGCGGCATGAAACGCCGCCAGACCTGAGGCTGTCGATGCCCTTGACCCGCAGCGTCGAAGGGTCCACGATGTCGTGCACAGCAGCGATGTTGTGGACCCACATCCGCAGGGCCGACCCAACTGCCGATCGTTCTTCGATTGCGTCGGCGTTAAAGCGGGGTTGGGCGCAATGAAGATACAGCACAGCCAGGGAGCTACGACCTGGTCACATGACGCAGGAGGCAAGTCACATGTACCGCGGGGATAGGTCAGCGATCGGCACGGCTTGCAACGTCTGCACTAAATCGTTCCGAAACACCGTTTGAAGGATGGACCAAGGGAGCCATCGCCAGACGTCGACCAACTGCATGGCCGACGGTGTTTCGAGAGCGACGAGCTTGTACAGCAAGGACGCGAGGAGGTAGATATCGGGCGTCGGTTTGGCCCAGTGCCGCAGTTGGTCGAGCGAGTCGGCGCGAAGGGCATGTGTAGAGTGGATCTTGGCTTGGAAGCGCTTTGTTTCTTTCGTCGTGCTGCCACGTCGTTAGACTTCCTCCTAGACTGTGCAACACACATACATTTCATCGCGAAAGCAGCTGTGGGACGCTTCTTCGTCCTGCAACTTCAGTTGATGCTGCATTCGCGCTTCCACTTCAGCTTGAAACGACGGCGGCATGAACTCCACGGCCATCCTAGCCACGGCGATGATCGTGAGGTATACTCATATCTAACAAATTCCCAAGGGCACGGCGTACAGTTTGTGCAAGCTCACGGGGGGCACTACTACAACATGCTTCTTCTTGGGCTTCCTCTTCTTCTTGGCTGCTTTTTTCAAGCGAGCCAGCGATGCTTGACGCTCTTGAATCATCACTCGCTTCTCTGCATTGTACTTCTCGAGCAGATCGAGCTCATGCTGCCGTTGTTTCTCCCGCGCCTCCTCTCGCTCTTGCTGTTGCCGCCGTTTCGAGCGCTTCCACTCGATGAAGAACGCGTCCGTCTGGCATCATTTCTCGTGATGACACGCAGCGCCGAAGTCATATCCACATACCCCGTTGTGGTGCAAAGGTTTGGACCTGCGTTGAGGCAAGTCGTGATTGTTCTTCTCGTGGTCGATTGTGGATGGCTTTGCCAAGCCTTCTTCCCTCCGCCTCTCGTCCTTTTGCTCGCACCATGCCAGCCAGCATGCCTGTATGTCCATTACAATGCTTCCATGTAGCCGCTCTGTCGTACATGTCCCTCGGCTTGCCTGCGCTTCTTGGCCTCGTCGGTCGTTGGTTCGAGAGGCCTCCTAAGCTTAGTCAGAAGCGAGCCAATGGGCTCAACATGTCGAAGGGTACGCACAACTTTCTCGTGCTGGCGCTTGCCATGGCTCCACTACGGCTGGTCGAACGAACACTTGCATCGGACGTTTGCGGCCGCAAGCTGCCGCCGCCAGTCTACGGACGCCACGATTGGTTGGAGCAGCAGGGTCATGGAGCCAGGACCACATCGCTCACACCTCGACATTTGCAAGCATCAAGTCGCGCTCCAAACTACATAGCCATACTGCTTGCATGGTGCCTGGACTCGCCCTACTGGCGGTGGATCATGCGTCAAAATTGTGTTGTGTGCGTGGGTTTCGTAGGTGTAACGGCAATTGTGGCGTTTCAAATATTCAACAAAAGTGCATGCTGCCGAGTCGTGCCAAGTCCATGCCGAATGGCGGCTGGATGGAGTCACCGTCAGTGAATGGCACGAACCATGGTGGTATTGACGACAGCAGTCACCTCGACCACGTACGCATTCAACTCGTGCCATTTTGTTGATGGGTGTCGTTTGTAGATTGCGTCGCAGCTGACGATGCCCGAGGCCGACGGCGAAGCCCCAGTCGTGTCGGCGTACATGACACGGCAGGCCGAGCGCGCCGAGATCACAGGTCTTTCTCCGATGGAAGAAATGCGCCTCGCCCATGGCGAGTTGGCTGCAAAAGCCGCTAAGAAACGCAACTTGGACGATTTGCCCGTGGCGACGTCGTTCCATCTCAACCATTTCTTGCAAGTGCCCCCTGTAAAAAAAGTGCTCAAGCGCATGCAGACCAGTGTCACGGGCATGTCTGGCTCCAACATCTCGAGGCGAAGAGATGGCTTTCGAAATGCTCCGTCCGTCGTGTGCGAGGCCGAAGTGAAGCGTATCACACAAGAATTGGCAAACAATATCGACGACATGACGGCTGGTATGGCCACCTCATGTCCACAGCGCTGTGAGGACGGCCCTTGACGAGGTTGGACATTCTAGAGCAAGCGATGAACTTTGTCCAGAGCGTCCAGCAGCGGGAAAACATCATCAAAATGCGCGTCGACGACTACGACGCCAAGCGCGTTCCGTGGTACCTCATCTCGCCCGCAAGCAAGTTTCGTGTTCGATGGGATATCCTGAGCGTCGTCCTCATCATTTGTACGTGGAGTCGCCCGCCCTTCCTTGTTGGTCATGGTGAACTGACCGTCGCGACGTGGTGTCGTAGACAACGGCTTTTACATTCCAGTACGTGATTGCAGCACAGGGAAACAACGGGAGCCCAGTGTGCCGCGTCGGTGTAGTTTTCGATCGCATTTGGACGCAACAACAGCATGCCTGTGCTCGAATTGTTGGATCGTTTTCAAGTGGGCTTTAGCGTGCTGTACTTCATGGATGTGGTGCGTGCTTCATGCATCGATCTGTTGTCCTCACGTTGGTGGCCAAGATCGTCAACTTTTTCTCGGCATACGAAGCCCGCGGACGCCTCGAAATCCGATGGAGTGCGATCGTCAAGCGATATCTCCAAACATGGTGTGAACCACGGCCAGCGTGATTCGTCATGGGCTGGTTGCGCACTAGGTTCTTCATTGACGTCCTGTCGGCAATGCCCGCGGAAGCCATCTACTTGGCGTGCCTTCCTTACACGTCCGAGCCGGACGCACGGCTGAACAAGTACTTTAAGTTCCTCCGCATCATCAAGCTGACCCGCATGCTCGGGTTTACTCACATCTTGAATCGGTGTGTTGGCTCGACCTCGATCTCCGACTGACTCGGCGTATCCCCCAGGGTCGAGTACGCGCTTCTGATCAAATCCAACCAGAGCGGACTCATGAAGTTCTTTCTCCTGGTCTGTCTGACGTCGCACTGGTTCAGGTGTGCATTGCCGTCGATGGCGACGACTCACCAGAGCATGCATGGTGCAGCTGCTTCTTCTTCTTCATTTCGGACACCGTCCCTGGAGGCTGGGTCGACAGGCATCACTTGCAGCACATGCCAATCTACGATCAATATGGTAGGACCAACTCACTGCATGCGTCCGCCGACCTCACGCTCTTCGTCTCGCAGTGAACGCGTTCTACTGGTCCATCATGACCATGTACGTCGATTCTGCTCGTCGCTCTTCCACGGCTGTGCTAATCCTTCGCATGACGACAGGACGACGGTCGGCTACGGCGATGGTGACGTCGACGCATTTGACGGGATGCCCGCTGATATGACTCTAGTGACGGGGCAAAACACACACGAGCGAGGCTTCAGCATATTTGCCATGGTCGTGGGGGCATGGATTTTTGCCTACGGCATTACGAATGTACTCGGCACCCGCGATCGTCGTGCTCTCGATTCAATCGGCCAGTCGTAGGTCGTTGCGACGGTGGCCAACTTGAACCCGAACGACACCGAGTTTCAACACAAAATGGTATACGATAGCCTCTTTTCGAAGTCACTCTGACGGGGTTGTGCTTGCAGGATGGCATCAACAACTTTATGGAGGTAGCGGCTACTGACCCGAACCGATTCCTCCCTCGCAGCGGCATCGTGATGCATTTGATCGTAGCGGCGCGATTTGCCCATGGAATTGCGGTCTGAAATTCGCGAGTTCTTTTTGAATTCGAGACTGTCGACGGAAAACAAGCTTAAGAACGTACGGTCGCCGCTCGTTCGTTCGCATCTTGTCTGAACGGGCTCATACGACGTGGACGGATGCGTAGGAAAGCAAGATCTTGAGTGAGCTCTCGGCGCTCCTCCGGTCGAAAATTGCCCTCGCGATCAACGACTCAGTCTTGAACAAGATGCCGTTCTTTGAAGGCGCAGACCATAACTTCCTCATGGAGCTCGCGTTGTCGATGAAGATGGTATGCTTTCCACCCCACGAAGAGGTACGCCGTTTGCTCAAGCGCCGCCAATCGCTCACAACGTCGCGATGGTGCAGGTGATTGTCGAAGGCGAAATCGGCCAAGAAATGTTTTTTATTTTTCGCGGGGCTGTCGAAGTGATGAAGGACGGCGAACAGATTGCAGTACTTGGGGAACAGCAGTACTTTGGTAAAATGCGCCATCGACCGTCCGCTCCCGCGGTGACGTCATGGACATGGGATTGTAGGCGAAATGGCCATCATGAACACCAATTGCACACGCCTCGCCACGATCCGCACGCTCTGCTTTTGTGAACTCCGCATGCTGACACGGCAAAAGTTTCTTGTGGCGCTGTCACATTTTCCATCGATGCGGAAGCGAATAGCTCGCATCATCCATCGACGACAAACCACACATGACCAAGAGATGGTGCGGCGCAAGTCGGCCGACCTGACCGGACCTCAAATGCCGACGTCGACGTCCAGCCTGAAGAAGCTTCCACGGGGTGGCCTCATTCGACAGGGGTCGGCCAACCCGACCGTCATGGAGAACTTGGCGGCTTCGATGGTTCAGAGCTCTCGCAGTTTGCTCGAAAAGAAAGGCCCAGACATCTTTACGCTCGAGCCGGACAATATTGTGGGCTCGACCATGCAGCGCATCTCGCAGATGAACGTCGTGCCCAACGGGCGGAGCGACGATGTCCTTGCTGACGATGCGCCGGCGGACAGCGACATGCGCCAGATTATTCAAGCATTGCTTGACCAGCAAGAAGCGCTTCTGGCAGAAGTTACCAAGCTCGAAGACAAAGTCCGAGCCCTTACCCGCAGCACACCCGATTCAGACCTTATTTAACTCGAATTTGATGACGACTTTGTCAGTTTCAACCGTTACACGCCATGAAACGGCGCACCAGTTGTCCGACTCTCACAGGCAGTGCATTCGATGCGGTCCCGGCTGCGCTCGAAACCAACTGCGCGGACCAAGAAGGTCAGCGCCCGGTGCAGCGATGGGCGGAACCACGATTTTCTCGCAGACGACGAGGTCAGCAAGGTGCACGTGGCGCCCCTGCCCATGCACGTGGAGGAGAATCGAACGACTGTCGCAGATGGCGACAATCTCGATGAAATCGATCAAGAGGAAGCTATGATTGCTGAAGGGCTTGTGTCGACGTCGACGACGCGCGCCCCGCAACAGCAATCAGCTTACATGACTCGCCACTTCAATAGCGCTCATGTCATGGGGCTGTCGCCCATCGAAGAAATGAAGCTTGCCCAGGGTGAATTCCAAGCCAGGGCTGCCACCAGCATGGTACAACGCCCCCATGAAGAACAAACGTCGTATGAGTGGTGTTGAATCGCCGTTTTTGTAGCGCAGTGCCGGGCCAGCAGAACTCATGAGCGTCGCGTCGGTTGCGTCGTCGATGGTCAGTATTATCCACCCTGACAGCAACAACTCGGAGAGCAAAGGCGCCAAGGACGCCGGGCCAGTTCGACGAACGTCCGCCGTACAGGCCCTCTTGACCAAGTTCCACCCGTTGGGGGCCGACAAGCCCGCAGGACCACACATTCGCCACATTCACCAGAACACGGTCGACCGACTTCCAGAAGACGACATCCGTCGGCTATCGGCGACGTTCCGCAAGGACGTCGAGGCCATGACTCCCCGTACGTCATGCGCTTTGGTGGCAATGCTATCGTTGACGCCCGAGATCGTTAGAGCAAGCACTTAGCTTTGTCGAAGATGCAGTGAAGACAGAAAACATCATCAAGCAAAAAGCCAACGACCGCCGCGTGAAGAAGCTCCCGTGGTACCTCATTCACCCCATGGGGCCGTTCCGCCGGCGATGGGACATTGTTAGCCTTTGCTTGCTTTTGTGTAAGTGGCTGACCACCAGTCCCGTCGACTACCCGCTAACATCTCGAACTAGACACGGCCACTTGCACGCCGGTACGACATTTTCAAGTTGCTTTAAGAGGAGTCGCGATGGTCCATTGTAGCTGCAACTGAGCTTCCCTACGCATTTGGACATGGCGCTGCTAACGAAGCTGGACCTGTTCGTCGATTGCTTCTTTCTCATGGATGTGGTAAGGGAACTCCACATTGCCCATCTTACGACGCATCATAGTGTCTCAACTGCGTCTCGACCTACGAAGTTCGTGGCCGCTTCGAGCGGCAATTGCCGCGCATCATGATGCGATACCTTCGATCGTGGTACACGGACCGCTTGCTGGAACAACTCCCCGTCCAGATGGCGGCCACGTAGGCTCTTCATGGACCTGGTCGCGTCGTTCCCATACAACATCGTCACCTTGTACATTGCAAACGTTGACGACGGCCTCCGCCTCTTCAAGCTCCTGCTCCTGACTCGGTTCCTTCGCATATTAACGCGGTGCGCGACGATCGCTCGCGAGATCTTGTTCACGCTGTCCTCTCTAGACTCGAGTACTCGCTGCTGGTCAAGTCGACTGTGAGCGGCCTCGTCAAGTTTTTCATCCTTGTCATGATGACATCGCACTTTTTCAGGCACCACATTCTCGTGAGACGACGAATATTCATGTCGGTATTGCATGAATAGTTGCGGGTTTTACAGACTGTCGGTGCCAAACCAAGTCGACGGATGGGTCGCCAGACACAGCCTCGGGAATCGAACCCTCTACGACAAATATGGTCCGTTTCCCTCGCGGCGATGTGGCTCTTACTACTGGGGACAGTCACGTGCTTTTACTGGAGCATCATGACCATGTACGCGACCCATCGTCCACTTTGCGAGTTGTGACGACTGGATAGGACGACGGTGGGGTATGGCGATGGTACGTTGCGTGGGCAGCGAGGGCGGCAAGCATATCAGGTCGTGTGCCGTAGTGACGGGTCAAACAACGCCCGAGCGGCTGTGGAGCATCTTTGCCATGGTGAACGGCGCTTGGATCTTTGGCTATGGCATCACAAATGTACGTCCGCTTCCTTGGATCGCGCGACATTGACGTTGTGCATGTAGGTTGTGTCGATGGTGAGCAACTTGAACATGGCGGACACGCAGTTTCAGCGAAAGATGGTGCGTGCTGCATCGAGAAACCGCGGAGGGACTCATCGCACTTGTAGGACTTTGTGAACAAGTACATGGACGTACGTGCCCCATGCAGCCCATGGCCGTGGGATGTAATGGATGGCAGGTGCGAGATTTGCCGTTGGAACTGCGGGCAGAAATCCGCGAGTTCTATTTCAACACGCGCATCACGGTCGACTCCAAGCTCAAAAACGTACGTTGAACGATCGGGTCCTTCCCACAACTCCACCCATCGACAACATGCAGGAGAGCAAGATCTTGAGCGAAATGTCGGCGTTGCTACGGTCCAAGGTCGCGCTCGCGATCAACGACTCGGTGCTGAACAAGATGCCGTTCTTCGAAGGCGCGGACCACAACTTTCTCATGGAGCTCGCCTTGTCCATGAAGATGGTGTGCATGCCACCGCACGAGGAGGTACATGCGGTCTTGTTGTTGATACCATCCATATCCTGTCGTCCAGGTTATCATCGAAGGCGAGATTGGCGAAGAAATGTTTTTCATCTTTCGCGGTGCAGTCGAAGTGTTGAAAGTGGGCATCCAAGTTGCTGTGCTCGGCGAGAAACAATACTTTGGTAAAACCCACCCGCACGATCGTGTGTGACGGGGTGACGGCGGCAGGGGAAATGGCAATCTTGAATGAAAACTGCCTCCGCACAGCGACCGTCATGACACTATGCTTTTGCGAGCTGCGCATGCTCACGCGAGAAAAATTCCTCTTGGCGTTGACGCATTACCCCAGCATGCGTCAAAAAATCGCCAAGATCATCCACCGCCGCAACCAGGCTGTCGCGAGGGTCGCCAAGGCTGCCAACGGTCGACGGGTGCGCGCTGGCAACAGGGCGATCACGGCAAGCTCACCATCGTTCGTGTAGCTATCGACGTCGACGGACAAAGTGCTGAAGAAAAAGCACGTGCATCGAGACCCCAAGCTCGACCCGATCTCGTCGGAAAAATCGTACGCAGAGTCGCGGCATGACTCTTCCAGGAATGCCGACGACGACGTATCTCAAAGTGGCGCGGGGGACGGCGGTGCAGCCACCACTGAAGACCAACCCGCAGCGACGACTGCATCCATCGAGACGCCACAACCACCGTACGGGGAAGACGATGGCAGCGGCAGGCTAACCGCGGACTTGGCGGGTACGTCGGCATGCGTTCGCATCACAATTCTAATCGAGGGAATCTATGCGGCAGACACAAGCGGCCAAGTCACCGGCACTACCATGGGTCGGATCTCATTCTGCCAGCAATCAGCCGAGCCAGGCGATGCCGCGCGCCTACAGATCCTGGAGCTGTACCAAAGCCAAGAAGAATTGGTCAGCCACGTCCTACACGTCCAAAACAAGTGGATGCAGCTTGAGTCCCAGATGCGGCAGATGCAACAGGAGCTACAATTCTACCGAGCGACCTACGGCACGACCACCCGGGATGCCGCGATGGGAGAACAGCAGGAGCGAGCCCCGCCGGAGACGACAGCGATCGTGCGTGCCGTAGCGGCGGGAGAAGTCGTGGCAACAGCTTCGGCGGCGTACAACATGGACTGCCAGGAAGAGGAACAATACTAGTCGCATGACGAGGGAGCAGTAGGACTAGTAAGTTGGCTATTTATCTGCGACGACTCGCTCACAGCATGTTGTTCGAACCGTCGGGGATCGTGACGGTGATACCATCCATCTCAGGAGTGGCTTTGATTTGGCACCCGAGTCGCGACGTGTCAGTGAGGCCCCACGCCATGTCGAGCATGTCTTCTTCCTCTTCCGTAATTGGCGGTAGCGTCGCGTAGACGGCCGGTTCAAACACGCAGTGGCAAGTAGAGCAAGCGAGCTCTCCGCCGCATGCTCCCTCCAGCTCGATGTCATTGTTGTGGGCGATTTCGAGAAATGTTTCACCGATGGCCGCCGTCACTTCCTTCTTGGCTCCATCCGCTTCGACAAACGTGACGCGAATCTTGTCCGAGAACAATCGACTTGCAAAAGGCAAGGCGCTGTGGATGTGCGGTGGCTTCAACGACTTCCATGCCGTCGTGGACGGACGGGTCGCCGCGCGCATGGCCGACGACACCACGCTGCGAAGGGCCGAGGACATCATCACAGCTGGCTGGTGTGAGTTTGGCGTTGACAAATTCCATGATGTGCCCTGTTAAGTCCGACAATCTGTTATGTGCGCTAGGAACCGTACATTAAACGGCTTACTTAATCGGGTAGAGTGACCGGAGTGAACCGCGGTTCACGCTGCGGATCCTGCGAAACGACACAGTGGGCATGGCGGAAGCAAAGGACGGCAGCGACAACGAGCTCGAGCAGCTTCAGTTCAAGGTCGGTCGACTGCTTCGGCTCGCAAACGTCATGTTTATGAACAGGTGATCATCTTGGGTGATGGGGCTGTTGGGAAGACTTCCATTGCGATGCGTCACACGGAGGATTCGTTCTCAAACGTGTACAAGCAAACGATTGGACTCGACTTCTATCTCAAGCGCCTGTCGCTTCCAGGTACATGTGTGCATGCATGGGGGCAAGCTTGCCCTTACATCATGTTGTGGCAGGCGACGTCCAAGTGGCGCTGCAAATATGGGACATTGGCGGGCAATCGATTGGGGGCAAGATGCTCAAAAACTACATCTTTGGCGCTCATGTTTGTAGTCCCGGACGCTCTTCATTCCACGTTGACGACTCCTCTAGGCCGTGCTCCTTGTATACGACATTACAAACTACGAAAGCTTTCAGAACTTAGAGGACTGGCTTCGACTGGTCCAGCGCACGTTTGGCGAGTCCAAGTTGCCTTACATTGGCTTGTGTGGGAACAAATGTACGTCCACAACCGGCGATCCAGCGGCCGTCACAGGGGTATTGCCGTAGCCGACTTGAACCATCTCCGCACGGTGAAGGCCGCGAAGCACAAACAGTTCGCCGACGAGAACGACATGAAGAGCTACTTGCTGTCGGCCAAGACTGGCGATCAAGTGCAGTGAATCACCGACTTTTTCTGCCCCCAGGTCGACCTTACTCAAGTGTCCAACCTAGGTGAACTCGACGTTCTTTCAACTTGCAGCCGACTTGGCCGGCGTGATCGTGACCCGCCCCGAGGTCGAGGTCACGTCGCCCGCTGTTAAAGCCACGATTATCAACCACGAGCAGAACGACCCAGACGTGAAGGCTCCAGACATGCGCAAGCAGTCGAAAGGGTGTTTGATTCAGTGAGGGTCGTATCGTGAGCAACTCTTAACACGGGGAGAAGAGATGATTGCGCTACGGCTACATCATTGTGTTACTCAATCACCTGCACAATATTTGGACGAAGTGCCTATATTCTGATGGCGCGGCCAACACAATGTTGGAGAGAGGAGCATCGAGCCCAGTCGCTGGAGAATGACTGCATGGCACGCATGGCGCTTAGTAGTCCGATCCGCCGCCGAACATGTCCATGCCACCGCCAAGGTCAGCTTCTTCTTCTTCTTCCTTCTTTTCTTCCTTCTTGCCAGCGGCAGGGGCGTCAGCAGCACCCGCAGCAGCGGCAGCAGGGGCGGCAGCGCCACCGCCGCCGAACTTGGCGAGCTTGGACGAGCCGGCCGCGATGATTTCGTCGATCGACTTGTCAGCGATGTCTTCGAAGAGCTTTTCGAGGCGCTCCGCGTCGACTTCGACGCCAGCGGACTTCAACACGTTCTTGACATCGGCGGGCTTGACGTCTTCCTTGGCGAGGGCAACCAACAAATAAGCAGCAACGTAGCGCATCTTCTTGAATCAAATTAAGGTAATAGCCCAGAAACAAGAATGATCCATCGCCCACCGCCGCGCTCCTATCCAATCATCCACTCGAAGGCGTCCACGTACGACAAATTGGCGAAAATAGCCAAATTCGCCCATACAAATTCACGCGTTTTTCACGTAAATTTTACCTCGATGCCACTCGATGCTCCAATCTTTACCTTTGTTTCGGTATACGCACAGGGGTAGGGGCCACCAGATTTGTTGGTGCACAAGCGCCAGCGCCACCACGACCACTTGGGCCATCATTCTCAAACTTTGCTGTTGATCCAGAACCATGGCCCCCGCTGTAAGTTGAATGCTGCCGTTGAAGCAAGCTAGCTGCAGAGTTCTCTTCTCTGCTCGGGCTTTAGACTGCACTACCGACATGAACCATCCACGCTCTCTCCGCGTCCGAGAATGCGGAGGGAATGGACGTGTCTACCAGAGTCTAGGACCGAGTGGAGACGACGAACGCCTGCAGCAGCACTGTGCTTTGGCAAGTGCGCGCACGGTGTTGACCGTTTGTCTTGCTTGTAGAACAAGAAGACCCAAGCCGGCAAGAAGACTGTGTTGAAGTTCACCATCGACGCCACCATCCCTGTGGATGACCAAGTGTTGGACGTGGCCTCGTTTGAAAAGTTTTTGCACGACCGCATCAAGGTGAACGGGAAGACCGGTGTCTTGGGCGATGTGATCACCATCACCCGCGAAAAGACCAAGTTGCACATCGCCGCGCAAGCTCCTTTCTCCAAGCGCTACTTGAAGTACTTGACCAAGAAGTACTTGAAGAAGCAGCAATTGCGCGACTACCTCCACGTGATCGCTTCCGACAAGTCGACCTACGAATTGCGTTACTTCAACATCCACAACGCCAAGGACGACGATGCTGACGAAGAATAAGCGCCTTCTTGACTGTGGTTAGCGGAGCAGCTATGAAACCTTTCAATAACCAAAGCAGGGTTCCAGCAGCATTGATGCTCGTATTATTTATCTCTGCCTTCGTGTTGACTTGAATTCCTCCGTCGCGAACTCGGGTCGGGAGACATCCAGCGCAGGACAATAACGCTCATTTTAAAATTACAATACCATGAAGTCGCTGCCGAGTTTTCTTAGCCTGTGAGTAGTCCAAGGCAATGCTTGCATGCGTGGCCCCTTCCTTCGTTGACTCGCAGAGTGCCATGGCTCCTCGACCACTCAAACCTCCCCTGACGGGAGTACGACCGAATCGCCTCAGTCGTATCTTGTGCACAAAGTACGGTCTTCCGTCGCCCGGACCCTCGAAGTACAATTGCGGGACGGCGACATGCTCTCGCGTAGGCGGTGATGACGGTGGCTATGTTGTCGACGGCTACAAATACCACAACTGGCTGGGAAACACTCGTCGAATGTACCGATCAACGAATGCCGTGGACTTAGAAAGAGTATATGTGCGTACACAAGTACGTCACGAATAAATACTACTTGTCCACGAGCCAAGGATCACAGTACTTGCCGCCGCAATACACGGCATCACACAATCGTCGCCTTCCGTTGGACGACATACCAGCAAGAGTACGTCTTTGCTATTTGGCCGCAGCTGCTTTGCCGCTGTTGGCCTTCGCCTTGGGGTGGCTAGAGGGCCGTCTCCCCAAGCGAGCGCGCTCGCCGTATTCCTTGATGCCGTAGTAGTCATCGCTAAGAGATTGTTGATGGTCTTCCGCAGCGACCTTTGAAGTTTTGGTTGATGAGGAATTCAATGAAGAAGGCGCAGCGGGTTGTGGAGCCGACAAGCTCTGAAATGGCTGTCGGTGACCGCTGTGCGGGGCCAGGAGGACGTCGCTATACGACCGGCCGAACGACTTTACGTTCTTGGACTCATCGTCATTCCATTCCTCCTGCACGACAACCCAATCCACAGAGGCCACAGACGATATATCGTCATCTGCATCGTGGAAGCTCCATTCGTCATCGTCGTCACCTTCTGTGTCGGAGTTTCCAGTTGTGGCAACGGTCACTTCAGCCCCTGTGGTTGCCGGCAACAACCCGCTGAGAATCTCTGCGGTGCCACAAATGTCGTAGTTTTTCGCAATGAATACGTCTTGGACAACCAACGGGTCGACTTCAGGAAAGGCGTTCATGAGCATGCTCAAGTTGGACTCCGACTCTTCCTCGCTGAAGGCAGCCGACGTTTGTTGTGCCATGGTTTGGATCGATTCATGATGAACGGACATGCCGTAGTCGTAGTTGTAACTTCCGCCGTAAGCATCCATCATTTCATCCTGGTAGTCTAGCGAGGTCAATCGGGCAAACGATTGCACGCTGCTCCGCTTCGTGCGTGGGTTGGACGAGGCGAACTTGGAGCCTCGGATCGACATGACTTCTACAGACATGAGAAAGAAGAGGTGATAACTTTGGCGACCGCAATTGCGAAATGGATCCGCGCCGACGGCGGCGCCGCCACGTACCTCGCCTGGGCGCAAGTTTGTATTCTGTTGGGCGAATGCCGAGACCTTCCATACAGACGCGGAACGAGCTGACTTCTCGACTCGGATTGGTTAAAATTAGGTATGACGCACTTTGATTGGTGGACACATATCCAAGTAGAGTGCTGGTACATTCCCACCATCATTCACGACTGTTCTTGCTGCCTCTTCCGAGACGAAATCTATTTCGGACGGTGGCGGCAGGAAGAGTTGGGGGTAGTGTGGAGTGTGTGCTGATGCAGCTATGCCCCTGCGGTCTCTGTATGGGACGAATGCCAACGAACAGTCTTGATGACCCCACATGTGGAGCTGGGAACTCTGCTCCCTTTTACTTGACACAGCGTGCAATTAACTAGCAAAAGTTCGCTGATCGATCCCGCCCTGACGCACCCCTCATCCCCCACGACCAACACCTAATTCGCACACAGGACTGGAATGCAGTGGATCAACCAGGCACCATCATTGAGTGCCGATAGCGTGGTCCAAAGATGGAGGACATTTATCGGAGGGACACTTTGTGGGCACACATGCCCCAACCAAGGTGTAACGAAAGAAATGCAACCTACAAAGAAGCAAACATTTTCACCTGTGAACACTGGGATGCACATTGCCGCGGTCGATGAACTGCCGGCGTCCCCCTTTGAAGCCACTCCAGCCCAACCGGCCAGTCTGCGTGCAAACTTGCCTCAAGTGATTGCAAAACATCCGGATGTTCATATCCGGAGTGTTTCGAAGTCGTGTGATTGGGTGTGATGGAAAAAAACCGACGCCACCGCCGACGCAGGCCGAGGAGGAACGAAACATGATGATGTCGATCCCCGTACATGACACGTCGATCCCCGACGAAGCAGAGATGGAGAACTTGCCCTCCCCCTCAAGTGAATCCAGCGCGAGTTTGATCCCACTCGACGTTGCGACAGCAAGAAGTATCTACGGCCATGGCAAGAAGCTCGTCCCGACATTGTCCGTGCCGCTGTGGAACAAGGACACAAAATATTTGGGCCTCTACGCACTGCAAACCCTCCTTACCGTCATTGCTGTAGCCACCATCGAGCATCGAAGTATGGTCAAGGTAGCGGCCATTGCGAACCAGACGGCACCATCCCCACACCATGTCAACGACATGGCAGATCGCGGAGTGCCATACATCGGATATATGGTTCTTGTGGGTGCGCTGTACAGTTTGGTTTGGATCTGCGTGTTCTTCTACCTCCCCAAGGATATCTACATCCGATTCTCCACGATTTCGTCCTTCGTGGGGCTTGCGCCACTCGCGCTCGTCCTCGTGTTCAGTGGGTCCTGGGGTGGCTTCTTCCTTGGCCTGGGCGTGGCACTCATCGCGTTTTCCGACTTTGTGTGGACGCGAAAGAACAGGCTTGGGTTCGACTTTGTCGCGGTGGTGTTTGAATTGGTCGCGAAGGTGCTCCTTGATCTGCGCGGCGTCGTTGTCGCCGTCGTGGGCATCCTACTGCTCGGAACAATGTGGGCCTTCTGGTGCGGACAACTCTTAGCTGACGTCCGCGACGACGAAGGCTGGTCGTTCAACCTCCTCTGGCTGTTCTTTCACTTTTATTGGACGTCGCACCTTGTCCACACGTTGATTTCGCTGCTCGTGTCGGGCACTGTCATGTACTGGTACCACCACTGGGACAACTCGCACGATTCCCACCATGTGCTCGCCGATGCAGCGTCCGTCCCTGCGTCCCCACGCGCAGTGCTCGAGTCGAAGGTATCGTCTGTGGATCTGGACTCACGAACCGGCAGCGGCTCGAAGAGCAAAGTCGCGCCGGCACATGTGGTCGTGCTGCACTACATACGCATGTCCATCAGCCACGCTCTCGGTTCAGCTTGCCTTGCCGCCATCTTCTGCCCCATCGCGCATCTACTGTGGAATATCCTCCGCATGGCAAAGCGCGACGACTCGTACCGATGGCTCCGCGTCGTCGTGCGACCGTTCGCTTCGTCTATTGAAGCATTTATTCAACTATACCACAAGTACTCGCTGGTGTTCGTCGCTGGATTTGGACACTCGTTCGCGGGGTCTGCGGCGGACGCGTGGGCGCTCATGCAAGACCGAGGCATCGAAGCCATTGTTGACGACGACTTGTCCAGCCGCCTCCTGCTGTTTGTCGCAAATGGCTGTGCAGGAATGATGGGCACGCTGTGCAATCTTGTGCTCGTGGGCTCGCACTTGCGCGTGTACGGCACGATTGTGAGCTTTCTCGTGGGGTATTTCGTGTGCCAAGCCGCGACCACCATGATGAACATCACGGTCAAGACGCTCTTTGTGTGCTTTGCAGTCAACCCCGCGCGACTGAGCCGGCTGAATCCCATTATTTACCATCGATTTATGCGGTTGTCCGAGCTCAAGTCATTTGGGGAACGGCGATAAGTGAAAAATACACTGAACAACGCGTCGTCCAAGTTGAAAATGGCGTTGAGTGTGGACGAGAGTTCCCTCAGACTTGTAGGGAGCGCATGGGGTTGGCAACTTTAAAACCCTCGAGTGGCGTAGTAGCTGAAGGCACTCGGTGAGGTGGCCTCTCTGGAGGACTGGATGCGGCAAGAGTTTGATACGACAGGGGTTGCCCCATGGCACACGATACCCATCAAAGTCGGATCGACGAGCTGATGATGGTGCTGTTGCAAGGTAGAAAGAATATCCAGGCAAGCGAGCAAAGTATCAAACTTGTTACAGCACTACTTCGCTGTGGTGGTGGCTCTCTTAGACGGAAGTCAGCTTCGTGCAAGCCGTTGTAGGTACCCGACCAACGAGGCGTGCCAGTAGGCTGCTACCGCATCGACACTCGCGCCAACTCTGTTGAAAGTGCGGTACACATTAAATCAAGTAACATAGGCCGTTTCCACCAGGACTTGGGATGGAATCTGAATCTGGAGGGGACGCTGCGGGTGTTTGAACTTGTGCCTAGTTTGCGAACCACTAGCTTTTTTCGATCGTTGCTCACTTGAGTGACAGCATGGTCGAGCAGTAGTCGTACGCCGCCCATACCCGGACTGGATGAACCAACACCTGCCTCCGACGTTGAGCACCATGGTGCTAGTTCAGTTTGGGCAACTTGGAATCGCATGGATGTCTTGGATTTGTTAGGATCCGCGTCGAGACGGGCAAGCCCTCGTTCGAGGAACGGTGGAATGTCCCACACACGGCGTTCGCAGCATGACATGAGGATGCGGCTGCAGTTGCCGTGCACCGTACAAAGGCTATGAGTACGAAGCTTTGGCTGACATACGAAACAGGGAGAAAAATCCAGGCGTGAGCTTGGGCCAACTGGTGTGAAGTCGATGCCTGTGCTTCTCCGGGTGGATGGCTGCGCATGCGATGTCGTGGATGATGTTGTCCATGCATTTGCAGTTGGGCTGGAAACACCCAAGCATGGCTGAGTTGGCAGCCTTTAAATTGTGTCGACGGTCAGTATTGTGTGCCTCCTTCAAGGAGCGCCAGGCGAGAGTAACAAGCCGACTGGTCCCGAAGGTGAATGCTCTCAGGAGCGACGAACGCCCCACGGCGAGAAGTTGGTCGAAGGGGATGAACAAGGTTTCGTTTGGTGGGTTGACTGGACTGCGACTTGTGAGAGGCTGCCGAATAAAGCTAAGACGACGGGCCACCCGCATCGCGACGACCTCGATGGAAGTCAAACAGTTCAAACGCAAGAAGCTCAAGGAGCTGTAGGTAGAGGGTCCTACTGGCTTGAGTATTGTCGACGGAATGCCGATTTCAGTAGTTCAAAGTCGCGCGCCATCGCTCCAAGGCGGCAACAATTCCTTCGGCAACGACCATCCGATGAAAACACGCTTGTTGCGCAATGTGCATTCACTTCACAGAAGCAAAGAGGGATTCTTTTCCATAAAATTTCGAATTCATCATTTAAATTCCAAATAGATCATTCATTCTCAAACAGTCAAGACAGCGCATCGGATTGGTGGATTTCTCAACGATGCTTGTGCTGAGTCAAGATGCTGCGGGCCGATGGTGCGACGTGAGGTATGACCGCTACGTGTGCGTTCACCAAAACTAAGTGAGCGGCCTCGCAGGGTCGAAGATGCATGTAGCTTGCTCGCTCAAGTGTCCGAGCCTTCCACGCAGCTACAAATATCTTGCGTTGCGTTTCGTGTTCCAGTGACAACAACGCCCATTGTTGTACTCCTTCCCGTCCCCTCGTCGGCGTGCCTTGTGGCAGCCGGCACAAGTGTGTTTGAATTGGTTGCTGATATCCTGCATTGCTTTCCATGTACCCCTATGTTCATCGCGTTGGTCGTGCTCATGGATGCGTTTGAATGTATAGCGACCGTCAAACCGGTACAACGAACTACATTTGACAGCGACAGTGAAAGCGACGATGACAAAACGGACCGCTTAAAGAAGAAGCACAAACTTGCCACGAAAGACGGCGAGCCCACGACCTTGGGTGCGCCGCCCGACTACACCGCGGCGTGGGGTGCTGCCCGTGTACGCCTCGTTAGTGGAGAGGACCTACCGGCCACTCTGGCTCATCTAAGTTTCCCCAGTGACGTGATCTCGTCGCACACAATTTTGGAGTGCGTATTGATATGCCTCCTGGCTCATAGTCATCGTGGTGATGCTTAGGGATTCCTTCGTCGTGGCCGAGGTACCGCCGACGACAATTTCCACGGAAGGCATCCTCAATGCTGGATTTATCATGACGCACCCCATCGCGACCCCTGGCTTTCTCACATCCTTTGCGCAACGATGCATCGAAGATCAAGAGACGACCATCATGTGGAAGCAGTCGGTGGTCTCATTCAACGGGTGCCGAGAGCTGTCTGAACACGGCGCCGGGAAAACACCGCCAGGTGCGTTGAATTCCTCAAGGTGTTCCTTGACAGATATCGCAGAGATGCTGGACAACATTCGACGACGACACGCATCTGGCACGTTTACCAAGCTAGTTTTGCCAACCATGGCGTGGAGTGATGTCGTGGAAAAGTACGCCACCACCTATCCATGGATACGAGGCATCCACGGCGATCTTCGCATGCGCAAGATCATGCAAGTCTTGCCAACTGAACCAGTGTGCATTCGTTTGAATGGGAGCTGAGGTGTCATGTGAGGTTTGTGCTACCTATCAAATCTTCCGTTCCCTTGTCGAGCGCTCGGGCACTGGCTGGGCATTCTCGATGAGTTTTCAAACGAAAATCTCTTTGGGAGATCTTGAATATGGCCTCGCCGGTCGACGCGAAGCGGCGCATCCAACTCGATTTGTCCGATGGAACGATTCGAGTACCAATTGGCTAAAATACATGCAATTCAGCGTTTTGATTGGTCATATTTCGCCGAGCAAGTCGAAACGGCATAAACACGAGCGATATAAAGAGCTGGAGGTAGATTATTCCGTGAAATGATTGGACAAAATTCTTGGAATTTCAGTTTGGTGGTTTGTAGGCCACAAACGAAGGAACTGACTGGTCGTATTCCCAGAAACGATGGTGCTCGGACAAATCGCCAAGCTGTACCAGAAGAGCGTGGCGAAGCAGCTTCGTCAGCTCGGCCTTCGTTACGACGATGCCCTCGTCGAAACCGCTGAAGTCCAGCGTGCTGTCCACTGGCTCAACCGGGACCAGTCTTTGGCCCGCACCCGCCGTCTGTCTCGTGCCGCCGACTTGAGCTTCAAGCGCGCGTACTTGCCTGAAGAAATCCAAAACATCCAAGAGCCATTCAACTTTTACTTGCAAGACAAGGTGGCTGAAGCCACCGAATTGGCCGACGAACGCAACAAGTTGACCAAGTGGTAAGCGCGCCCGCGAGTAGAAGATATGCATGACAATTGGAACATTGTGACCACTGCTTGTTCCGCCGTCCAGGCGACCCGCCAAACACGAACACTCTAGATATTACGTCGGTGGGGGGAGTTTTACACGAATCTACATCTTGCCGTGGTTCCGCACGCCAGGATTTGTTAGTTGTCGCTGTTCTGAAGGCTCGTAAATATCTTGACATCCAAGTCCGCATCTCCTTGTAACATCGTCGACAGCGCAGTGCGGTGCGCCGGCGGGAGAGACATCTTGGTGAGTTCACGGGCGACAACGACTCGCACGTTCGGAACAGGGTCCTGGTGTCATCTGTGTGATCGAGTCGTTCCGATAATTGTACATGCACGCGCACCTTGCAAAACAATGATAGCACAGGGACGACCTCGCTCTCGATTTCCTCAGTGCTAAGCATGTGAGAGACAGCCTACGAACAGCGCGATCAAAACCAATTCCATTCTCAAGCACGTACAGCGTAGAAGTGGAGGCACGATATCCGCAGATGGTGATTGCCGTCGCGGGCCGTCGCTCCTACAAACGTGAATGTGGCGACTCTCCACGCGGCTTCGTTCGCATGGGACGTGGAGCTCTCCATCAGCGCCACCCACGCATCGTAGGCCAAACGACGGACTTGGTACACGCCGTCGGTGCTGAGCGTTTCCATGGCGGACTGGAAAATCTCCATGAACTCGTCGACACCGAGCCACCGAAGGAGGGGGGCAAAGTTGTATGCCAACGCAACGCGTAATTTCCACTCGGGCGCGTCGACAATGTGCACGAGGAGTGGCGCCAGGTGCTCGAGAAAGTGGGGCTTTCCCAGCGCCTAACCAAACGCGTGTCGTCAGCCACGACGGATTCGATCGGGACGAAAAAAATTCATACAAAGCCCAGCGAATCGAAATTTTCAAGAACTTCAATGAGGATCTAACGCAGACACGTGACGACAAGGGGTCGGCGGAGGGGGGAGTTGTTGTACATGCGTGTGGCCTGTATTTCGAAACAAGCGATCGAGAAATGGCAAGATGTCCGATATGATGAATTCGGGGACATCAGCAAGCAGAGTCGTCACACAGCATAGCTCCCTCGCCAATATCTACAAACCCGTGAGCCGAGCGAATCGGTCGAGATCGTCGCACGTGATGGACCGAATCGTACACGGCACTGCTGCCGTGGTTCTTGCAGTCGTGCATATCGGTCACAATCATGTCTTGAATAGCCGGCACGAGAAATTTGCACAAAATGTCCCGGCCAAACAAGGCCGCGACCGGTCGCACGTTGCGGCATGCGATTTTCTGAATCTCCAGTGGAGCTTCCTGACGTCACGATGCGTGAGATCACAGCCCTCGACAATTACTGAGATGTCGAACCTGCAGGAGGTTGGTAAACGCATCCAACAGCGTAAAGAGAATATGCGTCGAGTCTTCTGCCGTCGGGGACTCACCCGTTGCGTCAACAGTCATGCACCGCCTTCGAACTTCCGAGATGTTGCTCTCGGCCGACCCGCAGGCCGATTCGGTGGCCGCAGGATGCTCCTTTACGTCCGACATTACCAGGCAGGAACTGCTCGCGCGTCGGCTGAAGGAGTCCAACCGCGCGTTGTCGTACGCATCGGAGATGTCCTACATGGTCGTGTGGCTGAACTGTGCTTCTTCATCCACTCCACCCACCCGAACGTTAAGTTTCGCCAGAACGTCAACGAATTTTTCGGCCGCTGCCTTGCGAATCGAGTCGTTGCCGTCGTTGGCGAGACCGGCAAACACGACCGCGAGTCGTGTGCGCCAAAACGCCGTCATCGGTTGGTGGTGCGCCAGTTGCAAACACAAGTACAATGCATCCAGCCGCCCATCCGGCATGAGCGCCTTTGACAGCACTTCGATCAACGGGACTATCCATCCCCAGTTTACGTCAATCGGCATCAGGTCAGCCACCATGGACGGTAAATACTGCCGCGCGGCACACGACACAGACGGGTCAATGTCTGTGCTCAACTGTACAGCACAAAACATGCAGAACGTCCGCGTCAGAGGTGCACGAACAAAGTCGTCGAGCTACGTTACCTCGGCAAACATGATGCCTGCTTCCAGCATTTGGTGTCGCCACCGCAGATCTTCCATGTCGACCAGCATCACCCTCCTCCTGTCGTGGTGGTCGTGTCCCCTTGCGAGCATTTTCTTGTGGATCCGCTGGATGAACTCTGCCAGGAGGCCAATGGACGCCAGGCGCACAATCGATTTGCTGGAGCACCACCCTCTTAAGACGTGAGAAACACTCAGGAAAACGTACGCGCTGGTCTTCATTCGGTTGATAAGCGGCGCAGCGTACAACAACACAGCGTTCAGGGGGAGAATTTTGACGAGTTCACGGAATGACCACGTTGTCTAGCGCAAGAGAGTTGGGAATGATTTGAATGGGATGGGAGGGGTCGGCATGCCTCACGGTGCACGAGTTTGTCGTCGACGAAGCAGCATGTAAACAACGCGATGCAAGTGAACTGGATGACGACTGGTCCGAGGACACATGCTTGGCGAAAGCGGCTCTTGAGCGTCTTGATAAGACGGACCATGTCCGCCGCACTTGGACTCCGCGTGGCGGCGAGAAAAGGAAGCATCGCATTTCGTGTTGCGTTGCCCAGAGCAGCTAACCCACAAGTGTCGACGACGTCCGCGAGGCCAAGCGGGACGAGCATGGCCTCATGGACGGTCAGAAAGAGTTGGCGGAGCTGCTCTGTGGCTTTCGCCATGTGAAACACCGACAGGGATGCCGTCATGAGCAAGCGCTCGGTCTCAATGATCACTGAGTCTTGGTTGCTAGAGTCCAGCAAGTCCAGCGTTAGCGGGAGGCGGTAATGCGGACTTCCAGCGATAAACTCGGTGAGGGCTTCAAATCCCATGAACGGCACGCGTGTTCCTGCAAGTTGGCTTAGCCATCCAGGTTGATGCAGAGGAATCATGCAAACGCAGACCGTTCACGGCGACGATGTAGCTGCCGCGGGAGATGCCGCAATGCTGGCCATATCCCTTGGATTCCGTGACAAACACCATGTCAAACACCCGCCTGCATTTGATTCCACACCGACTCCAGTCGGCGATACTGCCCGTATTGTGCAACGTCACTTGGTACAAGTCCCCCACAAGGTTCTCCTGAAAGTGCAGCGATACATACAACGACTCCGACGTCGTTGTCAAACGCGTCCACAGCTGATGCACACTTGTTACGTTCACGTCATCCACCTACCGCATATTGCATATTCAATCGGAGTAAAGACACAGTGTATCGAACATGAACGATGCGAAAGCCTGGTCGAATGCCGGCGACGGCGGCGGCACTGTGGGGTTGGACTTCAGACACCACAACGCTTGATTCAGCCACGTGAACAAATCGTAGCATGGAAAAAACGTCCTGGCGTAGAAAAAGGAGCGACATGGACGTCGAAGTGTACTTTGGTGGACTCAACGCCCTACGCAGTCGGAATCGTGACGACGCCACCACGAGCACAACATCCGCACCACGAAACTCGCTCAAACACGCGGACGCCGTGGCGGTCGGCACGACATCCAACGGTGGCGTGGACGTGACTACGTATGGCAGCCATGACAGGTGAATCATGCAGGTCAACAGAGCTCTCCGTACTGGATACGCAAGTACACGTCCAAATCGACGATGCGCACGCACATACCACATGCAGTGGCATGCGAACTTGAGCCGGCTTTGATGCAAGGCAACACCAGATGAAATCCTGGCGCCAACATCCCCAAGATGGAGTGTTCGACAATGCCGTGCTACAGCAGCGATGAGATGGATTTGGAAGCACAAGGAACCTCCAAGCGAACGGATAGGTGAAGCAGATTGGTCTCCAGGGATCTGGGGGTCCATAATGTAAATGCGGCCGGCGGTGCGTCAAGGAGGGCGGTTTCTTTGTACGCCTCAGAGTCAGTCCCAAGAGTACAGGATGAATGGAAACGATGGTACCCGCGTCGTTGTGGCATGTGAGGTCATGGCGAAAATACCTCCATGCTGTATTCAGGTCCACGGGCTCTTGGAAGGCTTCGGGAGTGTGGTGATGAGGACGAGACGACAGGGCTGGCATTGAATCTGTCACTCTTTGAGATTCCTGACTCGGTCCGAAGAGATCGAGCAAGCCCATGTGCGGTACAGCGAAGAGAGCCTGCGTTCACGTCACCATGACAGTCTCAGTGCACGTATCCGTCAATGCCATTCGACTCGTACCTATCGCTTCAAGGTGGATGGCCGTCGCAGGAAAACAGTCGTGGTGCCCGCCGTCGTTGATTTTTTTGCACCCGCATCGCACTCGATATATTCATAGACTAATAAATAATTCCTCATTTAAATAATAATGTGCATTTTCAGCAAAACGACCGAGGAACATTTTTCATAATGCAACTACTTTTTCACTTTTTCATAAAAATTGGGTAATCCTTAGAGGCAGACACAGTTTATATCACTCATTGAGGAAGTAAGGGGGACGGCTATGCCGGCACTCTTTGGTTCGCGGCAAGCCGACGACGTCTATTGAGATGAAGGCATCACAGTTCCTAGGAGAAGTGAGAGCAGGATGTTTGCAGAAATTGCGTGTTGATCAAGTTAGGAAAAGTTGGCGAGGGCAGGAGCATGCAGCAACATCGACGGCGGATATGCCTCGGGTGCTTTGGGATTGTACATTGACAGCCACTCCTTGAGAGCTGCGCGGCAGGCGTCCTTATCGCTGTACGATGCAACAACCAAACCGCGTTCTTCGCATGCGAACACAAGTTCGTCCAACGATAGGGCGTCGACGACGCCATCCTGGAGCAACAAGTGGTCGTCCACGGTTATTTCAGTCGCGCGCTTTTCCAGGCGCTGCACGACGCTGGATTTTGGGAGGTACTTGTACACCTTGACAAAGGGAGAGGCCGACGTGGCTTGGACGAGCAGGTTCAAGTGAATCGTCGACAGTGACTTCAACGCGGCGGGGGAGGTAAATAAGTCTCGGAACTCCGGCAACGTTTTTGGGTCCATCTTCTCCTTACCGTCGTTACCGGTATCCTATGGGTCATGCGCATGAGTCAATGGCGAAGACGAGTTCGTATGCATCGTTTGGTCATGTACCGTAGTGTAGGAAGCAGCAGCATCCCTGAGGAATGTGTTTGTCGTATCGAGGGACGCGACCAGTTGAGAAATGTCTTTGTAAAATGCTTCCTTTTGACGCACGTCTTGCTCAAAGAATTGCACCTTTTGCGCGGGGGTCCAGAACTGCCACGGCAGGGCCACCTTCGGGTAGTAATACCCCAGGACTGGAGCAAAGTACCCGACGATCGGCACGGCGAACGCGATCAAGAGAGGGAGTGACTTGAGCAGGTCACGAGGCGCTTGTCGCAACACGAACATCTCGCGACGGGTCAGTACTATCCCAGGCGTCGCTTGCAGCTTGGAGCGACTTGCCCACGCCTCGCGATTTTCCCTGATGAGCTCCTTGGCGCCAAACGTGAACGGATCCAACACGTTCTTCTTGAGTCTCTGAAAGGCAGACAAAGACTCTGTTGACATGGCTGCATGTGCGTAGCAAGGTCTCAGGTACATGACGCCATGAACACGGACTAGCGCGCCGGAACGGCTCCTCCCCACCACACTCAGCATGGCAAATGATTCGGATGCTAGCTTCTCGCCCCCCCACCTCAATTTCAGCGATCAGCATTCCCATTATCTTGATATTTGTATCGTCCGTTGTTTTTGAGGGTACCCTCCATTTCGTCGTGGTGGTGGATATCAAGAATTGAAACTTTCTGGCATGGCACTCATGCACAACTCGCGACCCTGGCTCGTGCTCGTAGTGACGGCACAGGACGTCCTTGCAGGTACGGCGCTCAAGGCGGCCTTGTCTGTCCCTGCCGTCGACGTCGTCCAGCTGCGACTCGGCCAATCGCAGGGGTCGGCGCATACGACGTCTGCATTACTGGACGCGATGCGCATTCTTCCGTCAATGGGAGAGCAGTTGACCAAACCTCCTCTGTATGTGGTCAATACCCCTATTGGATTGCCAGATAGTACTCCACGGCTTGACGGGTGGCATTACCCCGAACGTTGCTTGTCAACGTTGGAGGGAATGCTGGAGCAACATGGACGTGGGTTCTTTGGTGTGTCAGTGCATGCCGCGGCGTCTGCCGAAACTGCAGCTGCTCTGGGCGCCTCGTATATTCAGGTAAAATACCGCTGTACCAAGTAACCCCTCACCACGCTGCCTCAGGTTGGAACAATGTTTCCAACGGCCTCCCATCCCGAAAAGACTTGCGTGGAAGGCCCTGAGCTCATCAGGCAAGTTCGGCAAGCACTACCCTCGGCAACTTTGATTGGTGTTGGAGGCATCACCGACGCGAATTGTGTGGACGTGTTGCAAGCGGGCGCAAGTGGCGTTGCAGTTATTCGTGCCATTTTGGATGCTGACAAACCCGACGTTGCCGCCCTGAAGCTTCGTCAGGCCCTTGATGTCTATCAACCCAAGACGTAACACGTCTAAATCAACCTGCGCATCGTTGGGCTTCCTCCCTCGTCGTGCGGTCGGCCCAAGCTCTTCCTCACTTCCAGATTGTGAATGGATTGTTCATCGTGAGCGAAACAAAAAAACGCTTCCGTGTGGAAGAAACGTAACCTTATAAACCAATGAAATGATGGGGATGGGTTCCGATTGAATCCAATATAGGGAAGTAGTGTAGCAAACGTTTCCCTCCAGAAAACGTGAATTTCCCTAGGATTATGCGGTCGAGTAGGCATTTTCCCCAATTGTTTGCGGTGGGGCGGACAAAATATTACGTTTGACAGGTATTTTTAGGGAGGCATTTTGGAACCAGTCAGTTCAGAACTAAAGCAATGTTTGCCGCCCGTGCCGTCGCGACCGTCCAAGCCCCCTTGAGCCGTGGCATCAGCCGCTCTGCCCTCCGTATGGGCGAACACGGCCATGAACATTTGGTCTTCGAGAAGGGACCGTTCAACGCCCGATCCATCGGCACTGGTCTGTTCTTGATCGTCGGCGGTGGCATTGGTGCCACCCTCGGAATCTGCGCCTTCCAAAACTGGAAGGGTGGTTTCCCCCAGAAGAAGGATTAAGCGATTCATTCGCTGCCGCTGACGAGTTATCCACTGTGTTTGCGCCATGGGGATGCGTGTGCGACCAACCGCCCACAGCTTAGACCTGGTTGTGCCGTGCCCGTCACCCATCCACGCTGAATCAAGTGCAGTTGATAAACGTAACTATTCCTACTACAATATAAATGCAGCGTGTTGCAAAGGCCACAGCGCAGTGCAGCACAAGCTGCGCACAATCGGATCGAGGTTGGGAGCGCGGCGATGTGAGCCCCTCATGTTGATATTCCCTCCACCATGAACACGGCGTCTCGGCCGCAGCTCAACCACCAGCCATTCCGCATCGTATATGACTTGAATTGGCTTCGTTTGGGATTGTCGCCAGGCGTACACTGCATTTATCTGCAGAGCATCGGGCCAAACAAACAACTCGGCGCTTTCTTTCGCCAACAACACTGGATGCAATTGAATTCCACAGAGTGCCGTCGACACTCGTGGAATTCCGTTAGTGCTTGCCGTAGGTAGCGTCGAAGAAGTCGTATTTGGCTTCTTGGTCGGCCTTGATGGTCTTGTGACCGGGCTTCCAGTTGGCAGGGCACACCTCACCGGGGTGCGCCGTGGCGTACTGGAACGCCTTGAGAATGCGAAGCGTTTCAGGGACACTGCGGCCGACTTGGTCATCGTTGATCTGGATGGATCGGATCACGCCCTGGGGGTCGATGATGAAGAGACCGCGCAGGGCCGCGCCAAACATGTCGTCGTCTTCGTCGGTCACAAGAACGCCATAGTCGGCTGAGATACGCTTGCTCACATCCGCAACGATGGGGATGTTCATCGAGCCCAAGCCGCCCTTGTCGCGGGGGGTTTTGATCCATGCCAAATGCGTGTGGTGGGAGTCCGTCGAGACAGCGATCACCTGGATTCACGGTCGTAAGAGGGAGATGATGATGATGGAGTGGGGGAACCCACCTCGGTATTGATGGCTTGGAATTGGTCCACGGAATCGCTGAAGCTCACGATTTCCGTGGGGCAGACAAATGTGAAATCGAACGGGTAGAAGAAAATCACGAGCCATTTGCCCTTGTAGTCGTCAAGTGAGATCTTGGTGAACTTTTCGTTCACGACAGCATTCACGTTCTTGAACGTCGGGGCAGGCTTGCGAGGCAACACCTGCTTGCTCCGTGCACAATGAGTTCACCATGACACGCTTCCATCAAGGCAACATGCGCTTGTACCTGGGGGCGGTTAGCGCGGGAATTGTGCCATTGGAACTTTTTGAATTCGCGCAACGTATCGGCGGATACACCAGGCAGGTTTCCCAACGCGTCCACTCTGCAGCAAACAAAAGTCGGTCAGGATTATTGAGGTACGAGAGATGCCTGTACTCGAATTCCTCCAAACGGGATCCGTGCTTGCGGCCACCATGAGCCGACACGATGCAAGCCACCAGCAACGCAAGTGCCACGAACACACGAACGCCAAGCATGCTCTTCAGGAATGGCGGCCACACATCGTCTCAGGGAGTCTGAGTTATCGGGATACCTCTTTAATTTTATACTCTCATCATATCATATCGCACGCCAACATCGACCTGTCAAATTGGATTCCCACGTTGATTTGAACCAATCAAATGCTGCCATTTATCGACACAACAAAATGGCGATACATTCGCCGGCGGTGCCGCCGCGCCGGGCCGTCGAGAAATCGTTGGACAAGCCGTTGATTGCCGTATTCCTTCTTGGTACGCTGCTAAAGCTCCTTCTTCTTCCGTCCTACCGCAGCACGGACTTTGAAGTCCACCGGAATTGGCTTGCGATTACCGCGTCGCTGCCCCGAACACAATGGTACTTCGACACAGGAAGTGAGTGGACGTTGGACTATCCACCGTTCTTCGCCTGGTTTGAACGTCTTCTCGGCGCCGCCGCCACGTACGTTGACCCTGGGATGCTGAATCTTCACGCGTTGGGATACGCAAGCCATCGTACCATCGTGTTCCAGCGTTTGTCGGTGATCTTGTCGGATGTGGTGCTGTTTGCATCCATCATCAAGTACTGCAATGCGTGGCCCCGCGTCACAACGACAGAAGTCGCATTCAACACGAACAAGCGTGTGGTGGTGGTGCTATTGACGTTCCTCGACGCTGGGCTGATCATGGTCGACCACGTACACTTCCAATACAACGGCGTGCTCCTGGGGCTGCTCATCCTCAGTGTTGCGTACATCCGAGACGGCCAAGATGTGAAAGGTGCATTCGTGTACGCAGTGTTGCTCATGATGAAGCACATCTACCTTTACGTGGCCCTGCTTTACTTTGTGTATCTCTTCGGCCACTACTGCTACGCGGTGCCACCCCCCACCACGCCAGAAGCTGTCCAGCATGCCCACCACCAGGTTCGAAGGCGATCACTTTCGAACACCGACACCCACGAGACGCTGGCTCACCTCGTCGCCGGCCGCGGGCGCTTCCAAATCACTCGGTTCCTTACCCTTGGAATTGTCGTCTTGGGCGTGTTTGCAGCTGCACTTGGCTCTGTCATCTGGCCTGACGGCTCGTTGCCGACCCACTCCGTCGGGGAACACTTGGCTCAAATCGCTTCCCGTCTATTTCCGGTTCAACGGGGCCTCTGCCATGCTTACTGGGCCCCCAACGTGTGGGCTCTATACGCGTTTGCTGACAAAGTTCTGGTCACAGTCTTGCGAGTTCCTGCCCCTGTCGGCACCATGAGCGGCGGTCTCGTCCAAGACGCGGTCTTTGTCGTCCTGCCGACAGTCGCACCGTGGGTTTGCGCCGTCCTCACTCTCCTAGCCATGGCGCCCGTTCTGCGAGACGTATACCGGTATCCCGACCCCGCTCTCTTCATGCCGGCTTTGGTCTACTGCATGCTGTGCTCGTTCTTGTTTGGGTACCACGTGCACGAGAAGGCCATTTTGCAAGCCACGTTGCCGCTCGGCCTGCTTGCCGTCGAATCCACTCGAGACGCAAAGTTGTATCGCGTCGCGACACTTGTGGGCAACATTTCACTCTTTCCGCTCCTGTTCACGACTGCCGAAGTCGGGACCCGCCTACTTCTCACGGCCGGCCACGCGTTACTCGCGCATGTGTGCTTGTACCCGTACCATGCGCACTCCCTCAAGCGCCGCCGCATCAAGTACACGGGCATTGGTCTGTCCTTGTGGCAACGACTGTATCTCCACGCAGTTGCAGGAGTGGCCATCGTGTCCATGGCGCTGCCAATTGTCCTGCCACGGTATCCGTTTCTGCCGCTGCTCTTGACATCCGTGAGCTGTGCCGGCGGTGTGATCTACGTGTGGCTCTCGGCCCTTCAGTTGCACAAACGCAAACTTGGCGCACTCAAGTCGTACTTGCCTCAGCCATCCACAGCCGCACTCAAACACAAGTCCATGGACGAACCCAACGTCGTGCGAGCGGCCAACAGTCGATATGACATCAAGTAATACAATAGATTGGCGACTACAGCACTGTCGCCGTGTTGGGGCGCGTCGGGGCCCAGGAAGACGCCTTCTTGAGGTTGAACAACCCCCTCACCATCACATTGGACGGCGTGGACTTTGGTGGGATGGAGTCAAGGATGGTGCTGCTGTTATGGCGCGGCGGTTGGGGTGGGGTCATGGACTGAATCGCGTTCGACCAAGTGCCGCAACGTTGGCATGACTGGCTTGTCTCGTTACTGCATGTATCGCATTCCAACATGTTGCAGCATGGCCGTCTTGTAGCCGCATAGCACACATCTCCGCACGACTCGCATGGACGACCAAGGCCAACCGTACACACAAGATCGCTCGCGAGTACTTGCCTGTCCTTGGGGCATGTCGAATGCAGCAAGATGGGGCTCGACGCGGCTTGCCAACCAAACTCCAATGGAACGTCCTCGTACGTATACCCAGCTGCATCCCGCAGAGACGTGTCAGCCCCTGCCTTGACCAACAGGTCGACAACCGAGCGATGGCCCTGAAAACTTTGTCATAGGGTGGACGTATAGTCTTGCAATTACCTGGCTGGCGGCTTTGTGCAACGCAGTTCGGCGATCACCAAACGAGGTGTCCACGAGGTTCAAGCTGGCACCGTGTTGAATAAGAAGCGCGACGGACTCGTCTGCACCACTGTAAGCTGCCCTGTGCAAAGGTGTCGCACCACACCTTGCACAGTCTGGGCTGGCCCTTCTCGACAACAGGTACGCGACAACATCGACTCGATTCGATTGACTGGCGTAGTGCAGCGCCGTGTATCCAAAATCGTCGACAAAATCGATGGGCAAATCGGCCTTGCGGCACTCAAAAAACGAACGAACATGGTCCAGGTCTCCGTCTTGGGCAGCGGTGAAGATGCTCTTGCGCAGAAGCGCTCTGCGGCATGGACATTCGGCGCTGTTGTTCCCACTCGATGCCATGTCGCAATGACAAAAACCTCCAAAACTTAATGTGATATAATACTTCGACGGGGGATATCTTGGAAGGGCAACGACGATGGAAGGCAACATGCCGCTGACGCCGCACACCCCATCGGGGAAGAAGTTCAACTTTGGACAAGCGTGGACGGACGACGCGTACGTCTTCGGCGCCGAGCGTCCTGGCTACGCGCATCCGAGGCGTGATCAGCCATCTACACCACGAGGTAAAAACAGTTTCCAATGGGGCGACTCGCTCACATGTATTAGGTCCAGACGTAAGCGACGCGCAAGTTGACGAGTGGGTCAAGTTCATGCTTGCCAACGACATCAAACACGTGCTGTGTCTCTTGACGCGGGAGGAACTTCGCTTCTATTCGACGTCGCTCCTTTGTCAATATGAGAAGGCGTTCGCTTCAACGACCCACATCGATTTGACAGGCAACTGGCGGTTGTCGGAGCTGCTTGCAAGTCTATCCAAAGCGACGACAGCAAAGGAGCGAATTGTCGTGCACTGCACCACCGTACGTGCCGTGTCAACTCTGCCATGACCGACTTGCGTGGACGTCGGCAGGGGCAAACTCGCACTGCGAACGTCCTGGCTTTGTGGATACATCGATTCCATGTCGTCGGCATCGACGATGCCATGAACTACGTCATCCACACCGCCTCTTGTACGCACATAATTCGATTGACCTCTCGTCACGTCCATGTCAGTGAACGGGACCACCAGGAAACCCACCGCCGATGGCGTCCTGCGACTGCTGCGAAACGTACCTGCAACGCCACAGACCCTGCAGCCGCCTCCAGCACCCCTCTCAAGCGTTCCAACGACATCACGAGTGATCACCTGTATAATTTGTTCTCATACGATGACGCGAACTTCACTCCAGCCCATGAACACGTAGCTCCATGCCGTGCGCCTCCATCAACAGCGGGGGTATCGACCAGCGCCCCGGACGTTTGCTTTCTGCATCTTGGGGGCCGAATTGATGCCACGCTCCGTCACTTTGTTCACGACTTTCAAATCGACGTCGGCGACCCCGTGGCATGTTTCGACATTTTAGCGACCAGCGGTTGCCCTGCGCCGTGCGAGTCCATTTCCATTTGCCGCAAAGCGCACGACGTGTCCACGGCGGACCTTGACGCTGTCGTTGTCGCCCTCCAAAGGGTGACGTTGCGCATGATGTTGGGTCGTGGTTGACTCGTACGTCGTTAGACTCGAGCGACGTTCGTGGTCATCACCATGGACGCGACGGTGTTGACGACCTCGGCCGCGTACCTCCAGTCCCGTCGGCCACCAACACAGACGATTGTATGCACGGGAGCCCGAGTCCCTGCATGCATTCCGGCTGCATCTGACGCCGCATTCAATCTCGGCTGTGCACTTGGCGCGATTCGTTGGTTGCCGCCCGGCGTGTACGTGAGCTGGAACGGTCGGGTGGAACTGGCCACGGACGACACGCCAAGAAGCGATCGCACCACCCAAGACGCATGATACACACGATGACGATCTGGGTCGTTTATTGCTATAGCAAACAAAAGTGTCGAATCAAGAGACGGTCGATCTACAGGACGATGGTCTGAACGGCGGCTGCATCAGCTAACACTGTCAATTGCGGCTGCGACCCACTCTGGTTTTCTTTGTTTTGCGTCGAGGAGTTGTGAACGAGGCCACGCTGCTGGTGAAGTGGAAAGAGTGACGTCCCGTTCGAAGTCATGGTTGATGAAACCGGCATGGAATGGAGCGAGTGTTGCATCATTGGGTGGTGAAAGTGATGGGGTAACGTGGTGTGGGCCAAATGTTGTTGTTTGGTGACTGTGGCGTGGAGCAATGAGAAATGTTCTTGCATGGGCAGTTGTTGCTTGATATGATCATGAAGCATCGAAATGCGGTTCAGGTTGGTAGGAGAATGCTCGAAGATGGACGCAGGCTCCATGTGTGAGTGAGGTTGAGACGGCATCGACATCTTCGCTTTGTGCTGCATTGCACGGTGACCCCTTCGCTTATACGAGTTCCAGTGGTTCTTGATCGCGTTGTCAGTTCGGCCAGGCAGCAGTTTGGCAATTTCGGCCCACTTGTTGCCGTATTTGTGATGGGCTACCTTTAAAAGGGTTTCCTCGTCAGTCGTCCATGGGTCCTTTCGAATGGATGGATCCAGTTGATTGTGCCACCTACAATAACATCTTTGCGTCAAGATGGGGTCGTCTTGACGGAACGAAGTCGGATGTAGTACCTCTCACGGCACTGCTTGCCATTTCGCCCAGGTAGTAAACTGCCAATGACACTCCACCGCCGGGTACCGTGAGTCTGCACCAACTCCATCATGAGGGAATCTTCCTCGGGGGTCCACTTGCTTATCGATTTCCTATCTGACCCTTCGTCTGCCGAGTCCCGGTCATTGGTGGTCGAGCGCGGCATCGTCGTGGCGTGTGCAGCTCGGCGAATTGAGATCTTTCGAATGGGTTGATGGCAGTTGAACCTCTCGAATTCAATATATTTCACAAAAGCGCCGCGAAATTTCGAAACCTCGAACCAATATTGAGTTTCAGAGGCACACTGCGTTTCGTGAATTTCCACTGGTTAACACCCCCGCTTCAAGGTAGATGGATGCGCCACGGGAGTCCATCGCAGAGTTGCAGCGCGACGCAGGAAGGGTAAGAGGATTGTCATGCTGGCGTCGCCAGCCACTTGATTGTGTAACCTCTGCCAGGTTGGTGGACGTGGATATTCACTCATGTGACGACGCGGCAGCTTGCTCTTCAAAGAATGTCTTCCATATCGTGCGTGGGTCCTTTTGGGTTGGGATGTAGTGCCCGCCTGGATGGGTAAGCAGCACTGGATTGTCAAACTGCGCAGCCAAGGCCTGGCTCTTCTCCACCGAGATCAAATCGTCTTGCTCACCCAAGATGTGCAAAGATGGCAAACGAAGGGGAGAGTCCAAGGAAAGGTTGAACGCCGGGTCTGACATCAGGGCCGATGCACAGAACACCCCAAACTTGAACTGAAAGCGTGTGTCTCCTTGTTGCTGACGCGACAGCATGTACGCGGCACACATGCCTCCTTGACTGAAACCAAACACGCCGTCGAATGGCCCTTGCGTACGAATGATACCCTCCAAGTACGACAAAGTGTCGTCGACTCCCACGTAAGAATACGCATCGCTCTCCGTCTGGCGCTCAAACTCCCACCACGCAAACTGCGCCACGGACGTCTTTAACTCTTCCGCGTCACCATCGCTCAGTACATTCACCCTGTGATCAACGTATGAGCTTGAATGTAGCGGTCATGTCGATGATACCGTTGAATGTGCTCGGCCGACGTAGGTTCGTAAGGCACGTTGATGGGACCATCCACAAACACTAGCATTCATGACATCATGTCTTCCACACTCCGATAAAGCACTCTTTCACCACCATACCGAACTCTGTCGTGACCTTGGCGGCACGAAGTAGCGCTGCCATTTTCCCCTTGAGTTTGGCCGCGCTCTGGCGGTGACCATGGAGACAGAGCACCCTCGTCTTCATCTCGATGTCGGTCATATGACGAAGGCAACGTATCCGGACAATGGTGCAATTACACTTGAAATAAAATTTCCTCAATATATTTTTCTACTAAATACAGAAGAACAGTATTTAAGCCGAATTCTATCACACCTTGAAAAGGCACGAGTCTAGTTTTATTCGGAGTGCTCGGGCTCCACACCAACCAAAATGGGCAGGTTATCCGGATACTAGGTTTCATTGGTCGAGTTGAGATCCGTCATGGCATTCGCGATACTGCTTCAAGATGGCTCGGAAAGCAGGGAAAGGCAAGGCCGCTGGGAAGAAGCGGAAGGCACCGTTGGATGTGTATGAGCACGGAGATGAGGATGATCTAAAGGAACAACGAGAAAACGATCGCATGGATGTTGACGGCGTCTACGAGTACGAAGCTCCTGAAAAGATTAGCCGAGACCAGGACAGTGAAATCGACGAAGACGAAGCGTTCAACTCGGACGACGAAGCCACATTTGGCAACTTTTTTAGTGGAAAGAAGGAAGCACATGTCGGTAAGACGACGGCACATGAATCGGACGATAACACGGTCGACGACGATGAAGACGATGATGGCGGCGACGGCGATTTGTTGTCGGACATGTTGGGCACGGCACCTGCGCCTCGCTTGGACACTGTCGACGATTCCGCTGACGACGACGATGACGACGACGATGATGATGAAGATGACGAGAAGCATGCGTCGCTCTTGAATATGGTGCACAGCTTGGCCAAGGGACCCAAGCGCAAAGTCACCCACGCCGAAGCTACCGAGGACGTTGCGCCGTCTGCGTTTAGCAAGAAGTTGGGTGGATCTGCATTAACGTTGGAGGGACTTCTTGGCGCATCCATGGCGGGTTTGCCCGGCGATGACGACGAAGGGGCTGCGAACGACGAAGGTGCGCAGAGATCCGGCACGTTTGTGTCGTTGAAGAAGCAGCTCGCGAGTCTCGAAAAAGACGACAGCAGGTTGCAAGCCCCAGTCGCGCCCGTCGTAGAGGCCCGTGCGTCGCGGAAAGTGGCGTACGCGGACAAGAAGAAACAGATGGACGTGTTCCAGCCCGTGATAAAGGCAAATCGGGAAAAGGAAACCCTCGACTTTCGCACGCAGGGCAACCAGCGCGTTGAAAACATCACGGTCGCGTCGCTCACATCCAAGTTTGTACCGGAGAAGCCGATGGAGAACGATGTGGCGGCGCTTTTGGAAGCGAGCGGGTGGAGCGACAAGTCGATCTTGAAAGAGGAGGCGGCCGAGTTGGCCGCTAACGAAATCTCGGTAGATGAGGTTCGCGCGCGCCAGGGCGAACTCGCCAAGATGCGCGCCATGATGTTCTATCAAGAGCAAAAAAACAAGCGAATCAAAAAAATCAAGAGCAAGCTCTACCACAAGATCCGCAACAAGCAGGAAGATCGGAAGGAACGAATGGCATTGCGGGAATTGGACCCCGAGTTCGCCGCCCAAATGGACGCTGAGGATGCCGAGAAGCGCGCGGAAGAGCGCATGACCCTCAAGCACACAAACACATCCAAGTGGGTCAAGCACCAGCTCGCCAGAGGCATCAACGCAGATCAAGGCACGCGATCTGCAATTGCCGACCAGCTGCGGCGCGGCGACGACCTTCGGAAGAAAATGCAGTCGGTTAACCCTGACAGCGACGACGACGAGAGCGACGATGACGATGACCATGCGTCGCTCGACGGTATGACGGAAACCGAGAAGCTCCAGCATCGGCTCCAGAAGAAAGCAGCAACGCTCGTGATGGATATCGAAGCGGACTCGCAGTCGACGGAAAAAGCCAAGGGGTTGCAAGGCATGAAGTTCATGCAGAAGGCGGTAGAAAAACAACGAGAGAGGGCACTCGAGGAAGCGGAAGCGCTGTTGAAGGAACTTCGCGGAGACGGCGGCGCGGACAACACGGACGATGAAACAGCCGTGGTGGCCAAGCCCCCTCCCAAGAAGAAGGTCAAAGCAACGCCTGCCGATCACAAGAGCGTCGAAAAGGATATGGTACAAGGCACGCAACAGATGAAATCCGTCATGATGGATAAATCGCACAAAACCCGCGTCTCATCGGCGATCAAGGTCAACTTTGACGACGACGAATCAACTCCTGTCGGTGTCGTGGAAGCCGCCATCGACAACGACGACGAGTCGGTCGTGGCGTCGGCTGTGCCAGAGGAGAACCCGTGGTTGAGTGGATCGAAAGTCGGCAAGAAGCGCCGCAAACGCCATGGGAAAAGCAAAACCGAAGCCGCAACGTCCGTGGCGACAGCCATGGCGTCGCTTGCCGCCGAGTCTTCCTCAGCGACAGAGGCAAGTCCAATGTTACCGTTGAACGCATTGAACAAGAAGCGGAAAGAGGCGTCGGGTGACAGCCCAGCAGCGCCCGAGACCAGTTCCGAAGACACCCCCTCAAACAAGAAAGCCAAAACGGCGGCCAAACCTCCTTCGGCGCAAGAAGAGCTCGTGCGCAAGGCGTTTGCTTTTGCCGAAGATACAGAAAACGAGATTCAAAAGGAGAAGGATCTTCTGGCCGCACGCGATGCTGACGTAAAAGTCGGTGCCGAGGTCGCGCGGCTGACAGGCATGGAAGGCTGGGGCAGCTGGGCTGGGCAAGGTATCAAACCATCCAAGCGCCAGAACGCACGATTGGCCTTGGCGCAGCGTAAGGTGGTTGAAGCAACCGAGGCCGCGTTGGCCAAGCGGAAGGATAGCAAGATGGAGACTGTCCTGATCAACGAAAAGAAGGACAAGAAGGCCGCCAAGTTCATGGTGTCGACCGTCCCGTATCCGTTCACGTCGCGCGAGCAGTACGAGCTCGCGATGCGGAATCCCCTGGGAAGCGACTGGAACACCGCGCGTGCGTCCAACGCGCTGACAGTTCCAGAGGTCATGACGCGTGCCGGCAAGATGATTGAACCGCTGCGACTCACGAACGAGCAGAAAGCGCCAGCCAAAGTCCAGTCTAAGACAGCCAGGCAAGGCAAGCTTCGCAAGGCAAAATTTTAATTAGGCAAGCATATCCAATCCCAAAGGTGGATGCTATTAAGCAAGCCGTGGTTCGTACGTCCGCACGTACTCGAGGGACGCCTCGAGCATAGTCAAGTAGTACCCGGCTTCTCCTACAACGCGTTAGGACGTTGGGTGTACCCGCCTCGGTTCGTGAGCACCTTTCAGCGACTCGTCGTTGCACAGGCACCACAAGTACTCGATCGTGGCCAACGGCGTGCGAAGCGACGCCTGGCACACGCAAAAGATAAACACGGGGAGAAAGTCGTCTGCCGACAGAGCACGGGTTGCGGCGTCGCCCAGGCCGCTATGCGCATGCAGGTCGAAGATTTCTTTGGCTGCATGCAGGAGATGCCGCAGTTTCCCAGACGGCAGAACTTCGTTGTCCATGTCTCGGAGGGATTGCACGGCAGCGTCCCACTTGACCAGCACAAAGTCGTTGGCCAGGCCAAACTACACATGACAATAATATCTTTCGATGGTTGCGCCTAGAGATGCACCTGTGCGGCTGTCGGCGGCACTTTGGCCCACGCCGCCAACATCTTGCACAGCATGTCTTGGTCTCGATCGGCGACGGAAATCTGCACCCATGCTTCAAGCCACGTTTGCATTTGCAGACACACAGTGCGCTCGATAGCGAGGTACACTGCGGCGGCGATTTCGTCAGCAGACACGCCGCAAGATGCAAGCTCGGGCTGTCGAAAAGCAACCATGTACTGCGTCAGGTTTGCAATGACGTCTCGCGTCGCGCACAAGTTGCCGTGGGCTGCTTGACTCGATAATGCTGTCGTAACTTTTTTGAATCTCCCGACGAACTGACCGATCGCATGGCCCTCAAATGTATCTGCACGCCAGCGTTTGTATCATTTCCAAACGATCGAACGAACCTGGATTGTGCAGTAGGGCCATGACAACGATGGAAGGTTGTGGCACCAAGTGAAATGCGGCTCGTTCACGCCGGAGAAGGGTGTCGCCACTTCGGGTGGCCACCAAGGCAGCGTGGCGTTCGCATTTCGGACAACACGTCCAAAGGTTTCCGTCGACTGCGCTTCCACATCCACCTGCGCACCGTGGGGACGTCAGGTGGGCGATCCATGCCGGGTCAAGGTGATGGTCGTTGTAGCTGTCAGCGTCGTGCGAGCCGTGAGGTTTCCCGTGGAGGGCATTGAGGACACTGCTCGATATCGATCGCCGTTCGCAGGGTTTGGAAACCGCTTGGATGGCCTGCGTGAGCCGAAACGCGTGAAATTTGCGCAAGTGGTGGCGCGAGTCCCGAGGGAGAGCAAACTTTCGACCACTTCGAGGCGACGCGGTCGTAGACGACGACGGGGCCACGATCTTCCGGTACTTGCTCTGGAAATCGCGGATGTTGTGGAGAATGGCAGCACACCACGCGGACGCAACCTCTTCCGAGTCAAACACGACGATGGTGGGTGGACGTCGCGAGCCGTTGGCTACGGTCGTCGTCTCGAAGTGCAAGTGTGCTTTCGTTTGTTTGATATCCTATGCATGCCGCGATGGAGTCGATGAAACTTGCCAAGACAAATAGGTCGATCTGCTAACCGTAGTTGGGAGGTGAAAGCTCGCTTGCGTTGTCGCGAAGTTGCTGTGTGCAGATGATGGCACGATTGCCACGTGGGTGCTGGAAAGACTCAAGTCGATGGTCTTCCACGCGTCGCGGCTGCTCTTCCTGGAACGCGCGCGACCAAACAGCTCAATGGGGCCACTCGCGCCGAGCAGGATATGAAAGCCTTGTCCATCCAGCGTCACATGGAGTCTTGCACCACATGGCAGCACCTGAACAGGGGTCGAGAGGACCGACCGCCTTGACTGTTCCGCCAGGTACACGTAAATCCACTTGGCATGAGGGAGCGGCTGGAGAATCGACGATGGAAAGTCACGCAACAATAGGGACGTCCAGATGTCATCGGCCATGGCAGCGAATCGCCACGCTTGACATACATGCGCTACGATGTGATGCAGAGTTGTGCCGTCAAGGTTCAGTAGAACTCGTCGGAAGGTGCCATTCCCAAGTACGTTCGGCATGCATCGCGGCGACGTAGTGCGACCGCCGCACATGGTGTGGTTGATTCGAGTGTAACCGCCATATATTTTTTGAATGAAAAATACTGCGAACATAAAAAAATACGATTACGTGGTTTACACCATGTTCACGGGCTTTTGCGCGTTCGGTTTGGCGGCGTCGGTGGTGGCGGCCTCGGCCTTCTTGGCGTCCTTTTCGTCGTCCTTGCCTAGACCGTAGTTGATGCCGACGGCAGTGTACTTGAACTGGACGAACGAGAAGATGATCGCGAGGACAACAAGCCCAGCAAAGTAAGCGAAGAAAGCGTTCTTTTGCTCCTTGGTGAGGGTATCGAAGTTGGACCCGTTGGAGTAGTTGCCGGCGAAGAATCCAACCGAGCGAATGAACATCCATGAGCCAAACACGGCGGTCGAGATGATTTTGGCGGGCTTGTCAAGGTACAACACCAAGACGCCACCGATGATGGCGAACAAAATGAGGAGCACGATCGTCAGGACATGTCCGGCTTGAGCCATTTGAGCCATTTGCACACCAAGAGCCAAACCACCAGCACCGCCCAAGATGAAGATTCCGACGCGGTAAAAGTACACAGCAGCCAAGCCAATAATCAAACCACCGATGACAAACGCAACGATGGGAGCAGCTTTGGACAAGGGGAAGAGAGTGGCAAACATGGCGCTGAAAAAGACGCCGCCCATCCCGAAACCGCAGGTGAACGCAACGGGCTTGGTCAACTTGTACCCGTGCGTGCCGACAAACACGCCAACAGCAGCAATTGCAACGACGAGGGCGTACTTGCCAACCTTTTCAGCTGTCGAGTCGTCGGTAATGTCAAAGAAATCGCGGATGTCGTCCTTGAGCTTGTCCGTCTTTTCGTCGATCAAGTCGGCAGTCTTGTTGAGGGCATGGAGCCCGTTCTCCGTGGCGTTCTTGATCGTGGTCGTGTTCACCTGGGCTTCGACCGAGCCGAACGTGAAGATCGCGAAGAGGAGTATGATGGCGAGCAGGAACTTGTTCATCCTTGGCCGCAGATTCGAGAATGACAAAGCAATGAAGTTTGGTGCAAATCATCCACACAAACCCACGACGTGACCCCTCCGGAAGGTCGACTGAAATCAGCCAATCAGAATCCATTGACTTGTCATTGAGCCAATCAAATCGCTTCTTTCACGACTGTGCTCGGTTGAGCTCAATTGTTCGAATGCGGAAAAGGCGCCCCTTACACATACCGATCGTCCGACGCCTTGCCGAGAGGTACCATCACGCGTACAATTTGCGTGGCTAAGCCACGTCAATTCTCCTTCACTGTCCGATGTGCATCAGCATGTCATATATGTTCAAAACCATCCAATTCTCATTGTCAGAACATTGTGAGCATACATTCTACGGATGGATGGAAATAATTGGTCAATAACTCTGTTGATCATGATGAAAATGTTGCATTTTACAACCAATCCGGTGTCTGCATGGAACGACGGCAAGGTCCAGTCGCGTGCCCCACAACAACGATGCATTGGCCGCTTGGCAAGCGCAAGCCATGTGCATCCGCAATAGACAGCGCTCTTGTCATGTCTCCCCAATTGTACCCTCGAATGAACCCAGAACCAACGTGCGTCAGTCGCAGTCCAGAACTCAGGTATACTTTAATCAAGTCAACGCCGCCGACAAGACTTTCATACGGCGCCAACGACAAAAGTTCTGGCCAATCAAATCGACCGAGTGATGTCACCTACTTTTCTCATCCACCTCGTTCCTTGGCGCATTCTGCTCTGGGGGTGCCACCCGACCGAGTCGATGGCTCCACATGAGTCTGCTCATGCGGATATCGAAGCGTGTTTGCCGGCGGAAGTACATGCTGCGGCGTCTCACCACAAACCTCAGCATTCGCACCGCCACAAGCACCGGAAGCACCATCGCTACCACCACCACCACCATCACCACCGCCAGCTCAACTCGCTCTTTTACACTCTCGCTGCCGTCGTTGTGGCGTGCGTTCTGCTCTTGTTTTCAATGATGCAGCGAATGACACTTGACGCGACGCTCCATGATCTCATGAACGCGTTTGTGAACGCAGACTTCGTCCCGAATGCAGTGTCGCAAGGAATCGTGGAGTTGCGCATTCCCGAGTCGCGTGCAGTGCAGCCCATCGACATCGAACGCCAGTTGCTCGGCACGCTGTTCACGCAACTTGTCAGTCGAAAGCAGAAGCTCATGATGGAGATCGTCAAGGGCGCGCATGTCGTCGTCGAGAACGACCAAGGTCGCTTCTACGAACTGTTCAAGTCGATATCCACGTCAACGTACTCTCGTATTTCGTCGCACTTTTCCAACAATGTGCAATACAGCGTGCCTCAAGGGTACCTCCTTGACACGTTGCTCACCGGGACCACGAGCAACAATGACTCGTGGTTCCAGTTCGAAGGCGCCAACTGGGATCCACTTGGCCGCCCACTCGACAGCTTGATACACTGTCTCAACTACATCGAGTACAAGATCCGAGGCGTCCAAGTCGGGCCACTAGGAACTTCGATGCACACGGATCGCAACCCATTGCGAATTCCGTTCCACAATCGCACCGGTGATAGCCCTTCGGACGCTCTCTACCGACCGTGAACAACCTTATTTAACCCTGCCATAATGTGCCTTCATGATTCACTGTGTGGTCAGCCCATTCCCATGGGACGACTCGATCGAGGCAACGGCAATGGAAAACTCAAATGTGTCTTAACTTAATCACTGCGGTGTTTCTTGGGGTTATAGTGGGAAGGGCTTTCTACTACCGCGTCACTGCCGTTTGTGATGCAATTCGTGCTGCTGCTATCGCTACATTTGGCCCATGCTCGCTTGTTCGACTTGGGTGGGTTGTTGGATTTACCGAGCTTGACAATATTGCCGTGAAACTGGGCCTTGAACTTCTGGTCTACGTCCAGGAGGAGCTTCTTCTTCGTGCCAAAGACACGACTGTTTCCTGCTTTGTCTCCGCTGCCTCCGCTGTTTTCAATGTCGATCTTGCGCCTCTTGCGAGTGGACTTCGAGATCAATGTAGACGACGTGTCACCGGACTTTGGCGACGCGGCAGACGCTGAAATAGACCAGTTGCCGATGCGCTGACACAAAGAAACTTCCCTCGACAAGGCAGCGTTGGAATCGTCCACTTCTGCTGCCGTCGGTGAAAGGGGTGGCGATACTGACGAGGATTTTGAGATGCCTGGTGACTCCGCAATCGATGAAGTCGCAGCACCAGCCGCACCGGGGGACGTTGAAGACGACAAGGTGGATGCCTTTCGTTTTCGTTTTGCATGGACAAGGGAGTTGGCGACTGAGTTTGGCTCTTCTGAATGGGCGGACTCTATCTGTGCAGTGGTTGGTAACGTTGTTGTTGTTGCTTCCACAGCAGTTAAGACGAGTGGGTCAGGTTCACCCGCTTCATCGTCTGAGTCTCGGTTGCTCATTGGGGACAACGGAAGCAGCAACTGCATCTTTAACGTGAGTTCGGTGATAGCAGCAAACGAGTTCAATCCACGTTGTTTCAATCTTGCCAATTCCTGTTTCACAATGAGCGCGCGGACCGCGTCGTCGCGGTTCATTTGGAATTGATACATGACTTTTCGCACTTCGCTTTCAGATGGCTCTGTCGCGCTCTTGACGATACGTTGGAGCAACTTCTTCACAGCCATGTCTCGGGCGATGTTTTGATCTAAGAGCAGCTGCAATTCGGCCTTCACAACACGTCGGAAGAGTGACTGTGCTTCCACCATTTTGGCTTCATAGTCTGATGGGGAACACTTGGTGTTTGGGATGGAGACGTTCATGTTTCTGCAAAAGGAATGGTTTCGCAAGCGTCCAGTTCGCACGAATTGCTTTGACCAGCAAACAGTGTGGGTTGTCGGCGAGCAGGTATAAGTGATGCAATGTCTCGTGAAGATCGTGCACGCGTATGCCCTTCCTTCGCCAGATCCTTGGTTCGACGGCGGATCTTTCCCCGGTGCGCTGCTTCTCCCAGTCAGTCGCTTGCTGGTTTCTGGAAGTTGTTGCAGCACGAATGCACTGTCACATTTAATATTTCGGCGGACTCAGCATTTGTTCTCTTGGCTATTCTATACTGTGAGGCAGAGCGCCAGGTCGTCCGGATAACGTTCTCCGAAGGCCGTTCTAAAGTGTGGGACACGGCGCCAGCGACACCTGCACCAACGTGATGGAGTACATGTGTACAAGAGCAACATGCACGCCCCAAGAGGCTTCGACTACCTCATGCAGAAGGAGCGGATTGATTGGGGGACGCATGTTTATTAATTGAAGAGTATCGCCTCGAGGTGACATGGTTTCCTGGAGGGATGCCGCTTTGCACTGCATATTCATAGGCATGGGACAGTGAAGGTCGCATTCGAACGGCCCATTACAAACCTTGCGGGGGCGCAACGACTCGACTGCAGAGCGCAGTCGAGTCCTTGCACACCAGACGCGACGCATCATTATACCGAGAGGGTTTTGAGCTATACAAGCGAGGAATGATCTTTCAGTCCATGCGTTGAGCGGACCGTCCTAGATGGGATGTACATTGTTCCCCCGCCGACATTTTCCTAAATGAAATTTCACAGGCACTAAGCCGAAGATCGTATCCGGATACTGAAAGGTCGCACTTGACGTCGGTTTTTCGATCCTTCCATCGACAGAGTTATTGAGCCATGAAGCACGACCCTTCCGCGGAAGTACCGCCATCAGATGAGGTATACCCTGCTGCGCGTCGGTCTATACAGCGATGTAACGAAGTCCATGCGTAGGCCTTGTGTTCGTACAAATCGAGGAAATGCCCGAACCCACGCGCTGTGAAACGCAATGGGTGCATGCATACCTTGTGCGAGTATCACCGCGCGCGTCAAAACGAGCATCAGCGCAAAAGCGATCGAAAGCATAAAGGTTCCAAGCACGCGAGACAGTTGATGAAACAATGCGGCACGGTCCAGTCAATCAACACCTCCGTTCACTTCCACGGCGCATCTTCACACGACAGGGCGTTTTCAACCCTGTCGATGCACGTCTCCCCCGCTCCATCGACAACACCAGACGGTCTTCTGTATGGAAACCTTTTCAAAGAGATGTCGTTCGTCGAAGCATTCGAGTTACATGAAGCCCTTCGCGCTGTCACAGCATCCCCTGGACTCATGTGAGGTGACTCGTCACAATGTAAAATATAAACACTTCTCCATTTCGACCGTTCTTTTTTGCTAGCATGGCCCGCCTCTGTCGTGCGCAAGGCGTCATTTCCTCATTTCATGGGTTCCATGATCGTCTTCCCACTCCTGGCCGTCGTGCTGACGTGGCTCTGTGCGGCCGTCGCCCAGGGGCCACCTCCAAACGTTACCGAGTCCAACCAAACTGCAATCATGTGCCCTCGCATACGAAAGGCATGGGATCGGTACACGAGCGCGGAGAAAGCAACTTACATCCATGCATTGCAACTCTCGATGGATCGTGGGCTGTACTGGCAATTCATGTCGGTCCACCAAGACCGTGTGTCGAATCGACAAGCCCATGGCACTTGCGTCTTCTTGTTTTGGCATCGACAATTTTTGGTCGGGTTCGAAAACATGCTGCGCAGCATGGAACCACCGCGAACGTCGTGCTTGACGCTGCCGTACTATGACTACGTCCAGCACAACCTGGATTATGTGAACCAGCGATGCACGAGCATCGAGTCGTGCTCTCCCATCCTGCGTGATTTGGGCGGCTCATCTGAAGGCTCCCCAAGTCGTGCGAGCATTGGCGGCTTTACATATCCCCAATTTACATGTGTGCACGCTGCTCCTGCGTCCCATTTCTGTGCCGATTCGCAAGCAGCATGCACTGGATGCATCCCTCGCGGCCCTTGGCGATCGACATACTTCACACCGGACGTCAATTTTAACCGCGTCAAGCGAGCGGTTCTCGCTACCGACACGTCCATCGCGGCTGTCACGTCGGCGATCGAGTTGTCAGTGCACAATTCCGTGCACAGCATGCTGTCTGGAGCGATGGCGAATATCTACATTTCGCCGGTCGAGCCCTTGTTTTACTCGCACCACACGACGATCGATTTGCTGCACACGATCTACCACCGTTGCCGCGTTCAGCCGTTCGTTTCGGGCCTCACCGAGTCCAGCGCCGGAGACCCACGCGTGTTTCAAGGATGCGCCATTCCGCGCACTCCCAACGGAGGAGTCACGCGAAACTCGACCGTGTTGATGCAAGAGTCGGGTCGGGACGGTATGTCGCTCACGCCATTCTTTGACGGGCTTCCCACATCGTACGGAGGCCTCACGGACACGACTCAGTTGGGCGACCACAGCTACTCGTACGAGTTGGGCGGTTTGTTGGGGGACTTGTACACGAAATGCGACGCAGCTGGCTTGGGACTCCCAGAGGTCGACGCGCGCGTGCGTGAGCGGCGGCGTCAGTTGAAGATGCAACTGCAGCATGTTGTGCATCCCATGGCGAGCGTCGATGGCTTGGCGTTCGTGGAGTGGCGACGCGCTGTGTTCCAGCAAGCACAAGCGCAACGCATTGAAGACAGTGACCGCGAAATGGAAAAGATGATGATCATGGTGTATGCAAATTGCCTCCCTGGAGATGTGTCAGATTATTCGCCAGAGTTCAAAGCAATGTGGGGCATCGAAGGTGTCGTTGCGCCGTCGAAGCGACTCTTGGATAGCGTGCTAGACGGCACCGACGCGATCAAAATCGCCAACTGGACCAACTTGAACCAACAGTTCTTTGGTTGTGGTGGTGGGGCGGTTGTGCCGACCGCCACGGACAAGCAAGCGATTGCAACCTAGGCAGCGTAGACATCCCGAGTTCGTGCGTGTCTTGGAATAGACATCGTCAATTATGCTCACACTGCCCTGAACTCAGTCAAACTCTGGACGAATCCACCCATGCAAGACCAAATCGGCGTCCTTGTGCGAGATGCTGTAGATGGTCGAGTTGTCGCGAGTGGAAATGTCAAGCGTCAATTCGTCCGAGTAGTGCCCGCCCTTCCACATTCGGTCGTTGTACTGGTTTTGTTCGGCCACATGCACTACCCATCGGTCGGGCTTTTTCTCTAGCACATCCACCACCACAGCAACATGACCAACGTACTGGCCAGGCGTCGACTTGTAAACGAGCAGGTCTCCCACAACTGGCATATGTGTTCCAAAATTGGGCAGCTTTTGCAGCGCCACGCGGCGATGGGGATTGTCGAGAGTTGAAACGTGCGTCACGCGGGTCCAAATGTGTGCCGCGTGGGGGATGCTTGGAAGGTAAAGGCCTCGATTGATAATCCAGTACCGTCTCGCGTACTCGACACACTGCCACTTGGCTCCAGTGTACAACCCATCAAGGTAATGCGATCCTTCGTCGACGTCGTCAGGAATGTTGCGGTAGTTGCAGTTGTACCCGTCAACGCCATGGCAGCTGCCCAAGACAGTACCGTGGGGAAGGCCTCGACCATGGATGCGATTCGGTGTCCCTTGCGTGTCCCCCGGCCATCGACCAAACAACGTTGTCATCGCGGAAGATTTCTTGCAAGTGACCTTGGCAGGTGGACGGCGCTTCTTGAACGCATCTGAAGCCATTACGGCGCGAACTTGGGCACGGTCCCAAAAACCATCACTCTCCTTAATGAAGCACACGTTACATTTAGTTCAATAAAACCAACACTCTTCACGTATGAAATCCTTCCGGATTGGACAGCTCGAACGACGGCAAGTCAGCGCAGGGCGGGAGTTCCTTGCCGATGAACAAGCACAACTCGTAGATACGTTAAGTTGCATCATGACATGGCATCTATCATTTCGTTGTCTCGACCAACAAAGCAGCGGACCGAAGATCATGCGGATGATGCACGCTGTTCAAGAAGCCTTGGAGTGCCTTGGTGGTGTGGCACACTGGTGCTGGAACACCTTCACCTGACGTCGGGTGGATCTCTTCGCGGCGAATCACGCGGCACACGCAATTGGTGTTGCCAGGACAAACGGCAATGAGGTCTTTGTCGCTGTCATTGCTGCCTGCTTCGACAGGATGAGGACGCGCCAATGCCCAGTGGCGAGCGAGGAACAGCCGCAAGCAATGGACAAGTTCCACCGGGTTCGGCGTCTTGGGTGCTTCGTTTGGCTCGCCATGTTGTCTGAGGATGTTGCGGAGATCCGTGTTGGTCATACCGCCATGGCTTCCATCTGGGTACGAGCCGACAAACTTCTGCAGGGCGATGGCGGATTCTTTACAGTACACGCCATTCAGCGGCAAACGCGCCAATGGGCGCGTCCATGGCGCGCGAAGGACCGCTTCGTCCAGAGCAGGACGCACCCATCCTTCGAGGACAAGATCGGGGTCGGGGTGCGTGATACTGTACGTCGTCTGTCCATCTCGAGATGTCCCAGTAACCAAATGCAGTTCATCGGCGTAATGGCCGCCTATCCACATCTTGTCGTTGTGCACGTTTTGCTCCGCCACGTACACCGTTAGCGTCCCGTTGTCCTTCGTTACAACGTCGGCGACAACGGCGACATGACCAACCCACTGCGACGGTGTCGACTTGTACACGAGGAAGTCGCCGACCTCGGGTTTCTCGGTTCCAAAGTTGGGAAACTTCTTCAGCGGAACGATCGCAAAGTCCCCGAGACGGCTGACATGCGTGATACGGTCCCAAATGTGCGCGGCCCAGCTGAGACTTGGCAACACGATACCCCTCTTCACGATCCAATATCGGCGAGCGTACTCGACGCACTGCCATTTCATGCCGGTGCAGACGCCGTTGAGAAAGTTGGACCCGTCGTAATTTTCGTCGTCTGCGTGGGGGTTGTTCTTGTAATTGTTGTTGTACCCCTCGACGCCGTCGTAATTTCCAAGCACAGCGCCGTGAACCATGCCCACTGGCGTCGGCTTCTCGCCGCTCGTGTTGTCTCCAGGCCATCGGCGTTGCGAGTGGGTCGCCATGCTCTCGTCGCCGTCGTCTGTGGCTGAAACGCAACTGAATCACACCAGCGAAATCCGCCATTTTTTTCATACTTGAATGGTCGTATATGGAATTACTAAATTAATTAATGTTGATGACAGACGATGCATTCCACGAACTTCTTGGATTTTCTTCAACGTTTGCCACGCCGCGGATGCCATGACATGGACGTGTCCGCGATGCACGCTGATCAACGACTCCTCCTCGACAACGTGCGATGCGTGCGGGCACTCTGCTCGTCCACCTGACAAGGCACCTCTTGCGGCGCCATCTAATACACAACCTCCACCGCCCGAACCGTCGTCCTACCTCTCTCTTCTGTCGACTTGTCCTGACTGTCGCAGATCCATTTGGTCGTGAGTTCCTCACACGCCACAGGCGGCTCATGCTTTCGAGTAGGCCGGGTTCATCTACCGTTCAAGCGTTGGGCAACTCGTACCACCACGGATGTTTTCGATGCACTGCGTGCGCACAACCACTACCTAGCGGGGTTCGATTCTCCATCCACGAAAATGAGCCATACCACACGCAGTGTTTTCAGCAGCTCTACCATCCCAGGCACGATATTGTCCATGGCGTGCCGGTGGCATGCTCAACATCCTTCTGGTTGCGCTCTAGATGCGACGTGTGCGACGAATGGCTCCCCATCCACGCCGACGGCCGCAGCCCCTACAACCTAAATGTTTTCTGGCAGCAGAAGTACTGTCCATTGCATGAACAACGCGACCGTTGCTGCAGTTGCCGCCGCATCGAAGTAAGAGTGATGTCCATGGTTCGCCCGCGTCACAAAGACTCCCGTCGCAGCCAACGGCGCGTGCCAAGCACTTTGAGTCGCTCGTGGACGGACGCAAACTGTGTGGGGACTGCGCGACCACAGTCATTGTCGACACCGAAGAGGCACGAACATGATCATGTGACGTCGTGACGAGTCCAGTGGCGCAGGTGCAGCCAGTCGTTCAAGACGTGTGGGCGTTTCTGGCGTCTCTTGGGCTGCATCTGCCAGAGGTCCGTAGTACACCGTTGTGTCGTTCCTCATGACGTTTTGACAAAGGTGCCGGTATTCCTTGTGGACTTCGATACACTCAACGCCCAGACCCACTCGGCGCACTCCAACATGCCCAGGGAGAGCAAAGCCCCGGCGGTCTACGGCGTGTGTCTATCCGACGTACGTCGCGATGCGTCGTCGAGGTCGTCGTCAGTGTGTGTGGTAGGTCGACCACTTTGCCCATCGATCCGTTCAGCAATTCTTCCGATTGGAAATGGCCCCCACGCGGCGCGTCCACGGCATCATGGTGCTTCATGGCCTTCCGTTTGACATGACTGCGTACATCTTGGCCCATGAGGCCACCCACGCGTACTTTAAGTTGCACGATGGCTTTCCCACATCGCTTCCGCTGAAGGTCCGTGGCGCGACCACGCTTCCGTGGCCCATGGACATATTCTTAGGTCGAAGAAGGCACGTGCCAATTGGTCGGGTACCTCTACCTGCAGTACCGCAAAGTGATGGCGGGCGATGACAGCGACAGACCTCACGCAGCCAAGTTGCGGGACTGGTACCTTGAGTCCCTCGTCAACGACCCGAGTCCAGTCTACGGCGACGGACTGCGCGATGCCTTGCATGCGTTCAACTCGACCAACTCGCTGCAAGTGTTACTCGATCACATTCGGGAAACGTCGGCGTTTCCGTCGGTGTAGCGCGAGTTGTGGAGAAACATGCCATCCCCACGAACACGACGAGATGTATCACACAAAAGCCTTTATGCGGTCGGAGACGTCGTCTGTCGCGGACTCGAGTTGGCAGACACAAGGAGAGCTTGCATGTCTGCGAGGAGCTTCCGCTGGTACTCGAGCGACTCGAAGAGGTTTGGGTTGAATTCGGCCGATACGTCCCCCTTGTCGTTTGCGTCGGCCGTTGTCGCATGTCGATGCGGCTGGACTGCGGATGCTGCAGACACTCGTTCAGCGTGGTCGGGTACGAAACATGACATCGAACCTGTTCGTTCCAGCGTGAGAAGGCGGGGCGTGCTCACGTCGGCCTGGAGGACGACGCGCGATGACGTTGCTGGACGGTCCAAATCAAATGGATAACCACCAACAACGAGAATGTACCCTTTGGCGTGCGAAAGTACTTGGTGGTCGCAGTCCCGTTTGGCGTGCGAGTCGTGTTGCGACTGGCAGTCGCCTGTGGGGTTCGGAAGCCCTTACTGCTCGTCGTGCTGCTAGCGGTCGACGCTATCGGAGTGTACACGTCTCCTGCAAAGACGCCCCGTTGGCCCAGACACCAGATCGAGCACCCGTACCCGACTCTGCATTGTACTTGGAGAAGGCCGAAAGCTGTGCATGCGTCGCACCAGAGCTCCTCTCACGTGTGGACCGCGACGGCGTCTGGCGGGTGCCTTCATCTACCGTGACAGCGTCAACTCGACTGGACCGAGGGCGACAGTCGCACCTTGAACGAAGTCCGCGAACTCGCCCGACAGATCGTTCTCGTTCAAAGTTTGGAACGCCTGGGGATGTCGGGCCTTGAGAAAGCACTTCTTACAATAGTCTTCCTTGACATGATAGGCGCCACTTTTCGACGCGCCGGATGGTGCGGCGGACGTGCGGCGCGGGTTGGCGTACGCTGACGACGACGCTGTGCTCGCAGACCGCGTTGGCGGCATGCGCACCAAGTGCCCTGGCTTTGAAATGTGGAAGGTACACGCCGTGCACGTGATCTACCGATGCATTCGGTCAAAGGTGGCCTTGGATGCATTTGCAACCTCGCCACACGTTCGGCACCACCGCCACTTTTTGGTCACTGTCGGGCACACGCAGCACTTCTGGCGCGACCTACGCAGAATTCTGTCGTTCCAAGACGCGTCTTGAGCACCGTACTTGGGAGCAACGACCGTGGTGGGGGCGACGGCGGGGGCGGCAACGAGGCGTCGGATCTGCGCCAGTTGGTTCAGCATCATCATAAATTCGTACAGCTTGGTGCTGCGTTGGTTGGCCATCCAGCTGGGGAAGTTGCCATTCAGGTCGCTGAGCATGGTCAAAAAGTAGTGCACGTGGCCAGAGGGGGGCGCCACGAAGAGGTGGACGACCTGTACGTCCATGCGAACACATCCGGGGGCGCCCAGGTACTCTGGGAGGTCGACGGACTTGTGGATCATGTACAGCGCTGGTTGACCGTCGACCACAGTCGATCCCATGCTCTAGAGAATAATTTGACGGCGATGGGCCAAACAAGGGAACGCACCTCAACGTAGACGGCTTCTCGCGGCTTAAAGATCACGGGGGACAAGAGATGGTGCAGTGTGTGCTTGATGCCGAGGAACCGATACGGATCCGACGGGGTTTTGACGGCGTGCGTGTGAAAGATGCCACCGTCGACGACTTCGCTCCCGTACAAGAACGACAGGGTCGACCGGCTGGCTTGAGACGTGTCCGAGTAGAGCGCGTACCCGATTTCGTCGAGTGTCGTCGTGATGAGGCCGAGGACGAGGTAGTCGTCGTGCTTGGAGACCGGGTTCGGTCGTCGAAACGACTTGAAATGGCGTTCCACCAACGAAACGCGGAAGCCGTCGTCGAGGATGCGGCCGGGATGGGTCGTGTACCTTTTATTCGTGGCCAACGCAATGTTGAGGAGGTGCTGGGTGTCAGCGTCGTGCTTGGCCATCACGGCGTTCGCCACGACCGGGGCCGGTTCCATCAAGCTGCTCGTTTGATGCACTGGACGTGTATCCACTCTCTCCTCAGTTCTCGGACGTAACAACGTCTGGCAACGCGCCACATGGCTCCGAGGCATCGACCATCTCAAGATGCCACACGCGGTGTGTCGCGGAATCGCTGCGGCGGCGGACGCCGCGATACAAACGCCAAGGTAAAAGCGTACCCAGATATATCACACGGCGACTTGACCAGCACATCCCAGACGACTTGCGCGTCGACATCGGAATCATTCGAACGCGAGCACCGACCAAAGTCAATGTATCCGGATTCAACCGGCAATTGATGGCAAGGTCTGGTCGTGGATCAGCTGCGAAGGGGGTTGAAAAGGATGGGTGCAGAGAGCTCGCGCGTATGGACCGACCAGTGTATCGCAGGCGGCACTTGATGAAGCGACCGAGCGCTAAGGATGTGGACGGCCACCTGTACGAGATCGGTCCTCTATCGTGGCGGGCGAAATGGCCAAGAAGGTGTCGCGGTGGACGCGACGGAATGAAACATGTCACGACCCCACACGTGGCGGCGCTGTCCCTTGGACACTAGGGCTCTCGCCCGACCGCACGCAAGACGAGCCATCTGTCACGTTCTGAGATGGTCACTCACGATCGACCTAGGCAAGGGGGAAAGCATCTCCTTCTGTCCCTTCCTCGGAAGACTCGGACGCGATGTCGACCGACTCGATCGCATGGGACAACTGTGTTGTATTGGAGATGGCATGCACGGGCGATCCACATTGCATTCCTGCGAACGTGCCGACGGAGACATGGCGCGCACGACATTCTCAGAATCACGTGTCCCGGACCCACTCTCGGGAAAGTCGTCGTCGGCATATGCACACACGAGGCATCCTTGTTGCGACAATTTGAATCGTCCAGTGCGTCGGCCATCACGTCCCACTCGAGATGGCCCGAACGAGCTTGCGCAGCCAAAACTCCATCTCGACGGCCGCCGGGCGCCGCTTGCGATCAAAAGTCAGGCACTTCTTCGCAATGTCTTGAACGTCGAGGGGACAATCGACGGTGAACGTCGGCTGGAGTAAATCCGCCTTGACCAACGTCGCAATTTGGTGGTCGTTGTCTGGGTTCTTGTCGTTCACGTACGGGTGGCGGCCCAAGTCGATTTCGCACATGAGGATTCCAAACGCATAAATATCCGCCTTCTCGGTCCATGCTTCGCCCCGCAGCGCTTCAGGCGGACTGATCAAATCGGACGGATGCCACGCCGGGTCCGTCTTGAAGCCACTCAGTTTGGCGTCCCACGACTCGCTCAAGAGGACGCTCTTCGCATGGAGGTTGCGGTGGAGCACTGGAGGCGAAAACGAGTGCAAGTACACGATGGCCGAAGCGACTTGCTGCAGCAGCCTTAGCTTGGACACGCCCTCTGGCAGCACGGGCCGCCACTGGAGGACTCGTTCGGTCGGGTCCTTTGCCGCATCAAACGCCAACAGTCGGCCGAGGTCTCCATGACCAATGTACTCTAGCAGCAGCCCGTAGCCCGAGACGGCCATCTTCGCGTGATTGTCCCACACAATCCCCAAAAACCCAACGATATTCGGGTGGTCCAGCGTCGACCGTAGTCGAATGTGCTGCACAAACGCTTCGGTGGCGTCACTGCCAGCCTCCGCGGCCGAGCCGTCCGTCGTCAGGGTCTTGAGCACCACCATGCGCTCGTTGAATTGGGCCTTGTAAATCATAGTGCGGGCACCAGCATACGCGACGTGGTCGGGCCGAACGAGCGGCTTGATGATGTTGACTTCGCGCATCGGGATACGAAATTGATTGAATTCGTCACTGAGATCTATCATACATCGCATGGACGTTACGGCAGCACCGATGATGGGAACAATGGACGGACCGTGGCGCTTGGACGTGCCCAAGTTCAAATACTCGTGCGATGCTACATGTTGGGCCATCGGGTCGGTCTTGTCAAAGCTACTGCTGCGCTCGTCCCGACGGCGTTGGAGCCACATGTATCCGCCGACCAAAAGGACGACGATGAGGCTGCCGCCGACGATGGCATAGGCGGCGTAATCTACCATCGTGCAGAGTTTTGCGCATGACGTGTTGGATGGGGCACCGTACTTGTCAAAGACGGCGCGTGTGGATCGGGCGTTGTGCCATTCGTCAACGAGTCTTGGATACACACGGGGTAGTTTTGATTCGGAAGGTACTTGGTGCGGCTGTCGGGACATTTAAACATGCTGCTGGCCAGGGTGGGCATGACAAGGTCTGGGAGAACCGAGAGTGCTCGGAAGGTGGCGCTCGACATGACCCACGTTTCGAGGTCGTTCCGATCGAGCCGTAGGGACTTGAGGGCAGGTGGAAGGTCTCCTGTGATGGTTTTGATTCCGCAGTTGCTCACATCGCTAATCGATCGTCGCATGAGTCGGCTTTTCACCAAATGAAGGGCAAATTCGTACAGGGTGACCAACGTGGGAGGAAGTAGCGAGGCATTGAGTGCTGCGTTTTGAATGGGGGTGCCAGATAGATTTCTACGCTTGACCTGGTCATGCAAGTTAATATCTTGACAAGCGCACGCACAGAGCCGCGACGGACGCCGGGAACGATGACTCTCCAGTCCACGGAAACGCATTCATCGACATGTTTCTATGGTCACATGCAATGAATCCTCAAGGCATGTCATGCCACAACGCACAGGATGGTAAAGTTGCTGTTGGGGGCAAAAGTCGGCAGCGCCGTCATCCTGTTCCCTGAAATATCTCTAGTTCAATCGCAGTGTTAGCCTTGCGTCGATCGGACCCATGGTGCTGCCGTACAGGGTCGTCAAGGTCGACGGCAAGACACCTTGAATTTGGCGGATCTCGTTTTGCTGGAGATAAAGAGTCTCGACCTTGGGGCCGAGGGACGCAACGTCGAAAGCGCCAAGGTTGTTGTTGCCGAGGCTTCTAACCTCATGGGAAATCAGTGTGGTGCAGTCGCTGACGTCGAATCTCGGCGTACATGGTCTTCATCTGGGGTGGAAATACGTTGGCGATGCGGTCGATTCGGTTTTGGGTGAGGAAACTACTCGAGAAATATAACGGCGCGAGAGATGGTCGAGTGGACGCACAGTGTTTGGACGGATGATGGAAAGACCGAAGCGTTCACCGTGCCTTGCAACGAGTTATTCTTGAACGAACTAGAGGTCCGCTTCAAGCCAGCCATACGACCTTTGACTGAGCTCGTACATGGACACAGTTTTGGGCGGAAACGCGATGCCGTCCAACGTCGCGACGTTGTTGTTGGCCACGAGGCTGCAAACTCGTCACAATCCATGGAGTTAGGGGGAGACTTCGTACATCATTTCAAGGCTTGGGGCATTTCGCTCGAGGTTCCCGATCGACGTGATGCTATTGTACGAGACATCTCTACGTCGTCGGTCAGAGTACGAGCAGTCACATCTGAGGGTACACGAACAGAAAGGTCATTTCGGCTGGAAACAGCGTGTCGCTGATGCTGCGGAGTTGGTTGTACCGCAAGTCCCTACTTGCTACGTCAGCGCCACGACAAAAGAGAATTTCGCGAGACTGCCGTACAAGGCCAACACGTTTGGCAAGGTTTGGTTAAAGGCATCGACGCTCAGGTCAGGCCCCAAAGCCTCCAGGTTTAGATTGATAGCAGGATCCACGCTGTGTTCACCTGACCGCTTCAGGTCGAGAAGCACTTGAGCAGTGCCCCTCGTGTCCATTGTGAATGGTTGGGGCTGGCACGTGGTATCGACAATGCAGAAGCGTTCGGATCGTGAGAGCACGACACTACCCGTGTCTCTACCACGGCTATCATAGCACACCGCACCGAGCTCGTTCAAGCTCTTGGCGTTCTTCGCAACATCAAATGGGTTTGGATTTGCTGCGTCAACGGCGTCAAACACTTCGAGGTATGTAGCGTCGGAGGCGTCTTTGCACTTCGAACTTCCGTATGAGCATTTGAGTGCGTAGCCCCTATCATGACGAACCCTGTGAACACCTTTCCACGGCAGTTTACGTACGCCAGTTGGTTTGTGCCGGTGCTATCAAAGCAGTCGCCTCGAACAAACACAGAGCAGGAAGCTGGGTCGTAGGGGCAGATCTTGGTCTTGTTGTCGACGGCGACAACGTGGCCACATTTGACAGTTAGCACGCTCTTGGGGAGACTACATCCGTCTGCGGTCCACGAGTATGTGCCCAGGAACGAGGCGATGGCGGCGACGGCACTTGCCGACACCATCATCGTTGCTCGAAAAGTTCGGAACACAAGGCAACGTGCGACAGATTCCACAGTATTTCGACCAATCAGAATCGAAATCGCCTGACTACACCATCTGATTGGCTATGTTGTGCAAATACGTTCTAACAAAAATCGCACTCTCGTATGTAGGGGGCATCGGCACAGAACTTGCCTCCAGTGCCCGACCCTTCACAGTGCATTTGCTTCATTCGTCGAATCTTTAGACGAACTACAAGATCCTCCTACACTAGCGCAGGAGGATCTTGTCTAAGCCGACGGTGGGGTGACGAGATGGCGTAACCGGTGGACAATTCTGTATTGAAGGAGCGGCGGGGCGGGAATGTGTTGCTTCAATGTATCATGGCAACGACAGGAACAACGTGGCAACCGTCTTTGATGTGGCGCAGTAGCCATTACGAATTCGTGGACTGGTGCAGGGCGACTGAGCGTCGTCAGTAGGCACACACAGCAACAAGCCGCATGGAGTAGGGCAAGATGCCATCGTCGCTCAAGGGTACTAAGTAAGGGAAACCGCTGGTGGCCATTATTTACATCAGTGTAAAGGGAGGCCATCTTCGAACTTCGTGAATCTTATCGACCTAGTTCTCTTGCATGTCATCTCAATCGTTCGGCACAATATGATGAAGAGAAACAATTCCGCAACCATACGTTCTATAGATCCATTCAGCCATTGTTCGAGGAAAGAGCTGCGGCGCCTTCAAAACCCGCAACTCCAACAATATGTAGATGCGCTTTTCGAATTTCGAAGCGTTTGAGTTGGTGTTGGGTTGTAATTCATGGCCGTTCGAATATTGACAGGTTGCTGCAGCCAATCATATCTACTCAGAATCACGTACTGCACTTGAAATAGGTTTCATTAAACGTAATGTGTCCTGGAACGGCCGTATGTACGGTCCAGGAGGTCACTCGTGTCATGCACGCCCAACGCATCGGCCGCTTCAGCATTTGCAACGCGATGAAAGCGCATGGAACAATGGGGGTGGCGATGGTGGCGGCACTCATGCAGATCGCCGCAGGCCAATCGTGCAGCTTAACCAAATCCGTGCTCACTCAAAAGTGTGGCCATGTCTTCGTTTCCCCCAACATCACGAGGATATGCCCGTTTGAGCCAGCGAAATGCGCGCCAATGGTTACTGGCGAATGTCTTGCAAGCGATGGACAAGAGGCTTACCAGTACGATAACCACCAAGACGTGTGAGAGATTGTGTGACTGTGATGATGTGCCGTAGGGAGCTCGCGATAAAGTGTCCGTACGACGAGTCCAAGTGCCTCGATGCGACTCCATCAACGTTCGAGAATGTTTTTGCAGAGGTCGATGGCATTGGCCGCGGCGACGGAGACCTTGCTTCCGACACGGCAAGTTTGAACGAAGTGGGGAAGCTGTGCTATAACGAATCAGGGAAGAGTACGGGGTTCGTCGTCCTCGATCGAACGCCGCGATATTGTGTGTACACCCCCGACGCGTGCAAGGCCATTCCTTTCACGAATGCCGTCAAGTCGGTCCAAGTGCTGCTTGACCTCGACCGCTTCAAAGAAGACGTGAACATGGCATCGTTCAACATCTCGGACCTCGGTGACGACTTTACCGTCGATGCATTCAACGCGACGACGAAAGCAAAGACTTTGTACGAAAGCCCGTCGCTACGTATGTTTGGCTCACTTTACGTGTGCAGGTCACTCAAGTCAAATGCCCTCGACGACATCAGTCACACCAAATTTCCGATCGACATGGTGTTCTTGTACGCGGTTCCTGTGTGGGAGATGGGATTGACAGCGATGCTGTAGGGACGTGTCGAATAACTTGCTGACATCGCTGGACAAGTTGTCCAACAACGCCCCGGCGCTCCAGACTTTGTACGGTCTGCCCATGCGACTTGGTGCTCATGCCGCTCTGCAGGGTGGCCATGTCAAATTCGATAGCAGACTTGAACGCGACGTGGCTCCCCGACACCTTGTCTCAACTGTACGGCCATGTCTTGGTCAGCACAAGTTGACGAAAACTAGGTCGCTCCAGTCGAATCGCTTTAAAAGGTTCAACGGGTCGGCGCTCCCGTTGGCCTTGATGTCTTTGTACCTGAACGACAACCGCCTGACCTCGCTCGATGGCGTGTTGCCACCGACCGTCTCGCTCTTGTAAGTCGAGCGGCCATGTATCGAATTTTGAACGGAATTTCCTGTGCAAGGGCGATGGCTGGCAACAGCTTGACGACGTTCAATGGAAGCTTTCTCCATCCCAACCAAACCGCAGCGATCGCGCTGCACGTCCAGAACAACCAAATCAAGACGTTGGCTGGACCATTTCCATCCTCTCTCCAAACCTTGTACGAACGCTGCTACACTCCTGACTGCCGCCGATGCCCTCGTTTGGATTTTTTAGAAATATGGCGGCCAACAACTTGACGGTCTTCCCCGACGTGTGGAGCGATACCTCGATCAATTCGTTGTACGTCCTGCCGACTTGAACTACTCGTACCTCATGTGCTCAGGTCCCTTGCCGAGAACGCGATTGTGTGGGCCACAGAGTCTGTGGTGTTTCCTCGAAACCTGACAATGCTGTACGTGGCATGCCGACACGATGGGATTTGTACCTCCTCCCTCACGAATTCGTGGCAGGAACATGTCTGGCACAGTCATGCACGGGAACGTGCTGAATGCATCCAACCTTCCATCGTCCCTCGTGTCGTTGTAAGTCGGTTGTGTGTAATTCATCATCACGTTGCTGACGATGGCGCACATCCAGGGACGTGTCGAATTGCCAGATCGGTCGCATCGAAGGAGAGTTTCCTCCGTCGATAAAGACCCTTCGACTGGGTCACAACCCCCTTGGAAATGCTACGTGGACCATGTCATCGCGAATGTTGCAATTCTTGTCGGGCCTGACGGATCTGTCCCTTCCATCACCACCGGAAAACTTTTCTTGCCCGGCTCTCGCGACTAAAAAGATTAACGCGACGTACAGCGTTTGCGTCAAAGAGCTCATGGAAATCGCGACTGCCGCGCCGGATGCGCGGAAGGAAGACAGAGGTAATTGCCAGAAGCTGCACAATTCCAAGCTCAATCGAACTGCAGGGAACCATGGGGTGATGGTAGCCCTTCTCGTTGGAGGGCTCGTCTTGGCCGTGTTGCTCGTCGTTGGCTATGCATTGTCTCGACGCGGCTTCTTTTCTCGTTTTTCGAGCAGCGAACGATTCTCGATTGAAACTGCGAAAGCGCCTCAGCTCGAGAACTTTACAACAGTGGCGGGGACCACGCTGCTTCATTGTGGGGATATGATCGACGACGTTGCTCTTGAGCGTATGCAGTAGCTCTTGGTGCGAAAAAGTCTTGCTGAGCAACTTGTAGGCATTTCGTTGGGCGACGACCTGATTCAGTTTCGCATTCCATTGCCCGAAATCAAGATCCTCCGACCGCTCGTGTCGAAGGCGACGCAGTCCCCGAACAACAAAGTGGTCGTGTACACCGCCAAATTCAACGACGCAGTCGTCGTGCTCAAGACTCTCACAACCGACGGCACGTCGATTTCCCCTGAGGCCGAAGCGTTCGTCCAAACTATTCGCCTCCACTCGACGTTGAACCATCCAAAGCTCGTCGCGTTTCTCGGCGTCGTATGGAGCACCAACGCGAAGAAAAACATTGTCGGGTATGGTCTCCTCATGGAGCACCTCAGTCGCGGCGATTTGGCTCGGCTTCTCGCGTTGGATGCGGCCAAGTCCCCCACCGATCGCATCCTTCAGTGGCGGCCTCACCGTCCACATCATCGCTCCAAAGCGTCTGTCCTCCTGGACATTGCATCCGCCATCGTGTACTTGCACTCGTTTTCGCCCGCTATTTTGCACCGCAACATTGAATCCAGCACCATCCTGCTTGCAGACAACTGGGACGCCAAGCTCAGCGGCATCAGCGCGAATGCAACAAAACCATCCTTGCTCATAACTGCGCCCGAAGTCCTCAAAGGCGATGCGTGGACGGAAAAGGCGGACGTGTACTCGTTTGGGATCTTGATGTGCGAATTGGACCTAGGCCATCACCCGTACATGTCAACGTCGTCATCCACGTCAGCGTTGTCAACGCGCCAACTTGCGACACTAGTCATGGCAGACCTGCTCCAACCGACCTTCTCCCCCGACTGCCCCCCCGAGATCCAAGACATCGCAACCAAGTGCCTCGCGTTCGATTCAAAGCTCCGTCCGACCGCCGTCCAAATGGATTTTTGGCTGCGAAAGTACCGTCGCACAGAGGAACCCGCCGTCTAGTTCGTCAGCGTTTGTTTGTTTTCCGTCAATTACCCAAGTGCAAGTTTCGATTTGATAAACGATCCCATCCAGTGCTGATGACGACGCCATGGGCACAGACGTGCGGACGCTGGTTCCAATGGCGAGTGTCACCTTCCCTCGCGACTTGCACCTGCCTGTGGCGTCGGTGCTTCCAGACGGGTACGCTGGTGCAAGGCACAGCCCACCGATTGCGAATTCGCACCGGGCATTGTGATGTCATTGTGATTTTACAGGGAAGAGAGCATGACAGCATCGCACACTCTGTTTCAGCTATGATCGTGGAAGTTAGCTGCATTCGTTTCGGAATCAACTCGTGGCGCTTGTCGATGACTATATCTTGCATGTGGTATTCACGTGGATGCACGGTGGCATGCATAGCTCCTACGCAAGCAGGACGAACTGCCGATGTATCTGTCACGGAATCCAAACAAACGCAATGATTCGAAACAAACAGCTCATTCGACGGATCACATTACAGCACGACGCTAAAGTTGTTCCGCTTAGGCCCTGGTCGCAGCACCTTTTCGGGCCACGACCCTGCAACGATGACGGGTTTGTCGAGGAGTTTTTGAAAGCAGTAGAACGCAATCTTTGGGGTTTCTTTCTTTTCTCGAAGAACGAACCCGAGCTGTTGCACGAGCTTTTCGAAATGATCCACCGTCATAAAGGTTGAGTTGGTCAGGCACAAGAGCGGCAGCATAAGGAAAAAGTGACCGCCGTCGTTCAGATGCGTCCACGTGCGTTGCAGCATTTCACCTGCGCGAATTCAGAGTCAGCCACCGTACGTAGGCCGGTGTTCAGCCGCACCTCGTTTTTCTGGCGTGGGCACGCAATTGATGACCATACTCGACACGACCACGTCGAAGCGCCTGGCTAAGTCCAAGTCGAAGAAGTCCATTTGTTGAATCTTCGGGTGTCTCGAAATGAGATCAATCGCGAGGACGTTTAGCCAAGGACACACAACCAACTGGGTGTTGATCGCGCCAACTTCGAGCACTTGCAACTGCGGCATCTTCTTAGCAGGACGCAACTCAAACTTGGTCAAGAGTTGAAAGACCCAGCGACTAGTCTTGAAGAGGTTCGTGGATAAGATGCTCGCATCTTGGTATGCTTCGCGCCCACCCATATCCTTCAACCGGAGTTCTAGTTCTTGAATACGTTGCACGGTGTCTGCATCCTTTTTGCCCTTGATCGCTGTCAAACGTTGCAACTCATGCGTCACACGATGAAATTCCGTCGTCAGCTCCCGCGCACGTCTTCGACTACAGGAATGTCAGACGGTTCCGTTGGAATGCCACGCATGGATGAAGTTACCTCTTCACAGGAGGTGGCCCGATGGGCACCTTCCGCACCTTGGACTTCTTTCCTGCAGAAGGCATGGTTTTATTGGTGGTGCCGTTTCGATCAAGCGTATCCGGCTGTTCCGGATAAAACCTCCCTGGAATCCACATCTCCAGGATATCTCCGAAACCCTCGGCGATCTTCTGCACCCAAGTGCCGAGCACCTTCCTCATGCGGCTCGCAAGAGGACTGACGCTCCGCCGCACGATCACGCATTTTCTAGTGCATGAGTGATGGGATGTTTTGTCGTGTAGGTGCTTTTATGACGCACGCTTTGTATCGAAGGCTTGTGGAATGAGCAAAATATCGTGATCAGGTCCATTGGTGTGATCGTGCGTTCAGTTGAAAAAGCAAATCAAGCACACCCAGGGTTTCCGTTGTACAGGTAGGTAAGTAAGTACACACACCACGAAGCAACTCGAACTCCGCACCTCCCTTAAGAACATGCGTTTGGCTGCACACAACGTGCAGGGCGTGGAAACGCCTTGGCTGCGTTCACACGCCATGTCTGCAGAGATACCGAAGGCTTCATTCCACCGATCCAATCGAAGCTCCTCATCTCTAGCTCACATCAGAAGTCACTTTCTCTTGCCGGGCCAAACTCCTACCATGCTGACAGGTACATGTAGCGATATTCGTCGTTGCCGCCACCGATGCAAGAGTTGAACGGTGATGGAACACCAATTGGGGAATCCATGGAAATCCGGATACGACCTTGTACCTAGGTTTGTATAGTTCGCGATTGTGGAATGGTTCGGTATCCGGATACGCGGCTTGAACTGCTGGGCAAACGGTTTGGTGGTTTGTGGACGTTCATTTTCAATCTTGCGCAGTTCCGCCGACGATTGACGAATGGGCGAAGCAATGGCAGACGAAGTCGCCTCTCCCGCAGTAGAACAAACCCAGGTCGAAGGAGTGGACCCCAGCACTGTTGCCGTCAGTGTGCACGTGCAAAGCCCGAACGGCAAAGACTCCATCTTGCTCGAGATGGTGAGCCCTCTCGACAGTGTCATGTCGCTTCGTCAAATGGTCTCGGAATACCCCGTCTTTGCCCACCACACATCGTACCATTTCGAATTGCAGGTGTCTGAGACTTGGTACGCATCGCTTTCAATACATCGCCAATCCCAATGCTGAACGCGCTGACTCAACGTGGACTGCTCTAGGGTGCCCCTCAATGATTTCGTCGAATTTGGTGAATACACTGCGTTGTTGGATCCGTCGACGACTGAATTCCACACTCGCATTGTGTTGGACCGTTACGACCTTCGCAAAGTACGCGCCCAAGTGAAGCGCCTACGTGACGTTTTGGCGAACCCCCCGATTCCCCAGCAATCGTCCAAAGCCCCTACACCTGTCACCCCGGAAGCAACTCCCGCGAAGGAAAAATCTGCCAAGGAGCAAACTCAAGAACAGCTCGCCAAGCTGAAGGAAATCCATCGAAAGCTCGAAGGCCTTGTTGTGCCCATCACACCTACTCTGTCGGCGTTTTACTCTCCTGTGGCGCTCCAACCTCCTGTCGAATCCAACACGAAAGCCACTGCTTCAAATGCTGCGTCGTCGAAGAAGGGGAAGAAGAAGCAACCCTCTACTCCTGCCACACCTTCCAAAATTAACGACAAGACTCAAGCTGAACTTCCGTCGTCGCTGCCGAAGTGCGTTGAAAGCATCGTCTTGTCTGGGTTCAACCCTCCGCCAGGCCCGCGAAAACTCGCCGGTGACCTTGCTTACTACGAAGTGACGCTGACGGACAAGAAGGTTCTCCACATCACGGCGCACGTGGCGGGCTTTTACGTGAACCGAAGCGTCGGCACCAAGTTTGACCCTCTTCCGGCAGCTGATCACCACCACCTCCTGGTGGACGTGCTTCTCAACGCGTCTTCGACATTTTCCGACCTGTACGCGTCGCTTTTGGCCACGGCCGCGACGTGGGCTTCCGCTGGCGCGACTTCGATCGACGCCATGGTGCAAGCTGGTGCGACGGCGTCGACTGGCGTACCCCAATGGAACACGCAGGTCAAAAACTCGGCGCAACACGAATACGATGCGAACCGCACGCAGGACGAGCTCAGCATCGGCCTGGACGAACGTGGCGTCATCAGGGATTGGAATGAAGAGTACCAATGTGCCCGCGAGCTCCCGAACGAGTCGGTGCGCGACCAGATTGTCCGTGCTCGCGTCTTGTACAAGGTCACGACGGAGTTTATCGAGGCTGCGACCGTCGGTGCTGTCGCAATTGTAGACGGATCGATTCCCCCGATCAACCCTATGGATGACGAAAACGCGTGGGTGTACGTGTACAACCAGATCTTTTTTTCCCGCGCCGTGGAGGGCCAGAAGCACGTGCACGACGACACGGAGGCCTCGCACGAGAACGCGTACTCGAGCGCCAACCACGACCTTCAAGGCGTCCGCGCGTACAACGCTGTCGACGTCGCTGGCCTCCACACGTTGGCCACGGTAGTCGTCGACTACCTCGGCATGCGCATTGTGGGCCAAAGCATCATTCCCGGCATTCTTCAAGGCGAAGCTGCGTCCAAGTTGATCTATGGTTCTGTGGACAGCGGGGCCACCATTGTGGCCCAAGACGACATGCACGTCAAGATGCAAAAGGCCGGCGATGTGCTCTTGCTTGCGGACCGCGCCATTTCGGCTGACACGTCGTTGGTCGGGCCTGTGGAAGCCAAGGGCATTTTGGGTGCCGACAACCGCCAGTACATTTTGGACTTAGTACGCATCACGCCGAAGGATTACCATTACTACTTTGGCCACGAAGAGGGAGACCAAAAGGACTTCGGCGTGACCGCCAAGACCCGCCAGGAATTGGACAGTGCTGACGCCGGCAAGTACACGGCACTATTGCGTCCCGAACTCATTCAACTCTTCGCTCGATACAAGACGAACAAAGACAAAACGGACGCCATCGCGAACGAAGATACCAAGACTCCAGCGACGGATACCGCGCCCTCGGTGGAAACAAAGTCGGAGGAATCGACTTCGGCGGAGAAGGAGGCCGAGTCTGTTGCGAAGTCGTCGGCCATCACGTTGCGATTCAACGCTAACGTGTTCATGTCATACCCGGCTTCGACCGACGCGGAGGAAGCTGCCGCGGACGAAGCACTTGCCAAGGAAGCAGCAAAGTACCTCCAGACTTTGGTCATCCCCGCCTTTGTCGCGGATCTCCGACGAGGCGCAATGTACCCTGCGGACGGCAATGCCCTCACTGATATGATGCATGCATGTGGTATCAACATGCGATACCTTGGACGTGTCGCGGCCCTGGCAGCTGCGTTCGAGCCCAATGTGTCAAAGTTTGTGGTGGAATTGTTGGAGGTTGAAATGATTGCCCGCTCGCTCAAGCACATTGTGTCGGCATTGTTCGCGGCCCAGCCTGACTTGCGCAGCACCCCTGGTCTTTTGCTGGTCGAAGTACTCAACGCGCTCTTGGGCTCTTCGCGCAAGGTGGCGGGATCCACTGCACCATCGACCGAGATGCTTGGACTGGACAAGCTCAGCTTGACCCCATCGGTGCAGCAACAGCTCACTCCCGCGACGCTTTGGCCCCGCATCAAGGAAGACGTGGCCCGCCGATTCGGGTACACACTGCGTCTGTGGCCTGGTGCTGCCAAACAACGCAGTGCCAAGGCCGACGCTGCCTCTGCAGCGCCTCGCGTGCACAAGTCCGTCCTCTTGCGTCGCGTGTGCCAACGATTGGGTTGGCAAGTGGCCAGCGTCGATTATGACTTTGACGCGGACGCCCCTTTCGATGTGGCCCATGTTACTGGCATGCAGCCTGTGGTCAAACACTCGCTTCCAGCGCATCCATTTGGACACGCCGCGACCCTGCTCGAACGTGCCCGATTCCTCGTCAGCCAAGGCGTCCTCGGCCCTGCTTATGAAATGCTCCAGGATGCATCGTCGCTTTTGTTCCAAGTGTGCGGTGGCGCCCATGAAGATGCTGCCCTCATCCTTGCGTCCACTGCGACCGCCTTGTACCATGCCGGCGATGTGACTGGAGCGATTTCGTCGCAACGCCGGGCGCTAGGGTTGTACACCCAACTCAAGGGCCTCGATTACTACGACACAGCTTTCGCTCATGCGAACTTGGCCCTGTACCTGCATGCGAACGCGAACACGGCTGAAGCAGTCGGCCACCTCAAACGCGCCATCTACTTGTTGGAATTGGCGGCTGGGCCGCACTTTCCAGAAACGAGTGTCTTGTACTATAAACTCGGTATGATGTGCCAGGACGTGGGCCACGTCGCACTGGCGTTGGTGTGCCACCGTGAAGCGCTTCGTCGCGGCGAGTTGGACCGCCACCAAGCTGGATTGTGCTTGCATGCGATGGCCATGGCGTGTGCGTTGGCTGGTGGGTTCCGCGAAGCTCTATCCTACGAGAAGAAGGCCCTTGGATTGTACCAAGAAGTTGTGGGCGACGAAGATCCCCGCGTGGTCGAGAGCCTCAAGTACATTGAACTCTTCACGGCCAAGGCGGTGGAAGGCGCCAAGGGCCGCCAAGAAATCGACGCTGTTGCTGCCGCCGATGCGATGGCAAATGCGTTGGCCGAAGAATGGGACGTTGAAATCCGCGAAGCGGAGAAAAAGCGACAGGGAAGCAACAAGAAAAAGTCGAAGAAGCAAGCAGCATAGGGTATCTCGCTTGTGCAACCAACCTTATAGAGAAATGAAGAATATATCCAACTGTGCAAAACGACGTCAATGGAACGTGTCGTCGTTCGAGTCGTCGAGTGCCATGGCGCTGTCGGGAGGCGACGGAGGCAATTCACGCTGTCTTGGCAATGTCTTGTGAAATTCAACGAGGGTTTTGCGGAGGCGAGCTGCAAACGTGTCGATATCCTACCCAACGTTGCCGTGACGCAGTGCAATGAGCTTGGCACACAAACATGGGCTCTCCATGACGTTGAAAGTAGATGACAAGAGTCGACGTACAGCTTTCGTCATGCCAATTGCACATGCGGCCGTCAAGTACGGCGATGGATACGACGCGACATGGGCTCCAAACCCAACAAACTCGTGACCTGCCATCGTCTTGATGTCGGTAGTTGAGACGACTCTATCGCCATGCAACGACTCAACTCGAATAGTGGCAAGTGCAAGTACCTCGTGCCAGACACGCCGCGGGAAAACAGCATCGAGCCGAGGAACGTCGTGGCTTCGGGGGATGGGACGCCGTGCTGCAGTGTCATGCCAAAAGAAATCTACCCGTGGCAGAGACAGTCTCAAGTCGTTGCCATCGCGTAAACGTCGAATCGTACGTCGTTGTGAGGAGTGTGCAGCACCCGCTCGCCACACGCTTCGGCCACTTGAGCCAGCTGGTCCTTGAAATACGGCACAAGAGCTTTACGGTCCGCCAACAGGGTCATATATCCGTTCCTTCCCAAGTGGAGCATTGTCATGAACAAGTCCAGCAACGGGGCGTTGCTGGCGCGTCCTGTCGCGACGTGAGGGATCGCCGTGGATCGTCCAATGTACCCGGATACGCCTTTCCAATGTCGTGGATCAGCTCTGCGTCTGGGCCACACAGGATGGATCCGCCCACAGGCACCTACCGAGTCACTCGACTCTGAGTGCATCGCGTACTCTAACGAGATGGCAGTACCAGAAAGTTCTTGTCTGTGCTTTGGACGCACGCATCGACGCGCCCGGTTCGCATGGCTTGGTTGACCAAGTGGGTACATTTGGACGACTGCACGCCGTACGCATTGTTGATCACGTGGCCTGTCGGTGGCATGGGACACCACACCAAGGAATAATGGCATACCAACGTCATGACGTTGACAGATCTGGGCTATTTCGTCCACACGATCGTACCCCCGCGGCGCAAAGCAACTGGTCGTGGACAAAACACACAGAATGTTGTCCGCGCCGAGTTCATTGATCTTGGCTTCCAAGGCCTAGAGAAAATTGCGCTCCTGAACGAGACTCGTACGCTGCATTTGGAAACCTCCAGGTCGGTGCGCAACTCGTCGCCGACCAAAACGTTTTCGACAACGACAGGTTCCAGTCCTACGAGAACGTTGCGCGAACTTTGCTGCTACAACGAGATTATATACCTGCAGTGACCATAGCCTTGAAGCATGACTTTTGATCAATGCGAGGCCATAAGACATAGCGCTTTGTAGAGTGCCCCGTATTGCGTGCATTGAGTTGTAGGGTGAGGAGCACAAGCATCATGGCCATGCCGGTAGCGACCGGTAGCACGATCGCGCACTTTGCATTCTTGATGCCTGTCCATGAGAGCTAGAGCACTCGGAACCTGCACGCAATAACGCACCTGCGACATGGAGCATGTCCTTGACGAGCAGGTTGGTGATTTGCACCATCAAGGACGACCCAGCCGCCTTGGGTTGAATGGCACAGATGTCGCCAGATCGGCCAACGCCATGGGCCAAGTGAAAGCATCGATTCGCAACAAGCGAGCTCGCCACTCGAGCTTCGCGCTCGCCTGCTCCGACGTTGTGTGTAAAGTTGTTGCTGTCCATTTGGGCCAGTTCGTGCAGCAGCAGTTGGATCGCCAGGTCGTCCCAGCCGTGTTCCGGCAGCCTTCTATGCGCCAGAAGCGATGTTATTTGCTTCTCTCGTGATTTGAGGGCCTCGTTGCCTTGGCGGACGTATGCCACGTCCACCAACTTGGCCGCGAGCTCTTGGTTCACGGCGCTGTGCATGTCGTGCGTCTCGGCTTTCAGGCCTACTTCCCCATCTGGCAACAATGATTGGGTGATAACGGACCAATCAGATCAGTCAAGCTCAAAATGAGTTTTCTGCTTTATGGTCGTCGCCGTCTTCGCATCGACGCGCGAGGGCAAGTCGGAGGACGGCGAGGAGCGAGCCCCCGCCTCCAGTCTCCATCCGTTTGGACGAGACAATATAGCGGACGAATCGAGTAATGGTGACGGCAGCTTGATGTCGAATCTTGCCCCCGAGAGAGTTTGGAATGACGTCGGTTGAGATGATCGAAGCGAACGAGCCATCGTCGTAGCGGCTCACGAGCAACTCTGAGTTATTTGCGTGAATCTTGCCCACGTTCTCCATGACGAGTCGAAGGCAGAGCAAGATATCCATCAAGGCATTGTTTCGAGCATCTGCACGTGCCGCGCATGATTACTCGGAGAGGATGTCATCATGCTGATCGAACCCACCAGATTCATCGCTGATATCGTCCAGCACGCGGGTGCTGAGATGCAGCAGTCCTTCTCCTTTGGCCACTTCTTGCAATCGGGCTGGGAATGATACCGTCAAGAGATCGTCCGCCAAAACAGAACACTGTACCATCCCAGAATACACACAAGAGCACGACCTGGCCGCCCCATCGCTGAATAAGCAAGTTGTCTTCATGTGCGCGCATGACGTCGGCACACACTTCGACGCCTCCTCGCTCCGCCATGACACTGACGAACTGTCCTAGATAGCAACAACAACATGTCCGTGGTGTGGGTGGAAAGCCTGCCATCGTCACGGAGCTCACGGTGCTTGGTAAAGAGATTCGCCAGGTCCTGGGCCCCCCACAAGGCCATCGACGCATTCGCGCACAACTTCGACATTGCGCGAAGAACCAAATGTACGTACGTGTATGTAGTTGCCACCACTCCTGTGATCATGCCAGGGCAATCAAACCACATTGGGACGCATGGAAGCACATACCTTGCAAAAGTGTCTCGGCGGGCTTGTTGAGTTCGTGCATGAGGATGCAACTGGCAGCTCGGGTGCCCCATTGCTGCATGTTGACGTCGCTTGCAAACGTTTCCATGCGCTTGAGCACGATGTCGACCAAATCGGATACGATCTCGGAGCTGTGCATTGCGTTGTGGTCGCAAACATCGTCGTCGCTATCGTCGGAGGAGGCACTCCACTTGTCGTCGTGAGCTGGCGAGTCTTCTGACTGGCGGCGCTTTTCCATGATGCGCACGATGGCCGCGGTGGCATATGACGCGACGTTGACGTGCTGCGGGTATTGCTGGATCAAGCAAAGAAGCGCTCGAAAGCCTGAGCGTTGGGCGGCAAACACAACGTCATGTACGTCCATGTCTCCTCAACAAGTTGACTGGCATGTAAGGAGTGGAGGGAAGACGTGGAAGCTGCACTTACCGGATTCAATCACACGAAGGACGTCAGACGCCTCGCTACAGAAACGGCCTAAGTCAATCGTCGAGATGTGAACTCCACGACCTGACGATGGAGTCGCTGCCGTCGCGAGTCGACGCTCGCAGCTGGACAAAGTACGCTTGGACTGTGCCATGGACTGGCGGTGGCACGATGTCGTACACAATGGGACTTGCAGGAGTGACTTTGTGCACGGACACATCTGGAATGTCAAGCGTGTGCATAGTGTACGTTCCTGGGGGCATGTTTGTGGTCGAGGATGAAACACTTCTGCACGAAAACAGATCGAGCGAGTAGGAGACATCGCCCGACTCGTCTGCCCACGTGCATCGCATGCTCCATGCTTTGGAAGTTTGGACACACTGCAGCGTCGGCGCCTGCAACGCCGCCATAGCAAGAAACGCCTTTTGAAACTGTCAAAATTGTCGTGGATTATGACAAATTCACGGTGCAGGATGACTCAAGGGAGAGCTTGGGTCAGCTCGGCAAAGTCCTTGACGAACCAGTCTGCGTTTTTCTTCACAACATCGCGCTCCACGACCCCGCCGAATCCAACGAAGAGATCCGCGGGTGGCTTGGCTTGCATGTCGGTGACTCCGTCGCCCACCATGACGACAGTCTTGTACCCATGCGCCTTCTTCAACCTACAACATTGACTTGAGTGGAGAGATAACTTTAGCGCGCTTGTGTCGTACATTTCCAACACGCGCGGCTTCCCGCCGTCTCGAGATGTCATCTCGGTGTCATCAAAACCGGCGTAGTATCCGTTCGCGTCGAAGTGGATCGTATTCGCAAAGACGTTGGTGGATGGGACGTGCAGTCGGTCGGCAATCGGGGCGATCATGAGGCGAAAGCCACCCGAGACAAAGTAAACGTGGATGTTGCGCGCATGAAGTCCACTGATCAAACTTTCAATGCCAGGCGTGAGCTGCGGTGGATGGACGCGCAGGCAATCGGCAATGTCCTTTCTTGACGGTTTAATGATGTCTAGACGCGCCGCAAGAGCATCTTCGAACTTCACGCCTCCGTTCATGGCCTTTGTCGTCCAAGCTGCGACGCGTTGCCCTTGACCGCAATGCGCTGCCAGGACATCGATCCCCTCCTCGCTGCACACGGTGCTGTCCACGTCAAAGCACACTGCTTGGGCGGATTTCCAAATCGCCGCCGCAGAGCTCGAGTATCTGTGCTGCTTGAGATTATCCTTGGACATACCCTTCCACAGCACCGTTGTTAGCTTCATTCGGGGGAAGAGATGCGCCATGGGCGGTGAAACGACTTGGAAACGATGGAACTGCCATCGCACGCCACCATCCCGATCCGTTGAGCCACATAATTTTTCTTGGGGAATTCTACAATATCTCACCAAAGTGTTTATGCGCAAAACGGTTTGGTGGGTATATTTGTTGTCATCCTTGGAGTGGATACAATATACTTCGTCAATGTATGTTGGATGCTTGGTCAAGTTGGGAGACAAGTACGGTGAAGTAGTAACTCGAAGCCATGGTGCGCCAATGATTCCTTCACAAACGCAGTATGTAAAGGCGGCGATAGCAGTTCCATGGGGAACCGCTTCTAGTCATCCGCCCATCGTCTCGCGGAGTAGTCCTGCTGCCCGGCACAATACTTCACTTGCGCTCCTTGTTCAACCCTTGTTTGACCGAGTGCCATCCATAGCACTATTTTGATCGCATCCAGATAATTTGAATCAACTTGATGTTTGGTGGTGCAAACATTCAATTCTCGTTTGTTCCAACGTGGTGTCGTCGATGATGGCACAGGAGTTCTCCCGCCTCCCAACCAACGTGAAACCCATCAAGGTGCGCTCCCGGTGCTGCCTGCATGCTCATCAAGACTTATGCGATGTCCTAGTACACATTGCATTACGATGTCATCGACCTGACGCGATATCGCTTCGAAGGCCGCGAAGAAGTGTTGATCTCCGTGAACGCGGACACCAACACGATCACGTGTCATGCGATTGAACTATGGGTCCATTCTGTGAAGGTGGTGCGTGAGGATGGCACTGCCGTCACGTGCTTGGAAACACGGTTCATCGAGGAGGACCAGACCATCACGTTTATCTTGGCCGAAACATTGACTGGTGGCACAACCGCGTCGATTCACCTGTCCTTTTCGGGGCTTCTCAACGACGCTTTGCGTGGGTTCTATCGCAGCGAATACGTGCATGAAGGCACGAAGCGCATCATGGCAGCGTCGCAAGTACGTCCATCCAGTCGTGTGACGCCTCTTTGTCTTGACACTTGTGTGTAGTTTCAAGCGTGCGATGCCCGTCGAGCGTTCGTTTGCTGGGACGAGCCCGCCATCAAAGCCAAGTTTGAAATCTCTATGACGACCCCCGCGCACCTTACCGCAGTCTCCAACATGCACGTGCTGTCCACGTCAGTGCGACCGTCCACGGCCAGCGGGCCCGAGAAAGTGTGGCGCTTTGCTGAAACACCCATTATGTCGACGTATTTGGTACCTCTTTGCATGGCAACGACAGTTGTGCAGCGGACATATGTGTGGTAGGTGGCACTTGTGGTCGGCGAATTCGACGTCGTGTCCGACTTCACGGCCGAAGGCGTGCTAGTCAACATTTACACGCCACTGGGCAAGGGGGCGCAAGGGGAATTTGCTCTGCACGGTACTGTTTCGACGATCGCAAGTCAAGATGACCCACGTTCATGCAGTGGCGACCCGGTCGCTGTCGTTTTTCACCAACGCGTTTGGATTGGCGTACCCGTTAAAGAAGCTCGACAACTTGGCGATCCCAGACTTTGCCTCTGGGGCGATGGAAAACTGGGGCTGCGTGTTGTATCGCGAGACATCGTTGTTGATCGAGCCGGGGAAGAGCAGCAAGGCGAAGCGCACCCTGGTGGCTCTCACCGTCGCGCATGAACTGGCCCATCAATGGTCGTCGATCGTGCTTGGTGAATCACATCCTGACGCGATGCATGTAGATTTGGCAACTTGGTCACGATGGAGTGGTGGACCGGCCTTTGGTTGAACGAAGGATTTGCCCATTTCATGGAGTACGACGCAGTCGACCACATCTTTCCCGAGTGGAAGATGTGGGAAAACTTTGTGCAAGAAGTCACGCTTGACTCGGCCTTCCGCGAAGACGCGTTGCTCAGGTACACCGGTCAAACGATTGCGTTTCCAACTGTTGTCTAGCTCGCACATGATTGAAGTGGACGTGAACCACCCGGACGAAGCGGACGAAATTTTTGATGCGATTTCGTACTGCAAAGGCACGTGCGTGCTCTCTACAACGCACTGATGGGATGATCACGGCAGGCGCAAGCGTCATCCGCATGCTGTGCGAATACCTCGGCAAGGACGTGTTTTATCGTGGCATCCAACTCTACTTGAAAAAGTATGGACTCGAACGCCTAGTACTCATACTCAGGCACGGGGTGCAGGTTCATCTACAGCAATGCGGTGACGGTGGACTTGTGGCATGCACTTGAAGAAGCGTCGTCGTTGCCGCTCTCTGACATGATGAACTCATGGACCAAGCAAACCGGGTTCCCTGTCGTGACCCTGCGCCGCACTGCCGACGGATTTCAGTTGGCTCAAACTCGGTTTTTCTCGGACGCGTCCGTGGTCGACGCGGACGACTCCCGGTGGGACCTCCCACTGACTGGACTGGTCGATCGAGGCCATGGCCCCGAACTCAAGCGTCTGGGCATCTGGTCTGCCAAGGATCGCCCCCACCGCAACGCTGCATGTGAAATCCACGCCCCGCAGACGGTCGTGTCCAAGATCCCCACCGACAGCCCATGGGTCAAGCTCAACTGCCTCCAGCAAGGATTCTTCATTGACAACTACGATGCTGACGGGTGGTACCAGCTACAGCACCCCTGCAAAGGTTTGTTTCGCCACACACACGTCGTCTCCATCGATGTTACGAATTGTTTGCACGAGTAGACCTGGTGCTCAGCGACGTGGATCGCATGTGTCTTTTGGACAATGCGTTTGTCCTCACCCGTGCTGGCAAGTTGGACGTCGCGAGCGCTCTCAACTTTAGTCGTGCGTTTGCCAACGACCCCAGCTACCTCATCTGGAAGTCTTTGTCGACCCATTTGACGTTCTACGGCCAATTGATCCGTAAAGACGCCGCCGCCTCCTCCAAGTACAGCCCATCCCTTGATGTCGACTCCGTCCTGATGGTGGATGCGTGGTAGGTTGCAAGCGTACGTGCGCCAATTTTACGCCGTGCCTTTGGCGCGGTTGGGCTGGTTCACGCAAGACTCGGACGAAGAGTCGACAGCATTCTTCCGCAGCGAAGTCATTCGCATGCTGGGCACGGCCAAGGACTCTGGTGTGCACTCTTCCCATGCCCTGCCCTCGTCTAACCCCGGTCGTCTGTTTCGTAGGTGTGTTGGAAGAGGCAGTGGTTCACTTCCGCACCCTTGTCACCGACCCTGAGTACCATGTCCCCGCATCTGACGGCGACTCAACCAGACTGTGTAGTGCGTCTCGTGTGACGTCTGACCTGCGTGCAGTGATCTTTCGAGTTGCCGCCACGCATTTGCAAGAAGCAGCGTACGAGCAATTGCGCGCGCTGCACGAATCGTCCAATTCTCCCGAAGTCAAGAACGATTGCTTGGGCGGCCTTGGGGCGATCCAGTCCAAGTGGAAAGACACCCTCGAGTGGGCATTGAGCGGCAAGGTGAGGCCTTGTTCAGTCGACAGCTTGTTCGTGGACGATCCTTTCTAGGTGCGTGCGCAAGACATCCAGTACGCGTTTGCTGGTATTGCGCGGGCGGGCGGCGCCGAGTTCACGTGGAAGTATATCCAAGAGAACTGGGATCGCTTGAACGACAAGTACATTCCAAGCAAGGTAACCACTCGATCGAATGCCGAAGGCGCATGTCATGTCTGTGCGTAGGTGGGTTCGCTCGTGTGTTTGACGATTGGATTTTTCCAATCGGAAGAGAAAGCGATCGAAGCAGAAACTTTCCTTCATGACAAGAAGACATCCGCCTACAAGCGTCGCTTGGACACGACGTTGGAAAACATCCGCACCAAGGCGGCCTGCTATCGCCGCGACGCGCCTCAGCTCGTCAAGTGGCTGAACAACGCGACCGCCTAGGGTCGTTCGTTTGGCTTCGTCGTTCCATTGTTCGCATTGTACAACGTGATTCGACTTTGCTTTGACTCATGTGAGATGGAACAACGTAATAGTGACGGACCCTCTGCACAAGTCACCCAACGCTCAAACGGGCCAAAATGTCTCAACATGTTGGCCCTGGTAGGACGTTCTTTCCGGAAATGCCCTTCGAAAACGACTCGACACGGTTGTACTACCTGGTTTGTCAAACGGGGGGCAGGGCGGTGGTCGTGGCCTTCGTGTAGAAGAGGCCGCAAAGGCGGCGCGGCCGTCGCGAGGGCGCATGTCCCATGTGCGACTCCAAACAACTCAGGATGGCAAGTCTCGCCGGAATAAATAAAATACTGCACGGTGATTGGTTCGCTCGTAAAACGCGAGAAGTCACATTTACGACTTTATCCAGCCGGTCGGTGGTTGAAGAAGTGGCTGCGCATGGACGTCGTGAGGGTGCATCAAGTCATGGCCGACGTGGACTTGATCAAGAGAGCCACCGACGCGAAGATGGCCCTGGTGAAGAAAGTTAAAAGGCGCGTTCAAAGCAAGCTCAACCAGCGACGCTACCGTGCCGACCAAAAGGCGTTGACGGACCGCCTGGAACAGGCCGTCTTACATCTGCACAACGATGTGGCCCGCATGGAGGGGCGCGCGGAAACGATACGACTGGCCGTTTCCCACACCCTTCGAACGTTTGATCACGAGTGCAAGCTCAGCACAGAGTACTTTCGTCTTTTTGATCAAGGATATGACCTGGACCCGACGTCGACGCGGCACCAGAGTCAGTTTGCCTATTTGACCAACGCAATGAGTCAAGACCTCGTTATCATGGGCAAAGTCGGGCGTGACAAACTCTTTGAGCAGTGGGTGCTCTACATGAGCACGTTCGAAGCGTTTTCGATGGAGCTCCACAACGTGCAATTGGTATCCTTGACGCCCACTGCCACTGTCCACATCGAAACGACGCTGCACTTGCGAATGTCGCGCAAGTCGATATCGTTGTTGTTTCCGCACCTCCTGGACAACGAGCCCCTCGTCCAACGTCTAATTGGAAAGGTGATGCACTTACCAGCCCAACAACGCTTCATCTTCGACAGCAATGGTGTCGTCCAAGAACTTGGCACGCATGCGAACACGGCATGTGCGTTGATGACTCTCCTCGGCAGCGTGGATGATACGCTGACAGTCATCGCGGATTTTCAGTTGACCGAAGCAGCCGAGCTTGTCTCGCGTGCAGGGTAACCTGTCCTCGCCCCAGACGACAGTGATCGAATTAAGATACACGGTGGATGTTATGGATGAGCTTCCAGACATTTGAGTCGTCGTTGTTGAACCAAAGTGAATCCTCGGCTCGGGAGAATCGCGACCTCATTTTTGAGAAACGTGGCGCAATTTTGCTCACACGTTTGATGCAAGCTTGGTTTGCGTCGCTTCAGCCATCTGATACATGTCAAGGTCCCGAACTTGCACGCGGGTATAAATTTTCAAAGTTTTTTTGTTTGTGCATGACGTTGATCGAGCACGAAGATCTAACTGGTGGGTTCCAACAGGATGGACAACAAGAATGTCAATACTATCGTAAAACTGGGGCCAGAATCGCTGCAATCTCTCACAGTCGAATGAGGTGGTGAAACTCAATCCAATTTCGACGTATCATGTTAATGATGTGATCTAGGAGTTGTCAACTGTTCATAAAATTAAACAACT